AAAGTCATAAACCTATTACTCTTAAACTTTATTTTTTTTTGGCCAATTGAATCTTGAACTTTTATCATTTGTGTCAATTCAGTTATTTGGCCAATTTTAGCTGGAAATCGCTAGCATGGACATCGGTCGTCCTACGTGGCGTAACTGGCGCTCATTTTTAAAAAATAGTTTAGTAGATTTTTAGAATTTTTATTTATTTATTTATTTTTCTTTTATTTTTCCTTGACAATTGGCCAGAGGAAGAAGGAAGAAAAAAAAAAGAAAGAAAAGGAAAACAATTAAAATCTATTAAAATATTATTAAAATCTATTAAAATATTATTTAAAAAATTGTAGATGAATTAAATTGGTATAAATACAAAAGGTTTATAACTCAATTGTGTAAAAAAAAAAAAGAAAAGTAAAAAGGAAAGAGAAAGAAAAGAAAAACGGAAAAAGAAAAGAAAAATAAAAAAATTCTAAAATTTAGTAAAATATAATTTTAAAATGTCCATGTAAATTTGGTCTAGTATGCGGGACAGGTGCATCCATGTCAAAGATTTCCAACCAAAATTGGTTAGATAGATTGAATTGACATAAATACAAAAGGTTTATGACTTAATTGGCAAAAAAAAGAAAAAAAAAAAAAGGAAAAAGAAAAGAGAAAAATAAATAAATAAATTCTAAAATTTATTAAAATACTATTTAAAAATGTTCACGTCAACGTCAGCCGTGCTATGTAGGATGGCCAGCTTACATGTCATCGATTTCTGGCCAAAATTGGTTGAATGGATTGAATTGAATTAACACAAATACAAAAAGTTTATGACTCAATTGATTAAAAAAAAGATTTAGAACTGAATTGACACAATTGCAATAAATTTAAGACTTTTGTGGTAATTTTCCCCTAGACAGAAAAGTCAAAGTTAAAGCAAAGATCGGTGAATCAAGAGTGTAGCACATGTCCACTCGTGAGGCCAACCATTTCAGCTAACCATTTTTTAATAGCTATAAATATTAGGATTGTAATTCGAGTAAGACACCACCAATTAATCAATGAACACTAGTTGTTTTACTTCATCTTCCCATTATCTTTCTATTTCAGTACCTTTTTAAAAGGCTAGCCACAATTACCTCCGATTTTCATATCGTTAGATTTCTCGTCAATTTGTATTTCTTGTCCAAGAATCAATAGGGAACCCTTCATATCCTTTGTTTCCATATTGATCCATATTTTGAACGTTGCTTTGTCAACGTTTTTCAGTGAAACAATTTAATGTAAAGACTTTTACAGCAAGAAAAAACACCGCAACTAAAAATTAGGAAAATGGATTTTTGAATGTTATAGAAAAGATCATAAGTCTCTTACCATAAAAGCTTGTAGCTTCTTTACATTCTATATCTTGAGATGCAGTCTTATCACTGTTTAACCTTCTACCAAACTGATAAAAGCTAACCATTTTTCTTGAAACTGATTGTCACGTAACGCATTTCTCTTTATCGCGAAATATTTGCGAAACAAACACACCCCAAATGTCAAATGATACGATTCGTTCCCCAAAGTCCCACTTAGAGATCCAACCTTCACTAGCCATGTTCTAAAACAGCTTCGATTTGACCATACAATGTGAAGAGATGAAGCCAATATATACTTGATTGCAATATGATGAAGAGAATACTATACCACATGATAGATTGCGGATGAGAATGTGATGCTCAATCAAATTTCTATCAAACCTTTCCGACCACAGGGATGAGAATGGGGGAGCTCAAGGGGTGATGACCGGTGGAGGGTATCGATCCTACTTGGACCCCTTTGGTTGTCATCACTTAGGTCACTCCCTCCCTTTCTCTCTTTCAGTTATACATGTATATAATTGGAAAATGAATATTGTTAGATATATCAAAACTCATTCGATCAAATTGCAACCAAGTAGTAATGCGATAGATTTTTGTTGGGTCTTTAGATGGATCCACTGGTTTAAATAATTACGTACAATACAAAAGGCAGAGTAAAACGATTCGGTAGACGAGTATTAATCTTAATACCTCCATCATTGTCCTTGCAATATGGTGTCGCATATGAGCGCATTCATCGCTTAGGAATTGTCACGTAATTGATTCGACCGACTCACAATATTTTGTCATGGCATCCACTATTTTTGTCCCGTGGAATGCTCGTGGCCCCTTAAAATATCAAACAATTTTGCGAAATTTTGTCGTTCATTGGCCTAATCTATGAGATTCGACGTAGAGAAAGAGTAGAACCGCATTAAATCAGAAGACCTGAGAAATTTCGTAGAGAATGAGTACATGATGGGATGAGCAATCTTATATTTATTTTGTAGATTATGGAGGGTAATGAATAGTCCATCCTCATCATCCATGATACAACAGCATCTCTTCATGAATTTTAGGGACAGGAATATGAAAGAACACCATTCCATGATCTGGTCCGAGTGTCGAAATCATGAGGCGATGAGATGGGAAAGGGTCGGGCTGCTTGAATCTCGACTCCTATCAAGCACGATTTCGATCGATCCAAAGGAATATATGCGCACCCCAAGAGAGACACAAAGACCATCTTGGAATCAGTTCGTTTCTATAAATGGAGTCTTTCCTCATCTGTTAAGACATGCACAGAACAACTATTTCTCTATGGTTTGTCTTGGAAAAGTCTCGCCCTCTCTCTCTCTCTCTCTCTCTCTGTGGTTAGACGGTGGGGAGGCAATGATGGTGATGTTGTTGACAGAAGATAGAGAGCACAGATGGTGAAATTGCAATATGTTGGGAGATTCTCTGCAATTTTCGATCCTTTGTGCTCTCTCATCTTCCGTCATCACCTTCAGCCCCTCATCTTTCTTACCAATGCATTGCATTAACTCGCTCTTTTTGCATGAACCTCGACGTGTAGTACATATAGGACCATATAGTTGCATCTACATAGCACGCATGTAGACTTGCTGTCCCTTTGCTTCGTACATGCAGTACTCTTCCCCTCGTTGCTCGTAGAGTTTTCTGTGATTTCGCCGGTCTAAACCCTTTTTATGCGTGCGATCAAGTTCACTTCTACTTGTTGGAAAATTGTTGAGATGGCAAAAGTTCACGTTATGATTTTGACTCGCAGAGAGAGGGGGTGGAGGGGTGGCGACGCGCTCCTTCCAACACTCAACGAGCGTCGATAAGGATTAGGGTACCCTCGTTGCAACTGCCGCGCAAGGTTGATCACTGACCACTTGGTAAGGGTTAACGACCACCACCCAAGTTCTAGTATCCGCGCCTCATCAAGATGAAAGGGGATGGAATCACCGCCCTCCCCATTCATATATGATGCGATGCTGACGAAGTGTTCATAAGTAAACTTGATCATGCACAAACTGATCTGGTTATAGTACTTGATCGAATATGTATACCAAGAAAAACAAAGCGTGCTAATACAAAATCACTGTCCACTTGCCCATTTCATTTAACCGGAAGGATCGATATTTTTCATTGGAGGTGTTTCTAAATGAACAATTCTTTAAGTAATATATGACAAAATCATAAAGAAACGATGTGAGGCACGAGAGAAAGGTAAAGACTATTTAATAAAAAGCTTATCCCATGATGACATATCCGCAAGTCGATAATAATTTACTAAGATACGTTCATCTCTTTTTATCAAATTGACTAGCCGAGCCAAATTGATTTGATGAGTTTAGTGGTAATATATACTTTGCCTTTCTTTATGTTTGATTAATTTTACTTAGGCATAAAGCTCAAAGCTAATCAGCGAGATTAAGCTCGTGAACTTTGAGGGACGCATATAAAGGTCGGAAAAAGTGTCAAAAAAATCATAAACGTTTTACATTGGTGCCAATTTAGTCTTAAACCTTTTTTTGGTGTCAATTCAGTCCTAAACATTTTGCATTTGTGCTAATTTAGTCATAAATTTTTTTTTGGTGTCAATTTAGTCCTAAACCTTTTGCATTGGTACCGATTCAGTTCTAAATTTTTTGTCTTTATGCCAATTCAGTCTTTCCGGTCAATATTGGCCGGATTTTGTTGACGTGGACTCTGGCCGACAACCGGTTACTGGCTATGATGTGGACAACTTTTAATAATATTTTAATATTTTTTTGAATTATTTTTTTCTTTTTTTCTTTTCTTTTTTCCCCCTTCCCTCCCTCCCTCCTTCCTCTATCCGGTCCGACGACCGGCTGGAGGAAGGAGGTAGGAGAGGGAAAAAAAAAAGAAAAGAAAAAAAGAAAAAAATAATTCAAAAAAATATTAAAATATTATTAAAAGTTGTCCACATCATAGCCAGTAACCGGTTGTCGACCAGAGTCCACGTCAACAAAATCCGGCCAATATTGATCGGAAAGACTGAATTGGCATAAAGACAAAAAATTTAGAACTGAATCGGTACCAATGCAAAAGGTTTAGGACTAAATTGACACCAAAAAAAAATTTATGACTAAATTAGCACAAATTCAAAATGTTTAGGACTGAATTGACACCAAAAAACGGTTTAAGACTAAATTAGTATTAACGTCAAAGGTTTATGACTTTTTTGACACTTTTCCCTATAAAAGTCCCAAGGCACTGCCAAAAAGGGAAATCTACATGGCTTCACCTTCCATGGAACCGGGCATATACAGCACCCCTTGTGCACACCAAAGCAATCTAAGACCGAATCCCTGCCAAGAGGCCTCTAAGACGGCTTCACAGAAGCAATGGGTGTTTACACCATGTACCATTTGAGTTGAGAAGCACCTTTCCTAGTGATACTACTTATGATAAGCAAACTGAGGAGTGTACTACACTTGAGGGGCGCAGACAGGAGGTTCTGGCCACGACACCCAGGCCAGTCTAACCATCCAGATTACGGCCAGTTTATGTTCTGACCGATATATGGATGATAGGCAAAGCCCGGCTAAAACTGATCGGACCGGTCAGATCTCCACCGGATAGATTAAGAACCAATGGAGAATCAAATGAAATCAGGAAGAGGGCGGTACTCACAAGAGTGGACAAGCAAAAGAAAGCGGAAGATCAATCTATAAATCAATCGATACAAAACAGGTTTGAGTACATAATAGCTACGTTTTCAACCCTGCACATCACTATAGATTTATTTGACTCCTAGTTTATTGTTCAGACTAATGTTCCACACAGCACGAGACTCCTACAATTAACGCCCACCAAAATATTACATTTCTTACTGCCCAGATATAAGAAAAACTTGTTGCGCCTCTTAGGACGCTGCCGAGTAGTCATGGCTATACAAAAACTCGCCGGCCATCACTTTGCAATTGCCATTATAGGCGAGAGTAAATTGAAATACCAGACGTGCGAAGAAAGAACTGATCGATCAAGTATGGCCTCCTTTTCATATTTCCACACCAGCAGCGCTTGGTGATAATTATCTATGAAAGATCGTCGCATCACATGGTGCACTCTGAACACACCACACAAGGCAATGGTTTTTGATAGATATTTTCTCCCAAGCACAGCTGGATGTAAAGGAGGACATACCACACTGGTCAGTTCTTGTGTTGTAGTCTGCCACTCTCCGAACCAGCATATGGATCGATAATCACATTTACCACGGTTGGCTTACGAGCAGAAAAGGATTCCGAGAGAGCATGCTTGAGCTCATCAGGTGTAGTAACAAGATAACCTGTGCCCCCGAAGGCTTCAATTAGAGTATGATATCCAGCAGTGGGAACAAATGAAGTAGGTGCAGGGTCATCCTTGTAGGGCCCGGTGATTTCTTCAGAGGTCCTCCGGTCACCGCCATATACACCGCCATTGTTGAAAACAATCACAATCACTGGTAACTGATATCGAACTAAAGTCTGCAAATACAGGATACAAGAAGTGAGCATACACATGCAATTCCTTTGTAGAAGAATAGGAGACAGAAGTCCATACATATGCAAAATGTTCATGCATCCAAATGAATAAATCAGATCTACCCAAGGTTTCTTTCCGCATATTGTTGGAATGGAGATTTAGGGAAGGATCGAAAGTGATGTACAACAAGCCCAATAGAAGTTCGGGTATAGATCCTTCTATGCAGAGTCATCTAAATAAATATGGGCATGCTAACTGACTGTTTGTTTAACAATGTGCAGCCAGGAGCAAACTAGACAAAAAAGTATGCTACATCACTCGAGAAATCCATATTCAATGTGTAGTCTGGCTAAAACACTTTGGTAGGCATCTGGAGAAAGTCCATGTTATATAGCTCAAACCATGCATCATGTAGATAAGCAAGCATAGTGTGAAGGTTTCACACATGCGCAACCATTTGTCAAGAAATGTAACTTTAGTTCCCTATTATGGTTCATTAGAATGTGTTCTTCAAGGCTATTTGTTACTGTTGTTCCTGCAAGCCTGCCATTACTTATAAGGGGATTGACCGTGGTCAGAAAATGGAAGATCCACCCATCCAAAGTTTGCTACTGCCAGCAAAAGTTCTTTCTTTTGTAGGTAAAAAGATAAACTATACTGCTCCAAGGGGGTGCAAACCCATACATGTAAAGAGCTCACAAAGCTAGACCCAAATACAAAAAGAGCTCACAAAAACAAAAGAGAGCTGAATTACATGACAAAACAACAGCTACATCAACCCAGGCATTACATGCAAATGTAAGCTGCCACTAATACCTAAATTATAAACTTTAAGCCGGCAAAAGTTCTTTGCCACTAGGACTCGTCTAATTGCCGGGGCTTAGACTCGCATGGTTTAATGTCCTGATAGCTATGTGCTGTCACCAAAGTAGCTATGCTGACTTAGACAATTTCTATCAACGCCAAATTTAAGTTTAAACAACTAGACCGTCTGCGTGGCTCGATGTCAATTTATGTTCAACCCCTAATTGTGGATTTCCAAGGGAGGATCCAAACATGACTAGTGCTGCATTGTAGGTGCTCCTACAGCCAAATCTGAGAGGATTGCCATTAGCTGTTTGGCACTCCAACTATATTTTGACACATAAGAATCGTGCATATCACATTCCTCGTGGTGCTCATGTTGATATCTCATGCACAACGAGCAGCTAATGAGGAAAAAATGCTGATCATCAGGCATCTACATTTGAACAAAACAGAACGATTTTTACAAAATAGAGGATATGAACGTTCCTATTAATGGCAGTCTGCATAGGCACTTTAAACATGCATCTATCATCATTCAAGACAAGCAACTCACTCGCTCCAAATCATGGAAGAATCGATGGACAGTAACGACTAGAGATAAATCAAGCACCATTCAACGGCTTATGAAGAAAGCATACCTCAACTTCCATCGCACTGAACCCAAACCCAGAATCACCTTCGACAGCGACCACGAGCCGGTCAGGGGAAGCCACAGCAGCTGCAATGCAATAACCCAACCCAACTCCCATGGTCCCCCACGTCCCAGCATCCAATCGAGTCCTCGGCTCGGTCTGAACTAGCACTGCCCTCCCAATGTCCATCGTATTCGCCCCTTCAGAAACCAATATTGGCGCCGGACTCCCCTGTCCCAAAATCGCATCCCTTATGATCCTCATTGGGGTCAAGAAATTAAAGGGCACGACTTCCTTCGCCAATTGAGCCTCCATCCTCGACACATTCTCCTTCGTCTTCTTCGAAATCGCCTCGACCCACGGATGAGACCTCCCCAAGCAAAACGGGTCATCCTTGATCTCCTTGTTGATCAATTCCAACACCCTCTTAGCATCACCTACCAGACCCAAAAACGGCTTCCTCAAGTCAACCTCCTCTTTGCTCACATCAACCAAAATGAACTTCACATCAGGAGACCACTTGGGCGGCTCCCCAAAATGCAACAGCCAATTGAGCCGCGCGCCGACGACAAGCGCGACGTCGCACTTCCCGATCGCGAGCGACCTCGCCGCGGTCGCCGCCAACTCGTGCGTGTCGGGCAAAAGGCCCTTCCCCATCGGAGTCGGCAAGAACGGAATTCCGCTCACCTCCACCAGCTTCTTCAGCTCGTCCTCCGCCCTCGCAAAGGCAGCTCCTTTCCCGAACACGATCAACGGCCTCTCGGCGGCCCTCAGCAAAGCGACGGCCCCCTCAATCTGCGCGCTCAACACGTTCGGTATCTCCTCCTTCAACGCGCACTTCTCGGCCTCGTCCAGGAGGCTCTCCGCTTCCGACTCCGTCACCGTCTGGTGCAGCACGTCCGACGGAAGATCCAAGTAGCACCCGCCGGGCCGACCCGAGACCGCGTGACCGAGGACCCGAGCCACGCAACTGGGTATTTCCCTTATGTCCTTCGCTTTCGCCGAGAACTTCGAGAAGGGCCTCACGGCTTCCACCTGATCGAGCTCCTGGAAGTCCCCTCTCCCGAAATCCTTCTGGTCGCAGGAGCCGGAGATCAAGACCATCGGCCAGGCGTTGGCCATGGCGTTGGAAAGCCCGGCGAGGCCGTGGACGCAGCCCGGGCCGGAGACGGTGAGGAGGACGCCGGGGCGGCCGGTGAGGTAGCCGTAGGCGGAGGCGGCGTACCCGGCGGACTGCTCGTTGTGGAAGGCGATGAAGCGGACGCCCCGGGCGACGGCCCGGTTGGCGAGGGCGGTGACGGGGATGCCCACGACGCCGAACATCCCGTCCACGCCGAACCGGGCCAGGGACTTCGCGGCGAGGGCGTTGCCGTCGATCCGGGTCGGGGCTCCGGCGGGGCTCGGGCTCGGGTCCGCCATGGGAAGGTGGGGAGGTACTGGAGGTGGGTGGGGTTGGGTGGCGTAAGCAAGTGGGGAAAAGGGGACTGTGATGTGGAAGAAGATCGGTGAGAGTGAGTGTGTATATAACACACTCTGAGTCTGACCTTCCACGTTGAATTTACGTCGGTGCCCTTCCGGTTTTTTCTTTTTTCTTTTTTTTACATTAATAAATGAAGTAGGGGATTTTCTGGCGCCGTCGGCCGCCGGTCGCCTCGACAAGTACACTGCCTTCGATGCGATTTCAACCGCGCGCTCCCCCTTTGCGTCGACCTTGGGTGTTTCGGAACGATGTTTTTAACCACGACTGCAGGGGAAATGAACAAGAAGCTCCTTTACCGTTTAAAGCCGACGCACTGTCGGCAGCAATGAAGTTGTGTACGTACCGAGAACCAAAATAACCAAGAGAAAAGTGTTCCGGGTCATTTTCGAATCTATTTTAAAGGGTGACGCTCACATCACTTTTAACAACCCAATTTTATTAAAATAGATTTAGTAAGTCGAGCATTGCACTATTTTGCCTACATTATGTTATAACCAAAAGATTTCCCGTTTTCTTGGGAATATTAATCAGTTATTCTTTTTCCTCGTCCGTCTCTAAAAAATCATCTCGACAAATCAAATGTGAGGGTAAATTTGATAATTACACTAATTTGGAGGAATCCCTACATTATAGGGATCATGAATTTCATCTTTTTTATTTTGACCCAAAAAAGAAATCAAACCTTACCTTACTAGGGAGCCATCGGATCCTTGGTGTTTTGTTAGGTTTACTTCATCAGAGACGGGTGTTTTCACCTATACTAAATACAACGCCTTGTTTAATGAGTCGACGGCCGGTCCATTTGCACATTCCCTATCCCTCCCCGATGTTGTGTTTCTTTCAAGAGAAGGACTTGAATACCCTCTTATTTTAACATTCCAATGTCCCGACTGAACTTTTTAAGGATATGCTTAAGTCAAAATCTTTTTTTTTATCGTAGAAGAAGCCAGTATATTTTGGAAAAGAGAAATTAGATAAAATTCAGGTAAACCAACTCGATCAGCTATCAATGCACGTTCCACTTTATAGTCAATAATATCGCAAAAGATAAAACCCAAAAAATCTCATCGATACCAGTTTGGAATTCGATGGTCCCTATTTTCAAAATTTGTCTTTTCATTAACCTCATAATAATATGAGACGAGGTATCGCGAGAGGAGGGGCAGAATGGGGAAAACGGTCGCGCAGGCACGTCGGTGGACCTGGATTGCTGGCAAGAAGGAGGAAGCAAAAGTCGCGATATGATTTGCCTAAACCGATAAGCAATTGTCTGCTTTTGGCCCAGGAGAAGTCCCTTTGAAGTTTGCTTTGCCTGGCGGCGGCGGCGACCACCCGTCCCAGGGAACTCCGGCCCTGGTTGATGCGGCGGTGGTACGCAACAGCACTGGCTTGGCTTGGTTCCTACTTTTGAATCCTAGCCTAAGCAAAATGGGTTATATTACCCGAGACATGAGGACGATGGCTGCGCGCGTGCATCTCGGTTTTCCAAGAACGTTGCGATATTTGAGTCCGCGACATCCACATCGAAGGCGACGGCTGGGCAATCCGGTCCACGACATCCACATCGAAGGCTACGGCTAGGCAATCCGGATCCCGGATCGCTTTCTCCCCCTTTTCTGGCCCGTTTTTCAACGACGTGCACCGGCTCGGAATTTGAACATGAATCGACCAATAAACCAAAGGGAAAATTACCAAAAAAGTCTTAAATCAATTGTAATTGTGTCAATTCAGTACTAAATCTCTGTTTTTTTTTTGTGCCAATTGAGTTTTACACATTTTGCATCCGTGCTAATTCAGTCCATTTGGAAAACTTTGATCGGAAAATCGCTGGCATGGACGTCGGCCGTTCTACGTGGCGCGACCGGCACTGACATTGATATTTTTTCGAATTTAAATATTTATTTTTTATTTCCTTTTTCCTCTTGGCTCGACCTTGCTATCTCTAGGCGAGAGCAAGGTCGGGCAAGGGCCGCCCGAGGCTCGACCTCGAAGCCCTCGCCGGCCCTCGTTGAGGTCCGACAACCAGCTAGCGGAAGAAGGAAAGAAAAAAAATCGAAAATTTATTGAAATATTATTTTAAAATGTCAATGCCAGCATCGATCACGCCACATAGGACGACCGGCGTCCATGTCAATAATTTTCGGCCAAAATTAGCTGGATGGACTGAATCAGCACAAATGCAAAAGGTTTAGGACTCGATTAGCTAAAAAAAAGTTTAGAACTGAATTGGTGCAATTGCAATAGATTTAAGACTTTTTTGGTAATTCTTCGAATAACCAAATAGAGAAGAAAATGATATTTTTTTTTTTGTCCTACTTTTAACTCTCAACTCAATCTCAGACTTTTGCCCTACCTCTTTGCAAAGAATCGAAACCAACATTTGAAACTAAACGTCTCCGCTCCTAACCTCCTAGAAAATGATAGTTAGCCCTTCAAAGACATGAGAAGACAAGCACCGCTTTAGATCAGCAGAGGGGGCACTGACTAGAAAAGACCTAATCTCGGATTAACGTTAAACCGGTTTATGGGCCCAAGGCCCAAATGAAGAATTGGGCCCAAGGCCCATAACGATCCACGAAGAGGAAGCTTTCGTTCTCGCTCGAAACCCAAAACCCTCTCTCCCTCTCTGCAACTGGCCGTCATCCTGCCTCGGCTCCGTCGATCTTCGACGCGATTCGGAGCTGCTCGATTCCTTCCCCCGGCCACTTTCGCAGATGATAAAGCGCCGGTTCTTTAGGGTCGACCACGGCGGCAATGACGGCGGCTCCGACTCCTCCTCGTCGGACTCGGAGCCGGAGCTCCAGCCGGAAGTCGCCGGAGAATCGGAAGGCGATGACGACGACGACGACGATACTGGAGAAGCGGAAGCGAAGGTCGATCCCGAATCTCCCTCCTCCTCCTCATCCGGTTCGTTCTTCATGAGCTTCTACGTTGATTCCCCTCATCGATTTGATTGTCTTCGTGCTCAATTTGCGCGAGAAAGTGGAATATAAGAACTGCTTTTGAGGATTCTTGGAAAAGCTCTTCTATAGATGCTGAATCGAGCTTTTCTTATCGAGTTTTGGCAGGATATGAGAGCGAGGATAGCTCTGTCAATGAGGTCGGCGTTGACTCGTTAGGTATGGTAGTCCTGTCTTGTTTGTGATATTGGTTTCGCTTGCTCTCTTGCGCTGCGCGAAATTCCGCAGCACTTTCCTGTGTCCATTTTCTCGGCGTTTGGACAAATTGCAAAATCCTAGCTATGTGTTTGTCTGAATGGGTATTGTTTATGGAACGAAATGTGGCCTTTTTTGCCTTTCTTATTGGAGTTTCTTTTTCTTCTCTTTCTCGGTTCTTTGATGGAAGTGAGCGCCGCATTTGATCTTGTTTCGTGAATGGCGTGCTCAATGTGCTCTCTCAGAGGTTTCAAGTGAAGTTGCTATGTTTTGATAGGAGGTTCTTTGAGCTCGTATTTGCGAAAAAGAGAAGTTCGGTCTTTTAACGTGATCCCTTGTAGCTCATATGCTTGAATTGCTTGCCAAAGTTACTAAAAGAGCTGACGGTTTTCATTTGCAAGACTCAAATTACTGGGATAAGAAAATGTATTACTAGTTAGCCAATTCCGCGTATGTTAATGTTGAGTTCTGGAGAGGCATTCATATGGAAACTCATTCCCGGACGAAGGTTAGTTATGAGCAGTAGACAGTGCAAGTGCAACCTGCCTGATTCATTCTTTTGATTCAGGGACGTTATTGGAGAAGTATGCGTACTTAGTTAGAGACCATCATCTGTGGTAAGAGATTAGCGTCCGTAATCGTATTTGAGGAAGAATCTTTTTAAGGAAGGTTGTGGCAGCTGTTATATTGAATTAAAAAGCGGAGGTGACGTTACTTACCGAAGCCAGGTACCATCGGAGGTCTTTAATTCCTAGCTTCTTATGAGTAGAAGGCTAACCTAAGTAACAGAGAATTAGTTTTGTGTGAGCAAGTCTGCAATCAGGAAGCGGATGGGAGAGTTATGCGGGTGGCAATGTCTTGTGCCTGTGTGAATTTTTTGAAACACTTGTCAAATAGATTGTGATCTCTCCTTTTCAGGACGTACATGTGTTGTTACGCTGTATTCTTGTCCTGTTATTTTCTTTTGCGATCGTCAATCCATATAGAATTCTTCATGAATTAAAAACAATGTTGGCTGCAGTTTGAAAATATTGGTCTAGCTAGGAAAATGCGTATGAATCTGACATTGAGATGACATTTCAGGTTTATTAGTAAATGAAGAAGATGACGAAAGTGGAACTCGTTTGCCACTAATTGATGACGGTCAGCTGTCTTCTAAAGGACGTGAGGACAGTACAGAGCCAAAGGATGAGACCGTGGATGAAAAGGATCCAATTCCTGCTGATGCTCTTGAATATATCTTGTGTTCCAAGTCTGTTTTCAAGTGCAGGATATGCCCAAGAGTTGTCTGCCTGAAGGAAGACACTTTGAAGACCCATCTTAAATCCAAGGTGAGAATTTTGTGATGCCAGATGTTCCATCCTCTCCAAATGCTGGACAAAAAGGGATTTTCTTTAAATGCGATGCATCCCTTTGTAATTGCTCTTCACATCCCGCCTTCCGCCCTACCAGAATAAGGGAAAGAAAAATCCAAAACTACTGCCAGTGAAAGAAGGATGGGTCAAAAAAATTCCTATCTCGTCTTCTTTTGTTTTTATACTTGCTTAATGTTTTCTGGAATTAGGACTTTTCTTATATTATGTGTAGAGAACATATTTCACTCATGATTGCCTTTCATTAGACTTTGCTTCCCTTTTTTGTTTCCTGTGTCATAGAAAACTGGTTTGGGAGCTGGTTTTGTTGGTGTGGTCCCTTGGGCTTTGACTACTAACAAATCGATAGGCTATCAGAGCTGAAACTATCACTAAGAGCTCATACTATCGCTCAATTGTGTGCATTTTGTTGCTTCCACATTTGAGGTCATGTTCATGCTTATATGCCTCCTGAACTCATTAAGTTTCTAGATTATAGGTGTATTATTTGGTGAGGGACACTAGGTGGTTCTTAAAAGTTGCCAGATGAGAACCTTTCTTTACAATTCAACATGATTTCCATCTAGTTGTCTCCCTGATTATATAAATTTGATCGGCTGCTTTCACTGGCTCCACTTTAGCTTAACCCCTTTCCTAACGGAGTCTTTTGTTGTTTGTAGGTAGGTCAAATTTCAAAATTCCAATCTTCTGTCTCTCTGTTTCTGATTAAGAGGCGACTGGAAAATTTTGAAAATTTCAAAACATATGTGCAAATATACGTAAAACTTTTGATGTCTCATTACCAGCCTGCAAAAGCAAATATATCCCCCCAACTTTCCTAATATAGCTGTCAAATTTCTTTTGAGTGAGGTAATCCTAGGTAAACATGTGCGGTGGGCTTGTGAGTGAATTTTGATTTCTGATATTTTCCGTCAATGGTTTCAGAAGCATTCTCGATCTGAAAAATTGCTTAAAGAAGGTCGGCTAAAAGCAATGCTCAACAGTGATGGGGAAATTGAGCATCAAGAGACAGCTGCAGAGATGCATGCCCGGGTCATAGCTTTGGCACAGGTTCGCCTTAATTTCCCGACCTAAAATGAAGTAATATGTGGTTATTTTGCTGCCGGTTGCTGAAAGAAAATCATGTTTGTTCCAGAATGTCGGCAAAAAGAAAAACAAAGGGCGACAGAGGCAGAGATCAAGAAAAAGGGTAAGCTATTTTCTCCTGCTCGTAGACGCTTGTTCTTTTATAGCATAAAGATGAGATGATGGCTATCTGCTCCTCCATGTCTGTACAGAAATCGGCGGATGACACCAACCTTGGAAATGAAAGGCAGCCAACCAAATCTCCTGCCAAGAAACAGCGGAAGAAATGAGGAAATTGTTTTTTTTTTGCCGGGAACGAGTATAGATGTTTGCCAAGAAATTTGTCGGGTGCTTTTTGTTTGTTTTCCGGTTTTCTTCTTCAGAGTATTCTTGCCTATTTGTTTGGATGTTACTGAGAAAATGAAGCCTCCCCTGGATGACAAATCCATTACTAGAAATTATTTCGCTGAGCATGTGTCTCTGTTTATATTTAGGATGAGTGATAAAACCTGCTGGTTAAATCGGCTATTAGGGCAACTATTCTGAAGAAGCTGAGGTGTGTTCTCTTTAATTGACCTCGCAATTATAAAAATTTAAAATTGCAAGAGAGTTTATCCCTCGTGATCATCCTTATGAGCTCCCCACCTCCCTCTCCACCTTTTTTTTGGGAGCTGGGGGTGAGGACATTTAGTTTCAAGTGTGGATTTTGATTTTCATTTGAAAGTGAGTTAAGAGTTAGAGTATGAGAAAATTAAAAAAAAAAAAAAGATCATGCTTATGAGCAAGGGCTAATGTACATTAGTAATTATTCGAGAAAACTGTCGGAATAGTCTTAAACATATTAATTAATTGAGCCAATTTAATCTTAAATCTTTTGACCTAAAATTAATTCAGTCCGAATAAAAACTGTGATTTACGGAATCAAGACTAAGGTAAAATGGACAGGGGATGATCGGGAAGGACAATGAAGGAGATGATAAGAAGAGATATGAGAGGGCTAAACATTCGGTCGGCCTTTCTCGCTGCATTTTCTTCGCACCAGTGCTCCCTTTGAGAAAATCGAAAGCAAAATTTATCCTGTGAATCCACTTCAGGGAATTTTTCACGAAGAAACTTTTTAACTCTCGAGAGGCCATGGTCACTGAACGTAAGAGCAACAACGTAATCGTCCACGTCTGGACAAGCTAAAGGAGAAACGACTCAAATCAGCAACAAATGTAAAATTGCCACAAACATTTCATTTCAAATTCTCAGAACACTACGAGCACAGGGCAAGTTAGAGAAATCAAAAATCCTCCTACTAATCGACATCTGTAACAGCAAAAAAAATCAACTCATTAAAAAGGGCCTAAGAGAAGAGCTAGCAGTCGAGCAGCCAGCAGACTTTTGAGATTGAAACTTTGTCTGAACCACTACTCTCAAAACATCTTCACATGCTGAAAAGCCTGGCATGATCGAAATTCTAGCAACGATCATCTCCTAACTTGGCACCATGTTGGGTCTTGAAGGTCTTGAAATTAGAGTGCTCGAAAATCAAAGGTCAGGAATAGACTGTGTATTCTCACCGCTTAAGATTCCTGCTCCTCTGATGGATTTGTTGGCAAATCGGGTGGTTGCTCCCCATCAACATCAGTTTCAGTAGGCTGCTGATCAAGCGAAGGGGATTGTTCTCCGCTTCCACCGTTCTCCGGGTGAAAGTTGATGGGAAATTTGGTGACCCGAGGTTTATCGGAGAGAATGTTCCTCTGGACCTTGTCAATTAGTACCTTTGGAGGTGGTTCCTCTCTCAACTGCTCGTCATCGTAATCGTTATTCACATAATAGCCCACGCGGACAAATTCTTGACTCAGATAAGAGCAGGTCAGTAGAAGCACAGTCACTCCAATAATATCTTCTTCCCGAATCTTTGATGGATCTGGTGGATCTGCCTGCAAAACATGCGTCATTTCTTAGATTTGTAACCGGGAACACAAGGATATATTACTAAAAGGGGACAAAAGGAATTGTACAAGAAGTTAATCAAGATTGCCTGTAACACAAAACGATAATTCCCAACATTGACTGGTCCAACAAGTACACTCTCTAGCAATTGATCATATGTCTCGTCCTCTGCAGATCCTACATATATAAGCTTCCATTCCAAATCTGCATAGTTATAAAAAAAATCAGAATAGAGCCAGCTTAATAAATGTGGAAGACAGGAGCTAGATAAACAAAGAGGACATCTACAAATTTGAAGGCCAATTCACCAGGGCAAATTAATCCCATCCTCGACATTGTTTAACCGTGTGCTGTGAGTCAAATCGGGGCAAACCATTATGTTGCAACAAGATAGCACGGGTACAAACAATAGCTCTAACCAAATATTGTGAACTAAGCCCAAATCATTTGGCTTTAGGATTGAGGATCGAAAAGTCAATTTCCAAACATGACAAATGAACATATCTCCAAATTTCCTCCATAACGTCAGTCACTAAGGCATCCAAATAATCCAATAGCACGAGCAGCACAGGTATTCCCTTTCATCTAACTATCCATCTCGAACCTCAATTTGAGTTTATTACCGGCATAGGTAATTTCAAAGAACTTAAACATGACAAGGCATTTAGCATGCGAAGGATGTCCAGAATACACATGCTGTGATGCACATGTACAAGAGATGATGATTCCATGGTGTGGTTCAACTTTCCAGGCCTAGGTTTTCGTAGAATTTTGCTTCTACAACATATTGTGATGCATGAAAAGAGAGGAAGCTTGACAAGAAGTTTAACTCACATCTTCTGCCACATATTATAGTATCTGCTGTAAAAATTGAAGCCATTGCCAAGATAACATCTAAAAGAAACGAGAAGTATTGACTCGAGTGAAAATACTTCAGTGCGCAGATACCTTTCCATTATCTATACATTGACCATATGAACTGTGATGCGAGGTGCAAATTAGTCCGACCAAGAGCACAAAATAAGGCTACAATACCCTTGTTCACCTCTTTGCTCATATTCCTAGCCATATACAATCCAAACATCTTCTACCATCTTCTTGCACCCTCAAATGGCACCCAAAAGAAAAGAGTAAAAAAAAAAAAGAAAAACCCATTCTCAGGATGCACATACATAACACCCCGATGCCATGTCATGCAAAGTAGCCCCCCATTTCATCAAACTCAATCCTAAAGGGAACTTCACCCATAAAACGCACAAGAGAAAGCAACACCATGAGATTCCTTTTGGCTAGTGTTGGTGTCCCACGCAGCCATCCTAGTGCCCTACACCTCAAGGAGGAGTTGCAAATAAAACGGACGGCGAGCCTAGCGTCAAGTCAAATCAATCATCTCAACCAACACGAGCGGTAATCCCCCCCGCCCTAACGAAACCATTCGCCAGCTTCAGCAATCGCAAAAAAAAAAACTTAAAAAGCACCCGGAGGAATGCAACTCGAGGCACGGGAACCCCGCGGCTAACGAGGAAAGGAACAACCCCGAAGATTCGGGACGAAAGCGGAAGAGGGGGAGGGAAGGGAGGTAGGGGTACCGTCTTTGAGAGGGGTGACGCACTCGTAGGAGATCTCGAACTGGAAAGGGGTGAGGAAGGAGGCGGGATTGTCCAGCACCGTCACGTTCGTGATGTTCACGGCGCTCATCGTCGCTCCTCCTCCTCCTCCTCCTGCTCTTCGAATCTAGGGAAGCAGCGACGCCGGCCCCCCGCTGCGCATGAAGCGGGGGCTCTCCCGAATCGATAGCGGAGCGAAACCCTAGAAGAATCAGCAGAAGAAGAACGCCTTCATGGATGGAGCTCTCGAAACAGCGCGCGAATACAGAGAGAGAAAGAGAAAGCGAAAATTCTTCGGAAATCGAGAGAGAAAAATGGCGATTTTCGGAGGAACAAACGAAAGACGGATTCTTTATTTTTTATTCCCTTTTTATTATTCAGTTTTTGTTTTTTCGGGGAAGGATTTTTTTTTTTTTGGTGTTTTAATGAGGGGGTTTCGTAGGTTTTTTGGCGACCGGGAAGCGGGACGGAGGGGGCGGGAGCGGCGACCGGCGATAGCCGGTGGAAATATTTGGCGGGAGATTGGTGGAGGGGGCCTTTTTTTTTGGGGGAGAAAATACCTGGAAGCAAAAGGAGAAAGGAGGGCCAGCCAATAAAGATGGGAAAGCACTATTGTAAAAAAACAAATAAAGGAAAAAGAATTTGTTGGGCTTTCCAATTTATTTGTGTTTGTAATAAAGATGGGAAAGAACTATTGTGAAAAAAAAAAAGGGAAAAGAATTTGTTGGGATTTTTCCAATTTATTTGTGTCTGCGGATGCCGATGGAAAAAAAAAAAGGAAAATGAAGCGAATAATCTTTAAACTTTGACTACATGTGCAATGTACTTCCTGAAATTTCTATTCATTTACTGTAGTCCATGAACTTCAGTCCAATGTGCAAAGTGGTCCCTAAACTTTTAATTTGTTCAATGTCGTCCCTGACTTTTGGAGTAGATAATTCATGGACTAAATTATATATGTAGCAAAAATCCATGAAAACGGCTGACATGACTTTTTTTTCAAATTATTTTCTTTCTTCTAAGTGGCATTGACATTTCTAAAGCATGAGGACTAGTCCAAAACAATATTGTTTTGATCCAAATCTTATTTTTTAATCTAAATATAATTTAAATTAAATTAACAAAAAAATAATGAAGGCAAGAGAGGGCAAGGGCCCTCGCCACCGGCCGCCGCTTCCCACCATCACTAGAAAAGGGCTAGCAAGGGGTGGCCGAAGTCGTCGAGCTTGGGCCAGTAGGCGGCGACCCTGTCCGATCACAGACCGGGGTCGCAGCCCTCCCCCAAATTTGGTGAGGGTCGCCAACCCTTGCCCTTGTTCAACTGCGAGTGAGGGTCGACAACCCCAGCAAATGCTAGCCCTACCATCACTAGCCCTTTCTAGCGATGGTGGGTGCCAGTAGCTAGGGCTTGCGCTCCTTTTTTTAAAAAATTTTGTATATATTTCTTAATTTAATTTAAATAATATTTAGACTAAAGATTTGGACCAAAACGACGTCATTTTTAATCTTTGTCCTTCATGTTGTAGTTACATCAACACCATGTAAAAGAGAGAAAATGATATATAAAAAAAATCGCGTTAGCATTTTCCGTGAACCATATTGTACGAAATTAACAAAAAAACTTGATTGCACCATTTTGATAAGTTTTAAGACTTGATTGCACTTTTCAAAAGTTTTAGGATTCAATTGAATTTTTATGACAAGTTTTAGGACTTCTAGTGCAATTAACTTTACAAAATTACAAACGATTTTGTACCTTCCGATGAAAAAGAAAACAGGATGTGCTTTTCTTAAAAATTTAGAATAAAGAAAAGCCAAGGGAGATTAAAAAAAAAAAAAAAAACACTCTGCTCCGCTACCTATATATATATATTATAACTATGCAATTGCAAACTGTAGAGTAATTAAGTCGAGGAGATATAGAATCACAGCACCGGAAAAGAGCATTTGAGAAGAAAAATGTCCTTCAAATAAGTGAGTGGAATTTGTGGCGAAAAGATCTACTGAGGAGGTGATACACTACGTGGAGGATTTATATACAAATTATTCAAGACAAGAAAGAGAAAGCTATGGCCAAGAAACAAGGAGAAAAGTAAAACTTTTCCATGACAGAGAGGACAAATTAAGATTCATCTTTAGTCCGCATCTCTTACCTTGATAGTGGACTGACTAACATTGCAAATGACATGGACCACACAGCACACCCAAGTCAAGTACGAGTGAAGCTGATTTTAAGGGAAATCTTGGAATCTATATCTTTTTAAGTCGGCCAATAATACAATTTATGCAGCATAAGTTGATTAAAAGTAGAGCTCAAGCGACTCGAGAAGTAAGATATGTCATCAGTTATGAACTGAGACCAGGTCCAAAGGGTGGATAGGCAGAGATCTCGCCGTTAGACACAAGCAAAATGGATAAAGTAGAGGAATGCATCTTGTATACCCAGTGATACGCCTGTACACGCATGGTTACATCCTCTCCAGGACACCAATCTGTACCAAATTTTTGCCATTTCGGCCTATCCATTTATCTAACTGCTGCTTATATGTTAAAAAAAAAAGGAGCCGAACGCAACACACTCGGCATGACACTAACAAGCTGTAACCCCACGCAACGAGGCTGGGATGCTGCTAAAGTCTTGACCTAAGTGCTAGTAGAGCACCTAACAGTTACAAAGATCCCGTGTGACTCGTGGGCATCATATTGAATTAGACACTGACGTAATCTTCCTGAATTTCTTCTTTACAGAAACTATTTACACCATCTGCAAGTGAAATATCAACCCGCCGCTGCTCAGCTATGACTTTCAGTACTTCCTGTCCATGAACAACTGCTGCCAATCTAATCAGAAGCCACAAGACAGATAGATGAAACATATGATAGCATGAAATAGGCGGCCTACTCCGAAAATGGCCACTAAAAGACGATGAAATGGATGAGGATACACACACGTGTGTATGGTTCCTTACCCTCGAAACTGCAAAATGGTTTAACTTCAACCCGTAGAGCTCATGTCCATCTTCCTACTCTGTGACTGAAACATCTCAGCAATATCAGCTGCTGTGCTGCAATCTTCTGGATTTCTATCCGACACACACCCAATAAATCTGGGAAATCGCATAGAAATGCCGCGAGAAGGATGAACAAAACCTACAGCAGCCTGGTGGACAGGTGACAGAGTAAAGTCTGCACCTCTAATTTCCCAGACTACTTCGGGAGAGAACCACATATCAGGCACCTCCGCTGTTTTGTAATAAGGTGGCTTCTTGGACAAGATCCTGTCCCCCGAAAAGAACTCTTTTATCTACAACAAGAATAATCAGCATTATAAAAACTGCTAGCTCCTCATCCATCAGCAAGAAACTGGCTATAACAGACGGGAAAAAGAAACCTATCTCACCAAACATTCCCATTCTTCCTTGACCAATTTATAATTATTTCATTTAAAAAAGTGCATAATAAATAGATCTCAGTGCAACACTTCCCAATTAGGAGTTACCAGACAAACACATTTTTCAAATACATTAACATAATGGCATTCATACTGAACAATGGTCAGTCAGCAGGGCTTCGCTAGTGGTCAGTTATTCAAAATTCTTCCTCCATCAATAGTTGCCCACTACTATTTCAAATTCAATGCATGAATAAAAGTTTGATCTTACGAGGCCTATACATGAAGCACTCAACTATAAGCAGCAAACAAGACTGAGAAAGAAGTTGAGAATTATCCTCATCATGGAGACTCTGTGGCCAAATCCACCCAACATGCAACTGAACTAGGCAAGGAAGATGGGCATCACAGTTAGCTTGTATTGTACCATTGCGGTATTCTCTCAAACTATTGTGCCTGCATTTTGCAGGATGGCCCATTGTGTAGATTTTTGGGGAAAAATAGTGCTAGGTTCCCAAGCATGTGCATTCACTGAGCAAAAGCACAGTTACTAGAGTTCATTTTTCTTTTTGTCCTCAATAACAATGGCGTGAAAAGATGACCATAAAAAGATCAAATCAAATACACTTCTCATTTACCTCAATGTAAAATGAATCAGAAAACCCAGACATTACACGACATACACTTTGATACTCCTCTGTGTCAGGATTGTAACATGACATCAGGAATGGACTGTACCTGATAGAACAATGTCAAATTTCAGCACAAGAGATGCAGTGCCACTCGAAAGTCAAATGCTAGTGATTAACAGACAAATCAGAAACCAAGGCTTGTCTGAAAGCTATTTTTTGTTTGTCGATACTGGGCATAGCAATCTAAAATAGTTAATTGATTAAATGAAGATCTCTCAACATTCATAGGACACCAAGACTAGAGATCATCGATGATAAAGCATAAAATGACAAAAGATTCTTTCATAACAGTGAGTCTCATGAAGCGTAACTATATTTCAAATCTTAAGCTGACCACCACTAACCTAGACCAAGTGCATTGACTACAATATTTGTAATGTAGGACGATGAGTCCCACAACAAAGAATAGACGTTTAGGCTTCTCAACGAAGTCATCCTAAGTATCACATCTACGGTTTCTTAGGCATCACACCTAAGAGAAGAATTGAAACACAAAATTCCAAAGCAAAGAATTGCCAATCTCAACTAATCATCAACTCTATCAAAAATTCGGCCAACAAAGAGAACTCTATCGAAAAGAAAGAATAACAACCATATAAACAGACTCTCTAAAAGTTCTACTGCCAGTCACAATAGGAAACTTAATACAATCCTAACAAGAATCAAATCCTAAAAGACATAATGCTACTACTTATTTGTTGTGAATTGGTGCAATGGTCGATTTTCGCCACAACTCGGTAAAAAAGTAAACATTGGAAACAATATCATTGCGCATGATTTTGTGGGCTGCACCAATTTGTAAGTGATCATCAACTGAAGAGACAATACTCTTATACAAATCCAGAAAATAACGAGACCAACGGAGACTCTGAGATGGGGGTTAGTGCAAGTTTGCAAATTAAGATGTCCATCAATTGCCTATTGGTGACAGTGATATGGGGTTTGCTACTAAGTGCCATCCATGCTTAACAGGAAGAGGATTAATAATTATGAGAAGTAACAACAGGGAGCAAGACATGATAATTACCATCCTGCTTTCCTCCCATTACCATGCCAGGCACCAATTGGGACTAAATCTAGAGAGTCACCCAATCCTTCTACATAGTCCCGCTTTACCTATAAAGAGAAAAGCACTACTGGTGAGAACAAGAAAAGCACTACTGGTGAGAACAGTCTTTTCTCAGTTTCTTTAAGTGAAATAAAGGAGTTCACAGAAAGGGCATCTCATAAGACCTTCAACCATGTTTCAGCACGTTTTGATGGAGAATATCCAGCATCGATGTCCAATGATTTTACCATAATCCCCTCACATGAAGAACGGAGTGCATCTTCAAGCAACAAGTTCATCCTAGTCAATGTATCTTCTCTATCCAAATGAGAATCCTCGGCATCCACCTACATTGGGATATCATGTTCAACTGATCTATGTAAACGCCTGGAAAACTCACTCAAACATGAAACTTACAGTCATTTCCTTAACATATTCAAAAAAGCCCTTCTTCTCATCATTGAAAAGTTCCCGCAAGACTGTCAAACATTATGCAGATTCACCAGAAACAAATGAATTCAGAGCATAAATCAGGACAATATTTCATGACTTAAGTTTCTTGGCATGATTAAAACATGGGGAAGGCAGACCTTTACGTCTTTCACGGAGAGGGAAACCCAGTAGCCTGCAAAAGAGGATGAGTTCTGTTCAAATTTATTCCTATTAGCTTAACTTCGCCACTTGAAATCGATAATAGTCCAAATGCACCTTCAATTTGAAACAAATTAACAGACTTAAAGTTACCATTACATGCCCAATTCGTGGCAAATTAACAGGCTTAAAATTAGCATGCATCAAGCCATAAATATCCATTGCACTTGCACATGGCCGGGTTACCTAAGAGGAACATAAGATGGTTCATCCTCACTTCCAGGAACTGAAAATGAAAGCTCGGTGGAACTTAAAAGTATAGAAGTAGGGGAGTGCATTAATTTACTGATACTTACTGCTCTCCATTTGCAAACATGACGTCAAAGACAAATATGCAGATATCAACCTGCATGAGGATAAAAACATCAGCATCCATGCAAAAACCAACACTCATTTACTACAAGCTGGAACTTTGATAAAAAGGGAAGGTCAATACATCAATATACAATGACAAAACTTTTGCCTGGCAGAGGAGGAACTTGATCCATCCTTTCTGAAATTACTTTAATACAACCGACAAAGTCGCTTCTCCTCAAAAGAACATCTCAACATAGTTTTTGTTAGAGATATTTAGGTATCTTATAAAGATATTTAGGATATTTCCTTAGATCCTCCAAATCTATTTTGATTATGCATATCTTATTTGATTGTCATCTACTCGAGCCTATTAATAGGTTCCACATACCCTTTTCTATTTACATTGAAAATATACAGAATTTCTCTCTCCCACTTTATTCACAGTTTTCAATCTCTTGTAAACATAGAAACATACCCTCTGACATTTTAAAAACAATTTAATAAACTGCTAAAAACACTTTATCTATATACAAAAATGATTTTCGAGTAACAAGTGGACAGGATACACAATATGGTCACTCGGAAGAAATGCTCTTTCAAAGCTGCAAAAGGATAAAAGGTTATGGCTGTAAGTTTTGTAGTCAGGACCTCATCAGAAAACTAAGGCTAAATACAAGGTATATTTAATTTCAGAAGCCAAAAAGACAATTACATTCCTTTCTGCAAAACTAATAATCATATCCATAAGGTGACTAAGACAGGAACATTTAGTGATGCAAATAAGCAAAAGTTTTCAGCTGTACAAACCTTAATGCTATCCAATGAAACCAAAGAATCTCTACCCCCTCTCTCTCGTGAAGATAGTTCCTGAAACGACATGAGCTTGCATCCGCACTTCCGGTCAACAGCAACTACCTATATGACACCGAATCAAAGATAAGGTAGCAGAACCCAGTCATATGAGATATTCAATAACATGATTGTCTTTTAATTTTGACACAATTGTATAATCTTACCTCAGCATCCAATATGAAAGTCACAGCAGAAGGCTTACACGATTCCTTAATTATGGCAATCACATCTGGAAATCTAGAAGTTGTCTCATCTCCATTTCTTGAAAAAATGCGGATAGATCCATCAGCTAGCTTGTGAATCTGAGCACGTTGACCATCATATCTGACATTCAATCAAGGAGACAAGTTCCAGATGTATCATACGAAAGCATAAAACTTCATAATACTAAAAAGACAGTCAACTGCTCAAGAAAAAAAATTTCAATGCATCTCTCACTGGAAAATGCCACCACACAAGTGTTTCTTCAAAAAAAACAAAAACATCAAAATAAGTGCAAACAGCAACATAAGTTATTACTCATCCGCAAACAAATATAGAATTCTTAAAAGAATAGAACAACCAATCTCTTGCAGTATATTATCAAAGTAGAACCGGAAGCATCACATAACATACCGATTCATCCATTCAGCTCTTTGGGTCTACTCCATTTACAATACTACAGTCCAATTTCAGTTTCATCTATTACTAATTGAAAGGTTTCTGTCAAGATTGGATATCCATTAATCATTATTAACCATGGTGCAGTTCCAGATCAGATAATTTCCAAGAGCAGTGATCATCATCCAAGGTCTGAGATTTATAGCAAATGACAAGTACGTGCTCAGAATGTATGGTTCCCTTTTTATGACCGGTTCAGAAAAAATTGTTTGGATGGCATTGTTTCTGGTTCCTGTTTTTTCAAGCTGTTAACAAGAAAGAATCAAGGAACAATACTCACAATTTTATGAACATTAAGATTATGCAAGCAGATAAGTAAAGGAACAATACTCACAATTTTATGAACATTAAGATTATGCAAGCAGATAAGTAAACAAATAGCCAAAAATTAGCCTTTCTGATATCAATTAATGTAAGCATTGAAAAGTAACAAGATGAAACAAAATAGAAGAAAAGAGGAGAAAAGATAGAGAGTGGTACTCACTTATATTCACACGTGAAGGCCCTACTTTCAAAGAGTTTCAATACTGATGGACATCCATTGGTAATTCTGTCGCCAAATAGGAAAAGAAGCATAAATTCACAACAAATTTCAAAGGGAGAAAAGGCCAAATGAGAAGCTCAAGAACTGAGTCTATACTTTGCAAGCATCGGCTTTATAGGCAATCCAGGGATCATCGACAAATGCGAGGAAGAAAATTCAATTCCTTCCTTCATTAAAGAAGGTATAATCAAATCCTGTCCACAAAACTCACTGGCTCAAGTAAAGCATTTGCCAAAACAGAATCTTCCAAGACCCAAAAGATTGATGGAAAAGAAGATAATGCCTCTTATGTAATAAACAAAAGGTAGTATTTTCTTTTTGCATGCTCATATCTTGGTCTCTAATTACTGCTCAAAGTAACTTGATCAGGGATATCTCAACTGAAAATTTGTGAATGCTCCAGCAAAACAGAGCTCAGCTCATTATTATACTTTTTAAGAGACAATGCTAAATGGCCTCTCCAATTTTTGTCCATGTACCCCTTTGTATTCCCTACCTTAATACCTCCAACTTTTCACCTTCAAATTTTGTTAGTAGACTGCAAATTGGACCAAGTTGCCAATTTTCTACCAAGAAAAAATGCTCTTACCATTTTTTAACTTCAACATTAAGTTTTGTTCGCTAAAGAATGGTATTTGGTCTTTTAGGCTAGTCTAAGATGAAACTGGTATTTCTAAAACTTGAGGATGTGAAGTGGTATGTGGAGTGGATGCAATATAAAGCGAGAATTTAGAACGTTCCCCTATGTTTTAGTAAACCAGGAAATAAAAAGGTGTCTAATCAGATATGACTTAAACATATTAATTATAAAAAACTAGTCTAAAAGAATTGCATTTTCCCCCATAAACTTAAGTATACTATGCATAAAATGCCACAAACTGGCATATGCAGGTCTCAGAAAGCAGTAGAATGACATTGAACCAAAAATTACTGCCACTTGAATGAAAAACTTACCAAACTAGGAAGAACATTATATGCTTCAAGTATGTAGGCAGAAAGGCTCTGCCAAGCAACAAAGACATCAATTAAGCAAAACTGGGATAAGCAATCAACTGTTTGCAAGTGCAGTTGCAAGTACATTGCCATTCCTTAATTTACAATAATTTTAACAACTAATAATAGACAATCAAAGTGAAACTTTTTACTAGGGTAAAAGACAAAACAGTGACTAATCAATATGCCAAAAACAAAAGTGTGTCTGCTTTGGATAACTGTGACTTTTAACCTAGGGCTTTTAACTTTTGACTTTAGCTAAAACTTTTGACATTTGGGATTGGATTTTTGTTTTATAATTAACCACGATTAATTTCTATTAATTAAAGAGTTCATAACAATTTTTCATTAAATTTGTCCAAATTAGTCCATCACCTACATTTTTAGCGGAACTGCAATGAAAGGAAGATAATCATCTTCTGCTAAACATTGTATTTTAACCTGGAAAATATTATCCCACAGTCCTATTTGTTTCTCCCGCAATTACTTTCCACTACTTTCATTTTTCCTGCTTTCACAGTACACACCCTTTCCTCTAACAGAGCCAAGAAAAGAAGAGAAAAACTACATTAACCACCAGCTTATGACACAAAGTAACTTGACAATGCACAAAAAGACACAGCAAAATGGCGCACGAATCTTTAGGCAAATTTACTTCACTTATTTTCTTCTTTTGAGTATTTTTGTCTGTTCTGTCATGGCACACAAGATTGAAAGGCCTCACATCATTAAAACTACATAAATACTTAAAATATTTTCCAAAATGAGAATATTTTCCGCCAAACGAACGGAGCCTTAAAGTCATTTTCTAACAACTATTTACATTAAATTAATATTTAATTAATTAAAGGACACAAACAATGAAATTGGGGCCAAAGACCCCCAAGCACCTATTAATCTTCCCACTTAATGAAACTAAAGTTCAGAATTGCACAATTCATTTTAACCTGAATCTTCTCCAACTTTTGTGATGTGTCTTCAAGAGATGAGTTCATTACAACAGCTTGAGCAAATGCAGGCAGAACAGTTCTCATCATTGCTCCAATCCTTAGATTCCTAACCTGTAATAAATGCAAATGGCAAATATTACTAGGAATTTTTTCAACAAAAAAAAGGAGCATAACTACTGTTAATTATATATGACAGCAATACGTGATATTGAATGAAGTACTTCAGAATCAATCAGGAAAGCTTGTAATGCACTTCCTCATCCCAAAGCTTTTGCCCCAGTCAAAACTCACTCCCTCCCTCCCTCCCTCTTGTGGCGGAGAGTACCTCAATGCATCTATTGGTAGGACTTAACCAATTGCCAGGAAAAATGAAACTCTCTCTCTCTCTCTCTCTCTCTCTCTCTCTCTCTCAAAAGTGAGAGGGTGTCTGTATTATAAAAAATAAAAGAATTATTCATAAAGATCCATTACTCTTAGAGTACAATGATTTCTTACCAAGGTTCTTACAATAAATTTCATCTCCATCTCCCTACAGGATCGCATGAGACTCACAATAAGGCTCTTTTTGCGGACATTGCTTCCACTCCCTGTTTGGAAACTGTTAAACTTCACTTGAGAAAGAAGAGAGAGAATCCACCAAGTGGCCAAACTGAAATAACACTCATCAGAGATGAAAAAAAAGAATGTGCTCCAAAATTACCTCATTCATGAAATTAATTAACGACATTAAAAATCATTATAGAGGAATTTCAAAATTTTCCCAAGAGGAAAATTCTGCGATAATGTATGAAGAATGAGAATCTCTCATAACTTAACCATGCTCTCTCTTAAGATTTAAGCTGCTGAAATAAGATAAGAAGATAGAATATCTCATACCTTATTTTTTTTAGCACAGAGAAAACATCTTTAATCAGCAGCACCGGAGGCGGGGCAAGAAAAGTTTGTGTTTGTCGGCATTCTTGGGCGACATCACCTGAAACATTTTAAACTTATTTAATAGGACAAAGAAACACACATAAACAGAGATAAAGGGTGGAGGAAGATTGCAACAAGTCAAAGCAAGAAATACGTTCTGAAAATAAACAAAGTATTGATTTTTGCGATACCAAGATCACCCAATCTGTTGTACATATCCCTTATTTTAGACCTTTTCGCTCCACAGACATCTTCAATGGCTGCTGTGACCAGGCTTCCACCAATATTTAGCTCCTGCAGGATCATCACATAATACATGTTTATCTTGTCTCTATCATTCACATGCAAATGCAATCAGTCAATTTAATCACATAAAATGGGAAAAACATGCTTTCGCTTTGCTATTTTTGCATACAAGATACAAAGTCGAGTGCAAACAGGATACATTTCTAAATCTTACCTCAATAAAAATGATTTATTTCCAAGCTAAAGTTGAATAAAGTAACAACCACAAAAGTACCATTTACTTGGTTTATTGATGCTAGAAGCTAATCAATCTGGAATTATTCACAAACTAACAGAAGCTATTTATTTCACACCATATAACTAACTCGTCTTTCCAGTGATGATAAGTGATTCTTATCAGTAAGACAAAAACTCAACCCTATCGGTCCTACAGCCTCAGGATTATGAGGGAAATGCACATTTTGGTCAGACACATTGCACAATTTAACATTATTGGAATGCCAGCACTAAAAAAAGCCTTTGACAGACTAGTTATCATCCATTTTCACAATTTCCAAACAAATTCATGAAAGTAGAAAGATCAGAAGGCTCAAAGACAAATCAACACCCTTCATGACCAAAGAAGATGACTCGTTAAATAATGCTAGTAAACTAACCATATTTTCGTGGTCAGGAGCAATCTTGTTTGTGCAGAGATACATAGCAGGTAAAACATCCTCAGGTGACAAAGCCAACAAACTGTGCATTAAGAAAATAGAATAAATATTACGCCTGCCTCTGATAGCTAGCAAGAGTAACTCCATAAAAAGAAAGGGGAGAAAATGAAGAATCTGGATTTTATAATAGCTTCAGCACACCTTCTGAGCATGTTGCAAAGCATGGATGTAACTTTTATCTTGCCTTTTTCCCTTTCAACAAGGTCAAAAGTCCGTGCAAGATGTATGTAAGGAGCGGGCTCTCCACGTCTCCAGGAAGCTGCAAATGTTCGAAACAGTCATCATATGTTTTGTTTGAGGATCCCGTGAAAAGTGAAAAGAAGTATGCAGTGAGTTTCTTGAAAAAAAAACACACAATCCTCAAAAAGATGCCAACCGTGCTCAATAGGATTATACTTTTCAAGTGGAACTGACACGAAATCTGTGCATATTTCAGCTAATGGACGCTCCACTGAAATAGCTGCCACACTTCCTGATTTCTCTGACAGTGTGATTTGGCCTGTGGTGAATTTACCATCACTAGTGGTGACAGATTGACTTGGGGCCACAGTAACAACTGAAATGTCATTATTGTCTACAGGTCTACTCTCTGTATCACGATAATATACATCCAGAGCCTTGTCGATGTCTCCTTTTGTTTTTTCCAAGATGCTGGCAGCATAGCTTCTTAAGGAATCATCACCATTAACAATTTGAATAAACTGATCTATTTTATCATAATATGAGCTTGAAAACTTATCATCTTTAAAGCATGGCTGGAAGTTGGGTTCAACTCCACCATCTTGAGAACTGCTGTTGGGAACACTTTTAGTGAAAAACCTTGTTATTCTAGATTGTCCTGATCCACTTGACTCCAATTTTTTTGGTGCGCTCTTCTGCTTCTTTTTAGGGCTACTACTAACATTTCTCTTCTTTTTTCCAGGAGACTTGCTGGTCATGGTTAATTGCACGGTTGACAACTTGTAGTCCTTGCTAAACGTACTTCTCGTTCCACAGGCGCTGCCCTTTTCAGAATCTGGTGCTGAAGGTGATGAATGGACATCACCTGAACCCATAACGGATGCCCGCAAAGAAGAAGCAGAAGCATAAGCAGAAACTTGTTGGTAGAATTCAGTCTCCTTTTCATAGAAATTAGAAACTGCATCAACCAAATTCCTCCCTGTGCTGTTAATTAGGCCTATCATCTGGTCTCGAGTAACCCATGCTGGAAGACAATCTTGGAGGGCCTGTAGAATTTCCTTCTCACCCTCTTCCGAAGGCAAATCTAACTCTTCAAAACCTCCTTTTTTGAGATCAGTTGTTTCACCTAAAACAGATTTTGGATCCAAAGTTTCGCTAAGATCTTCCTTTGATAAATTCTCCTCTTTTTCTCGCATCAAAGCATCACTTGAAGCAGTAGCAACTACTTCTCCAACTATGTCCTCTTTCTCAGAGGACCTTGGGAGGAAATTCATCAAGAACTCTTTCTTGTTGGCTGTCTCGTCAAGCAATCCGGCAAAATGCTTTTGCACTCTATGAAAATGCTTGCTGTCAAGCTTCTCAATGTCCGAGCCAACTGTAGGAACAACACGCTTTGGTTTTAAGAACTTTACAAACTCCCTTAGCTCATTGTAGTTCGAATGCTCACTATACGGTACAAGATGAATCTCGAATGAATCTTTCTTCCTTATGGCAAACTTATCTCGCTTCACTTCATAAGTCCACCCAGTGGGCACAAAGCCCACAACCTTATTATATCCTTTTTCTACCATAATCTCCTTCATCTGAACAAAATTAGGTCGAAAATATGGCCATGTCTCACCCAACACATTCCACCCAACAACATGAACAGCAGTTTCACTTTCATCCTCCGTAAATGCACCACTCTCGCCATACCCCAAAGCATGCAAAATCGCCATCTTCCTACCATCCACATACACCTTACAACCACACCGCCTCGCTACCTCGAGCAAAATCCGCTCTTTCCCTATGACATAAGTCGCCACGATGAACAAAATGCTCTTCGCCGAATCCCTATTTTCACCTCCAACTCTCTCTATGACACTAACTATGTAATCAATACTCTCTTCCTGACAAGGGAACACAAATTTCGGATTACAATACGTGGTATCCAAGAAAATCGCGTCGCAAGCCACGAACTCTCCCAAACCGGGCTCTAATCTCATCGAATCACGAAACCGAAAATCGCCCGTGTGCACATACCTCCGGAACTCACCATCACCACCTCCCGGGACTTTGAACAGGAACATGACCGCGCCGGGGCAATGGTTGGCGTCCACGAGCCTGACCTCGCAGCCATCGATCGAGACCGCCTCCCCGACCGGCAGGCTGACGACCAGCGCGGCGGGCACGCCGAGGACCTCGATCAGGAGGCGGGAGGTGGTGGGGGAGCAGAAAACGACGCCCCGGGACCAGGCGGGGGAGAGGCCGGTGTAGTGGTCGGAGTGGAAGTGGGAGAGGAAGTAGGAGACGGAGTGGTCGCCGGCGAAGCGGAAGGCGTCGACGAGGAAGCGGGTGTGAGGGATGAGCTTCGAGGGAGGGAGGTCGGGCGGCGGCGGAGGGAGCGTGGCGGAGGTTTTGTCGGTGGCGGCGAGGAAGAGGCGGGTGGAGTCGTAGGATGGGGCGGTTTCGGAGGAGGAGGCCATGGAGTGCAGTGGCGGAAGGTCGAGGAGAGAGAGAGAGCATTTCTACGGCGGAGGAGAGAGAAAAGGCGGTTCGGGTTTTCGTACGGCGGTTACGCGGCGGAGTGGTGGCCGGAAAAGGCGGGGGCAAAAAAGGAAAGAGGGCTGCCGGCGAATGGTCCGTACGAGCGCTTATGGTTAGGACTAGGACGGCGAGGGGTAATTGCCGAGCTGAAAGCTCGAATAAGGTTCCGACTCCCGATGGGATTCCGAGATGGCAAGGGGACAGGAGTGAACTTAATTTTACGTCGAACAGACCAAGAGCTCGAATAAAGTTCGACTCCTGATGGGATTCCGAGATGTCAAAGAAGTGGGAATGAACTTAATTTTACATCGAACAGATATGAAATATGGATTAATTCATTATGATAATGGATAATTTCTCGAAAAAGAGTTTCTTTGAATGTCGAAGGATAATCAAAAGTGTCAAAGCGGACAATATATCGAATAAATTAATTAAGGAGTGTCATAACTATAGTCATTCATGTGTAATTTATGCCAATTGTGGTTAATTTACAAACCTAAAATTCTATGCTTTTTGATAATAAGCAACAAACTAGGAACGGATTTATATGGAAATTAATATCCTCATAAGATTATTTTAGAAAGTTAAGTTGTAATATTCAAAGAATAAGATTTTTAAATTAATAAGCTCCATGACATTTTTTATTTTTAATTTTCAATCAAAAAACCCAATCTAGTCCTAAAGAAGCAAAAACATAAATAAATAAAGGACAATGATTCAAATAGTTCATGAACTTTGATCTAATATGTAATGTGATCCCTAAACTTTTAATTTATTTGATGTAGTCCCTAGATTTTAATCATGAACATTTTATATAGTTCGAAAACTAAATTGAACATATATTAAAAGCCTAGCAAATTAAAAATTCAAAAAATATATTACATATTAAATTAAAATTTAAAAATCATATTGAATAAATTAAAATTTTAATAACCACGTTCTAGATTGGGCCAAAGTTGGGGCCCGTGTCATTTTCCCAATAAGAAAACAAGTCAAAACCCTGAATCTCAGCCAAATAAAACCCACCCACGACCACACTTCATCGCGCTTTGTCGGAGCAACGCGCAGACAACAGCCACCACAGCAATGGCGCCATTCACCCTCTCGCTCGACCCTTGCTCCCTTCCTCACTGCCTCCCTCCATCTTCATCATCATCATCATCCTCATCCTCATCCTCATCATCTCCATCTTCGCTCGTTCATCAGCTCCATCTTCACTCGCCTTGCGAGCGGCCGAAACCGGCCGCCATCTCCATCTCCTCTTCCTTGCAAGGTTCGGTTCCTTCGCCCCCTTTTCGTATCTGTTCTTCACCATAGCTTGCTTCAATTGCTTCTTTGCCTTCTTTCGTTTTAGGGGCTCGGGCTCAGTTTCCGATACGGCAGGGGAAGCCTTCTTCCTCCTCATTGCTGCGAACGGCTGCGGTTCGGCACCTGGAGGGATCCGTCACCGGAACCGCGGGCCTTCGCTTTGGCGTGGTCGGTTTCCCATTTTTTTGACTTCTTCTTTTTTGATTTGTTCATATTCATTCGGCGTGTATTTTCGCCCCATGTTGATTTGATCCGAGGGACTATTGAGGTTCGTCACTGAACGATATCTCATGAAAACCCAATTTATCTTTAATCTGTCGCTTGAATTGGGAGGAGCTTGTGAATTGGACGTTCATGGAATGGATGAATTTGAACACATTTGCTTCGAAGGGTCACATATTAGATAGGTATTTTGAAAGGACTGTCTTTGCGCTGAAACGTCTAATGAATGTACCTTTGTTATCGGTAGGTGGGAAATAATTACATTATGTAGTCAGCGGTACTTTTCTCTTTGGTGTTTCATTGGGAATTTTTAAAACGTTGCGAAGGTTTTGACAATTTTTGTCAATCTCATAAGCTGGTTCACCACTATGCCGAAACTTTGCTTGTTTGCCATTGTCATGGGGCTTGCTTCGTAGATGTTCATGGGGTTCTCTTTAAAACACATATTCCGTGGGTTTTTGCCATATGAAACGTACGTGATGCAGACTGATAGACCGTGTGATATAAGTTGCTGTCTGGTGATTATTGTTTGATTTAATTTGTCTGGTAAAATTGCAGCTGCTAGATGTTTACATTAGTATGTCACTATTTCAGGATATTTCCTTCGGTCAATATGATATAAACCTGAACCACATGAAATTGGACTTCTGAATTTGTCTTTCAGTGTGGATTTTTATTAATACTGAGAGGTATTACACCTGAAAAACCACTGGTTGCAACGAAGGATTTTGAGTAGCCTCTGTAATGCAATGATAAGATTATTCAAGTTTTAATTAGTCTTTCTCGCATGAAAAAATAGTTTTCTTTTTCTTTTTGCTTTCACTTTGTACGTTCTGATTTAAATATTCTTCATCCAAGGTAGTGTGACAAGAATAAACTGATTGGTGAATCTACCCTATCTTATTTTGATGATTCGGTTATTTCAACTTGAAGTGCGTGTTCATAGTTTCTTTTCATTACTTCATTGTAAAGGTTATAGCACGGTTCAACGAGATTGTGACAAAGCTCCTACTGGAGGGTGCTCTGAACACTTTCAGAAAATATTCAGTACGAGAAGAGGACATAGACGTGAGTAAAACTCTGTAGCTCTTACATTCCACATGCCCACAGCTCTGGGACTTTGCATGGTTCCTGTTTGTAGAGTTGGTAGAGATAATAGTCTTACATTGTCATCAGGTTGTATGGGTCCCTGGCAGTTTTGAAATAGGCGTTGTTGCCGAAAAGCTAGGGAAGTCTAAAAAATATCACGCAATCTTATGCATTGGGGCTGTGGTATGTTTTCCTTTCCTTCTGGTCACAGTATATTTTGCTGATGGATTCCTCCAAGTCCTGGTCCCTTCATCCTGTTTAGGATGTGAATAACTTGCTGTTTGGGGCTAATTGACATGTCTTAAAATGTCAATAGATAAGGGGTGACACTTCACACTATGATGCTGTTGCTAATTCGGCAGCCTCTGGGGTGCTTTCTGCTGGTCTTAATTCAGGTTGATACGTGCTTTCTTTTACTTACGAAGCTGCTTTGAATTTTTAGTGTCACAAAATACATGAACTCAAGAATTTGTTTATTATATGCAGACTATCAGATCAAGATTAATCGTAGAGCAAGATATAATTCCTTTATAAGCATTTGATCAACTTGTTATATTCCTTATGATGGCTAGAAAAATGACCCCAAATAGATATAGTGACGGTAACAAAGGGAGGGAGATAATTTATCTGAAAAATGGCCAATATGGTTTCAACCACCTTAAGGCTGTCACAGGCTGTTCTTTTTCAACATATGGCACATAATTCAAAAGATACTGCGGTTAGATACTTAAGTTCTAGTGGTTTTGTCCTTTGCCATGTAAAGGTGGCGTTCCCTCACAATAAGCGTGTGTTTCCTCTCTTAAAATGTTGCTACACATTTGTTCTCAATTGCTGTTACAAAAGTGATTAGTACTGTTTGTTATATTGAATGTTTCGTGACAGTGTTAGTAATGGCACTTGCACCAAACTGAAGGTCAAAGCAGATACTTGGTGGGTGTAGGAACCTCCATCTATGCAGGACCGATCTGTGCAGATTCTTATTTTTGTAAAACTGTCTGTATGGGGTACGCACTTTGGAAAATCTTTGAATTGATCTGATATTCTTAAGTGGTCACAGAAGTTTGGCCAAAGCGCCCATAGTTGACGATATTCATTGCTCTTATTCTCATATAATTGCTGATTTTCCAAGTCAGATACTAGCCTGTCAAAAGCAAAATAATCTTATGGGTGAATTTGTAGGTGTTCCGTGCATCTTTGGGGTCTTGACCTGTGATGACATGGACCAGGTGATTAATCGTTCTGGGATTTTTATCGATTTTGGGATTTGTGGTTGATATATTGCGTTCATCAGGGTTAGATTCACCTATGGATAAACTTTTCCTGCTATCTGCAGGCTTTGAACAGAGCTGGTGGAAAAGCTGGGAACAAGGGATCTGAGGCTGCTTTAACTGCCGTAAGTTGTTGCTAGTTATTCTCTTAGTTGAGCGGTTATGTTTGTTTGTATATAGTGTTGCTTTCTACTCTCTTTTCCTTTTCGACTTTGCTTCTCTTTCTCCTATTATTTATTGTACATTGGTTTGCCCCCAATTTATTGATATGTGGAAAAACGATGGAGTGCGAATTGCCCTCTTCATCCCATGATCCTTCGGTTTGGCTGGTTTTGTCTTTGAACATGATAAAACGACTTGGTGAGAAGCCGCGGGAGTATTTCATCGTGCTGGTATTGCATATAGCATATCTCGCAAAGGTAGTTTGGCATTTCATGGTCTCCCTCAAACACAGTTTAAGCTTAATACCTCTAGTCTCTTATAGCAACTGTCAGTGTGCCCGAACAAATGCTAGACAGAGTTTCTCAATATTAGAAACTAGAGTCCTCCAATCAATTAAGTACCTGCTAGTACCCATAGAGATATCCCTGAACATATAACTCACCCTACCCCTAAACTGCCTCTATATGGAGATATGGCTAAGCAAAGCCCCCTAAACATCTCTATCCAGAAAGTCCAATTGTACTTGCAATAAGATCCTGATTTGTTCCAGCCTACATAGACGTGAAGATTCCTTGAGTGTTCTAATTGAACTTGTCCCCGAAGAAGGTGACCCCAGCGACAGTTTGCCTGAAATTCCTTCATTTCACTGTCTTTAGGGGCTCTATCTTCAATCCTTTCGCAAGTTTAGGGAGATCTCATATCTCTTAATTTGACAAACAATGTACTTAATCTGCATGGATTGGGGCCCTCATCTTTGGATGTGTTCTCTTATTGCCATTGTGAAATGAGAAATCTTGTTGACTGGTGTTTGGCTAAGATGTAATGATGTGCTTCTAGTTCTGGAAACTTGAGAAAAACCATCATATCGTGGTTCTTTTTGTGCAACTACCTTCCTGTCGGACTGTTAGGGAATTGTCTTGTGCATCAGCAAATGACCTTTCGGTATTATCTGCCTGTGTGAAAAAAGAACTATGAGGAAAGGTAACCATAGCTTAATTTAAACAAACTATAAATAGCTCTTATGTATTTTCACTGGTTGATCTTGCTGTTGCAATTCCTGTACTCCGGGTTTACTTATATACATACACAATGCATCTGCATCATCGCCTGCTAGAGTTGGGTAGCTCGCCTCGTTGTCATGCAAGGGCTGTGCCTCCCTTATCGGTCTTGGGTGAGGGTCGCCCAATCCTGCTTTTCTCTGAGGCATAAGGAGGGTGAATGACCCTCACCAATGTGCTGGCCACCCCTCTCTGGACTTAAATGTAAACTTGGTTTCTCCTATGGACGATCCTATGAATTCAGCAAGATAAATCTTAGTCTCTGCCTTCTCCCTTTCGAATTTATTTGTTTACTTGCTTTGTGAACTGTTGGCCTTATTTTGCCAATTTTTAATTTAGTTATGTGCCTGGCAGATCGAGATGGCATCTCTGTTCGAGCACCACCTGCCATTGGTTTGACGGGCAGAGCTGGGCATAAACTTTCCAAGTCAGCAGTTGCGGCATGTATTTCAATAACTTGTGCATTCACCCATGAAGGATTGTAAGGGCTTCTGGATTACGAGAACTATGATGCAGTAGAAAATGCTTACACGACTTATTAACATAAATGTTTCGGTACCTTTCGTCATTGGATCGTCGTAGCCATAAAATGATCTGGTGCCTAGGCAACGCTCTTTGATCTTTGGTTTTGCCCAAATGGAGCTTATCGGCATCAAACTCTGGCTGTGGACTGTAGGGCAACGTATAAGCGGGAATTATTCTATCTTTATTTAATTGATCTTGGGTTGAAGAAGCAGTTTTTGCTGTTTGATCTATGTAACTTGAGCATGTGTTTATCAGGACGAGGCAAGAATTGGTTTACTCTATTAATGAATAATTTGATGGACTAATGAGCGCATTTTAGTGAATATCTAATCTTCATGTGCGCGCATGTGTTTATATATATACATATAGATTGTATTTTTCAATATAATATAATTAGCTGAAGAAAGTTATCCTCTATGATCGTGTATATTTTGGTAATAAATTTTTTAAAATAATTGTTAATGTATATGTATATTATATTTTGAACTATCTACACAGAAAAATAAGGTCAAAAGTTGTATTCATGATTGCGTATGTTTTATAATATTAAGATTAGCAAATTAATAATAATTTACTCATTAATACAAATAGTCTACTAAAGAAATTAATTATTTTAAGAGGTTTTTCATACCAAGATACTGCACATTTCATCGATACATGATGCTAGAACTTATACAATACGACACCCTCCATACGATAAATAAATGGTATTAGATGGTCAATGAAAATTTCATCATTAGAGAATTATAGCTCATCTTTTATATGTAAATATTACAAAATCAATGAAACGATTATCGTTAAATAAATGAAAAGAACCCATCATTATAAAAATTCTATAGTGTATTTTCAAAGAGTCATATTACGCGACTGTGTATATGTCGTGAATAAATTTGACTAAAAGCATTAATTAGTGGCACTAGCCTTATGATCAAACTTCATTTCGGATATATCCATGAACTAACTAGAAAAGAACCAGCTCTCAACGATGCTGTTCGAAACAACAATCCGTCTGTGCCCGCGGAAGCGGCTTGAACGAGGGAGACGATGAATAATAGAGAGGGAAAAGAATTTGAAAGAAAAAAAAAAAAACCAATCACGAGGTACAAGAAACTTTCTAAAGGGGCATTACATCGCAAAATTAAAGTGGCTTTGTATCCAGAAAAAAGGTGGTTAATTTCACACTAAGACGTTGGCCCAAGGCCTAATTATATATGTAAAGAATCTCCAATTTCGCACGGATTAAGCTCTCACAAGAGCACTGTTGCTCTTTCCCTGGACGATTAGAACTAGAAGTCTAATACTTTTCTTCCGAGATAGAAAAACAATCAGGTAACAAATCAAATTGGAACGATTGATCAAGTTTTTTTATCGAATTATGTGGAGGGGAAACAAAAAATACATTTGTCAAAGAAAAGGGTTCACATTCTTTCGTCAATCTCTCGCGTTAGGATTCTCTTAAGCATCACCTATTCACACTTTGTTCCTTTGGATTAAGATAGAACTATCATTGAATATATAAATGGACAAATGTTGGGTTGATATTATCATCAACCGAGATGAATTTATAGGACGAATTTTTTTTGAAGGGACTAAGATTAAAGAAATTTCATCATATTTAAGAAATTATAATCTACTCTATCAAAGACAGAGCGATGTACGTACATCCACAGGAAGCTGGAAGAGAACACCGTAACACTAGAATCAATCACCTTTGTTGAAGTGTACATGAGAATTGTTGAAGCCCCTTTTACTAAACTAAATATATATATATATCTATCTTTGAGATTCCCTTTTCACAATGTATATTATATATAATAAATATATCAGATATAAGATTCATATAGAAAGTGATTAACTTTCGATAAAATCTTGCAAAATTACTCGATTAAATAAGTTTCCGTATTTGTCGTCTGTTTTTGACTTTTCCCTTGTAAAGCATTCCCATCTCACAAGACACGGGAAGGTAAACAGAGAGAAAAAAAAGGCAACATTACCTACCTTTAAATTGAAATTTTTATACACGGATCCCACCAACAAAAATACAAATTTTCTTTCCATTTTGCCCGTACAAAAATGATGGATCGTCTTTATAAACTGCCTCCCATCAATGTGGTTTCCAATGGGCAGTTATCAACGAAAAGGTACGAATGTAGAAAACCGTATGGTGGAATCAACACCGCTCAAGAGAGAAAAATGGGGATCAATATCAAAGGACGGATTTTATTTTAAAACCACATCCCTAAAAATATGGGATCACATTATACATAATACCATCAATACACGAAAGGATTGGCTTAGTAGGCTACGCCCATAATTGCTGTCAAATTTCTGTCTGCGCGGATTTTCGATGGCTGGAGGTCAGATTTATTTTGCGTCCTGTTTTCCGCACGTGATTCTAATTTATGCTGGAGTTCTGTTTGTTCAATGCATGAATAGAATCGCTTCGACATGGCGGCGACAAGAACCCTTCTATCTCCTCCGGGTTCAGCTCCGGCACGGCAGCGGCGGAGGTCGCCGCTCGGCCCCCCCCCCCCCCACCTCCTTGGCGGCAGAGCTTGCGGCGAGGAACAGCGCCCCCATGTCGGTCGCGGTCACCGGGGAGTTGAGCCAAGCCGCCGCATCGGGAACATGACGTAGACGTTTGCCATCTTGAGGTCGCGGAGAGAGCACGAGTTGACGTGTTCAGGGTCTCGAGCATGAGCTCCGCCGCCTTGGTGGGCGCGCGGAACTGCTGGTCCTCCCAGCCAGCGAAGATCACCTTCGCGGCCCGACAGGGTCCAACGAGAATCGCTCTGATGTAGAAGGGATAGCGAGAAAACCAAGAGAAGTGTTAACATATTTATATACATATGACTGAAGAGGTCTCTTAAAGTTCCTTCCAGTGGTAGGCTTGCTAGGCAGATAAGGGGGAGGATTTTTGTAGCTTTCAGGCATGTTTTGCTTTGAGAAGGTCTTCATCGACCGTGGATACAATAGATCTATTACCTGATATCGGGCATGTTATTGCAATGCACATCCTCCTTCAAGTTTTCAAATATATGACGTATTCTTTGAAGATAATTAATTTAATCACAATAACATAACAGTCTTTGAGCTGCTGTTAAAATAACAGCATGTCGTGAGTCATAAATTCTTGAAGGAATGAGCCTCGCAGCAGTTTCTAATTATTTGTTATCTATTTTTTTTTTGGGGCCCAAAAAAGACTATTATTTTCACATTAGATTAAGGACCATCACATAAGCATTTTTCATTACGTATTTCAGATTTTTGAATCGCAAGCTTCATGCCACGGTAAAGTTAACACATGTGACTTTCCAAAAGAAAATAAGGAGAGGAAAAAACAAAAGGTTTCTGAAGGGACCAGTACTTCCGACCAAAAACAATCGGTCGAGCACCTGAACACAATGTGCTTATTAGTGTAGCTTTATTCAATCTGCTTTCCGTAAACACTTCTCTCCACAAACTCTGGTCGAGTGGTTGGATAAAAAAAAGATGAATTGGAGACGTGAAGACTGAAGAGAGCTCACAAAGCAAAGCTCTTTCTACCACAAGTCATTGGAGGTGGTGGGGCTTTTGATCATCAAAGCTCGGGGAATCTGTTCTTTTTTCAAGCGTGTTGCAAATGGCACTTTCCCAGCAAAGCTTAGCGGAGCTCCGAGGGTCTAGTCAGCTGAGAGTAACTACTCTCTGTATTCTCTCACATCCACTCTCACTCTCCACCACCACCCACCAATGCAACGCCACCTCCTCCTCACGGCGGCGACCGCCCTCCTCCTCCTCCTCCTCCTCCACTCGACGGCGTCGTCGTCGTCTCCCTCTGTCGACAACTCCCTCTCCAACTGCGACCAAACCTTCAACTGCGGTCCCCTCGTGAACGTCTCCTACCCCTTCACCGGCGGCGACCGCCCCGACCACTGCGGCCCGCCGGAGTTCCGCCTCGGCTGCGTCGGCGGCTTCCCCGAGTTCACCGCTGGCTTGCTCACTTACCGCGTCCTGGCGCTCGACCAGACTCGCCAATCGCTCACTCTCTCAAGAACCGATCTTTACAACAACATCTGCTTGTCGCAATACGCCAACACCACTCTCAACTCCAGCATCTTCACCTTCGTTAGCGACGACGAAGACCTCACCTTGTTTTATGGGTGTTGGACGATTATGACCGTCAAGCCCCAGAATCTGTTCAGTTGCGAGATCAATGGGACCGAGACGGACAACTATTACTTGTTGGGTGCTTTACCCACCGATCCGATTCTTAATGTGAGCACGTGTAATGTGAGTGTCACGGTCCGAATTCTGCAGTCCGCGGTAAACATGCTCACCGCAAACCGGTCGAAGCTCAGGGAGGCTCTGATGGAAGGTTTTGAGGTGAATTACACGAATCCGTACGAGGATGAGTGTGTGCGCTGTGGTGGGATTGGTGGGGAGTGTGGGTTTGACTCTGATCTGGGGAAGCCCATTTGTAGTTGTGATGACCGAATTTGTTCCACATCCACCGCAGGTACTGCAATTGGTCACTTTCTGTTTGTTCAAATGTGACATGCTGCGGAATTGCTGATCTGAAATGAGATATTTTCTTATCATGCATGCTAGTTTTACCCTTGCACCTTTTACTTTAGTCAAGTAATAGCACCAAAGCAGAAGCTTAGAGCAGATAGCTCCCTTTTTATAGGTAGATGGAAAAGGATGTGGCATTCCAAGCCAATCGAAGGGGAGAGGAAGCTGCTAGAATGAAATAGATTGGTATCACTTTATAGATAGTTTACGGATAATTCCTACACAGAAAAAAACTTCCACGTCTCGAATATGATTGTGCAAATGCGGAGATTCACCACACGGGCAAGGTTTTCACTCTTTGGTTGTTTGCTATCGGCAATTCCTGCAAGCAAACTCAATTTGCACCAGATTCCTGTAATTGTAGTCAACCCTGGAAATAATACATTTTCCTTTTCCAGGATCCAACAGGTGGAGAAAACTTATCATAGGTAAACATCTCTTTGAAATCACTGAATTTGTATCTCTTGCTTCCGTAAATCGCTGATATCTTTTAAGTGATTGAAAAGGACAGGTGGAGCGTTTGCTATTGGTGCTTCAATATCTGCGATTGCCATCATTTTCACATGGAAGGTTCCACTCTTCAAGAACAAGAAAGATCGCGGCGTTGAGCGATTGATAGGAATCCATGGATCTCTTGCTCCAAGAAGATACCGATATACCGATTTGAAGAAAATGACAAACTCATTCTCAGAGAAACTTGGTCAAGGAGGATTTGGTGCAGTGTACAAAGGGAAGATCAAAGATGATTGTCTTGTGGCCGTGAAAATTCTGACAGAGTCGAAAAGTAGCCCGGAAGAATTTATCAATGAAGTCGTGAGCATTAGTAGAACTTCTCACGTTAATGTAATCACTCTTTTAGGTTTTTGTTACGAGGGGAAGAAAAGAGCTCTAGTTTTCGAGTACATGCCTAATGGTTCGTTGGATAAGTTCATATATTCCGGAAGAGCTTTAAATAGGAGCAGTTCCTTGGAATGGAAGCTACTGTATCATATTGCAATTGGCATTGCTCGTGGGCTAGAATATCTGCATCGAGGTTGCAATACCAGGATCTTGCATTTCGATATAAAACCTCATAACATCTTACTTGATCGAGATTTTAACCCCAAGATTTCGGATTTCGGCCTTGCTAAACTTTGTCACGGGCAAGAGAGTGCTGTGTCGACTCTCGGCATGAGAGGAACGGTCGGATTTATTGCACCAGAAGTTGTTTTTCGAAACTTGGGGAGAGTCTCTCACAAGTCTGATGTTTACAGTTATGGAATGTTGGTTCTTGATATGGTAGGCTTCGGAAGTTCTGACATCAAATTTTCCAACAGCAGTGAGGTGTACTTTCCAGAATGGATTTATAGGAACTTAGAGCCCGGGAAAGAACTGAAATTGCCGATGAATGTGACAGAGGAGGAGGAAGTGCTAGCGAGGAAGATGATTATTGTGAGTTTGTGGTGCATTCAAACCAGTCCATCTGATCGACCTCCAATTGTGAAGGTGATAGAGATGTTGGAAGGTAGCTTCCAATCACTGCAAATGCCGCCGAAGCCCATCTTGTATTCGCCATCACGATCATTGTCGCAACATTGGGAAATGACGACGTCGACTTCCTATGGGAGCCGCGAGGAGGACAGAATACTAGAGAATTTGGAGGAAAGCAACAACTAATGGAAAAGTGGTATTGCACGATGTTAACTCCTCGAGGTAATTGTCATGCCTTTCTTTAGGTTGAATATGTTGTTCTTAGAGTTGCAATGAAAGTAGAGAGGACGGTTTTGTTATAATTGTCTGCATATTGTTATTCTGTGGAAACATCCATGTCGACACCAATATCTAGAATAACATAATAACTATAGTCTTAGATCCATGCAACGCGCTGACAACTTGCTAGTTTAACGGTAAAATTAGTGTTAATGGGACGATATTTGGTAGATGCTTGACTCGTCAGAATCATCTACTTCGTAAACAATCATCTGTGGAAAAAGATAATAGGACGAGAGTTCACGCTCTCATAATTGATAATCCTACAGGAATAATAGGTTCATTACGAAAATTCCATAATTAAAAGAACCACCTCCCAATAATATTTTCCGAAACAATACTAGGTCTTTGACATCGAAATTTCTTGAATAATAATATATACTGTCACCTTTTGACTATGCATTTTGGCTTTTTACAAGCATTAAGCACTTAAAAACACTGCAGCTGCTGATAGGGCTGCCTACAATCAGATATTAAAATCTATAGACACGATCATTGACTATATCTGGGTGAATATGCTGCTCAAAATAAGCAAAGCTGTCCAAAAAAATCTTAAATTTATTGTACGGAGACCAATTAAGTCATAAACCTTTGCATTTGGCTAATTTAACTCTAAACCTTTTGATGATTTGTTAATTTAGTTCTTCCGGCTATTGTTGGCTGGAAATCGCTAACGTGAGCGCCAACTGTCCCACCTAACATGGCCATTGGCCGGCGCTGATGTGGACAATTTTTGAAATTTTTTAAAAAAAATTATTATTATTATTTTCTTTTTCTTTTCACTATGCTTCTTCCCAAAAGGGCTGGCGACCCTCACCCAGCGGCTAGGGATGTCAAGAATACCCTAACCGGACAGAACCAAACCAAAAATAAATAAAGGAATTCGGGTCGGGTGATAAGTAAAGGAATATGGGTAGTTCGACGGTTCGGGTAAACGAACCGAAACGACCATGTTTAATCTCTCTCCTTATTTGATGCCTGAAAACGTGTCTTTCATCTTTTCCATTCAGAGAATATTTTCTTTTTCATGTAAAGAGATTGCGATCCCAGCACCGCTGTCTCCTCCCTTGCCCTCTCCGCCACCGTTGGCAGCCGAAATTGTCGCCGGAAACACGTCGAGGACGGGTGAAGCTGCTCTATTCTAGTTTTTCGCTCATTTCCCCCAGCAAAAACTTTCTCAATTTCAATCTTAGTGTAAGGAAAAGAAAACCACATCGTTTGGTGCAAAAGGTTGGATGCTCGCCTGGCGGATCCCAAAAGCAGCGCCAAGTCCTCAGTTCTCCATGGGAAGTACGAGCTCGGCCGAATGCTGGACTTTCGAGGAGTTATACCACGCGCGCAGCCTCTAGACAAAGATCTTGTCCACGGCCGAGCTCTGTTGTCTTTCTCATTTGCTGCCACTTCATTGAGAATGTACGAGTTAGCCGGCGAGCCACTCTTTTTGCTGGGCCACCCTTAGGTGGTTTGCGCCTCTCCTCCATGGCCGTCCAGATCTCAATGAGATTGGTGGTCATGGAGCTTCATCAACTCCAAATGAAGAGGCGCATTGTCGCCGGTGAACGTCGACGACGTCGCGGAGCTCGCACGGTCGTGGCGTTCTCAGGATCCGTCCTTGTTGCAGGCGATCCCAAGATCTGTTCATGGCGTCTATTTTTTTTCATTGATATGGCGTCTATTTCTGTAGCAGCTTTTGCTGTAATAGAGGGTGTGAAGGGAAGAAGAAGAAGCCCACAAAAATGAAGAGGGAAATCAAAACCCGAACCAGACCGATCCGAACTGCCGTTTCGGTTCGGGTCACAAAAATATGTCATTTGTGTCCGGGTTGGTTTGGGTATCGGTGGAAACCGAATCGAATTGGCACATTGACTAGTGCCCGGTGAGGGCTTAAGGCTCTCGCACGAGGCTCGCGACTCTCAACAGCCAATGGTCAAGGGCTGCAACCCTTGAACACTCGCTCGCCGTGCCTGAGGGCCTCGAGCCCTCGCCGCCCAAATTTGGGGGAGGGTTGTGACCCTCCCCTAAGGTAGGTAAGGGCCTGCGTGCCTCACAGCTAGCAAGGGCTTGGCGACCCTCGCCTAGTGCCAACGAGGGCGTGTAGGTCCCTCGACTATGGCCAGCGGAATGATGCACAATGAAATGACAAGAAAAAAATTGCAATGGATGTTAACATCAGCACTGGCCGTGCCACATAGGATGGCCATCGTCCAATCAGCAATTTTCGGTCAAACTTAGCCGAAAGGACTACGTTGATAAATCGTCAAAAGGTTTAAAATTACATTGAGCAAATAACAAATAATTCACTATAATCGGAGAATCAGAATTACAAACGTTTAGACGCTCAAGTGTTTTCCATATTTAGATTATACAAAAACCCCATGTGTTTATAAATAAACATCTCAATTGATGTAAAACTCACAGCATATAAATCAGTGTGTTGAAATCTCTTCGTGTAGCTTGAAGAAATCATGGCATGGATGGAGCACCCACGAAGCCACGCATGAGTTCTTCGTTTACTCTTGCGCGGTTGATCCTCGTGATGTCCTTTGTACGTCTGTCCTCGCGCGACTCAAAAAAGGAGGAGAGAGTCATCTCTAGTGTGGCAATATGATAAAAAAAAAAAAAAGAGTCATCTCTTAGTCGCACCAAATTTTCTGGCTTTCCCTTTATGCAAAATTGAGTAATTTCTTATCGTAAATCTCTGTTAAGAGTGTGAATACTCGATGAGAAGAGAGTGACGCAGTGTTGTGAGAGGCGATTGAATTTGTAGAAGAAGCTATTGAAGGGTTCGTGTAGAAGCAGCACTTTCTACCAGTTGTAACATAGTAAGGACTATATAGTAAATTTCAGCCTTGTTGAGGCTGTCAGAGCTGGGAGAATAGAGTAGACCAAGTGAATGGCCCGAACCACGACAGATATGTTTTTCATCTCTTCGATTTCTTTACCTCCTTTAATATCGGTTTGAGATAAGTGCTTTAAAAGCCATAAAATTTGTGACGAAAGTGCAATTGAATCATACAATTTTCAAAAGGTGCAATTATATTTAAAACTTGTCAAATTGGTGCAATCGAGTCTTTCCGTTAATACCGTCAATTTGTCTAACAAAAAATGTTGACGTGGCATTTTTAAATTAATTTCGCTCTCCTAAGGGAAACGATATGGTCTTATTTCTCTCTTAAGAGAATAACTATCATACGAGCGAAATACCTCGCAACACATTAATAAGACATCGTAGGTATAAGATAATAGGAAGAGACTTCAGGCTCTCATGATTCTACAGGAGTGATGACTCCATTTTGGAAATATCCTTGATCAAACTTCAAAAAAACTTGCTCTCAGTAACACTTTTCGAATGAGAAAGACAACGGATAGAGAGGGAAAAGAATTTGAAGAAAAACTAATCATAAAGCACAGGAGATTTTCTAAAGGGGCATTACATTGAAAAGATAAAATGGCTCTGTGGATATTGGATGCAGAGGAATAGGTAGTTAATTTAAACCTGAGATGTTGTTGGCCCAAGACCTAATTATATATTTCCAAGATCTGGTAAAAATCTCCAATTTCCCACAGATTAAGCTCTCACAAGGGCACTATTACTATTTCCTTTGATGGTAAGAACTAGAAGTTTAATAGAAAGACAATTATGTAAAAAATTGAATTCGAACTATTCATTAATCTCTAGCGTTGGAGTTCTCGTATCACCTATTGACATTTTGTTCCTTTGTATTGTGATCTAACTGTCATTGGATAAATAAATGAACAGATATTGGCTCAACATTATCACCACCTAAAATGAAACTATATTCAGAATTTTTTTTTTGAAGGGACTAAGATTAAAGAATCACACTATTTAAGAAATAGTAATCTACTTTACCAAAGATAGAGCGATGTACGTAAGTCCACGGACTATAATAGAATCAATTATTGAAGTGTCCATGAGAATTGTTGAAATCTCTTTTACTGACCATATATATATATATATATATATGTGTATGTATGTATGTCTTTGAGATTCTCCGTTCACTATATATATAATAAATACATCGGATGTAAGATGCATATAACTTTCAATAAAATCTTGCAAAATTACTTGATTAAATACGTTTCCGTATGTCTTGCCTGTATTTGACTTTTTCCTTGGAAAGCATTCCCATTTCACGAGCTCGCAATCAACACGGGAAGGTAAAGTGCGCAAAAGAAAGGCAATATTACAACCTACCTTTAAATTGAAATTTTGTATACACGACGGATCCCTCCAACAAAGATACAAATCTCCTTTCCAATTTTTCTTACACGTCTAAACCTAATTGGACGGATCTGACAGAAAATTCTAACGCGATTAACTACCTCCCTCGCTCAGTCTTCGGTTATGGTTTCCAGCAAAGGCTTCTTTGACTTTGACATGGAGAGCCTGTGCATGAACTCCGGCGTCGAGAACCCTTCGATCTCCTCCAGGTTCAGCTTCGGCACGGCGGCAGCCGCGGCCTCGGCCCCCCGCTCCTCGCCCGACTCCGGCAGGGACCTCACCCGGCTCCCCCTCTTGGCGGCGGCGCCCGCGGTGAGGAACAGCGCCCCCACGTCGGCCGCGGTCACCAGGGAGTTGAGCCGCCGCATCGGGAACATGACGTAGACGCTCGCCATCTCGAGGTCCTCGTCCGCGTTGAGCGCCGAGAACCGCCGCCCGGCCCGGAGCGAGCACGAGTTGACGAGGAAGTAGTTCGGGGTCTCGAGCATGAGCTCCGCCGCCTTGGTGGGGGCGTGGAACTGCTGGACCTCGCCGCCCGGGAAGATCACCTTCGCGGCCCTCGACTGCCGCCCCGCGGGGCCCAACAGGGCGCACGACACGTAGTTCCCCATCGCAAGAAAGCACGCCCGCAAGCGCACGCACAGACAGGACACAACTCCCAGTGCGGCACGGCTTCTTCCGGCGGCCCACGAAACACTCTTTGCCAGCTGCCAAGGAGCTCAAGAATTATAAGGGACGAAGAGGAGAACAGGGACAAAGATGGGAAGAATCAAGATTTGGGTTTTTTGAGGCGTGAATGGTGGAGAGACGAGGAGCTTTATAGGGAGAAGACCATGTCGTGAAAGTGGGAGGAAGTCATAGTGATGGGGAGAGAGAGAGAGAGAGATATAAACGAGGAGGAGGAGGAGGAGGAGGACTGGAGCTTGCGTAGTTTGACGAAGTAGCTTTGAAGAAATTGATGGAAAAGGTCCAATTTTTTGAAACAGCAATGGAAGATTCTCAAGTCCGGGGACAGTCGTTCGTTTTAGGTTTTATTCCGCGTCGGAGATAATAATAATACTACGAATATATGTGTACGAACATGTCAGAAGAAACGAAATCACACGGAATTGCAGCTGTTTTTTTTTCCTTGTCTGCCCTTGCTATATTTTATTTTATTTCCGGGATTTTGATTTTTGAGATTTTTGGCCTGAGAAACTGCCTGGCCCGTGGTCCGATGGGACCGCGCAGGGTTCACGGAGGTTCTTGTTGATGTGTGGTGGGGACCTTGGGGTGGGTTCACATGACGCGTCGAAGACGCGAAATTTTGCCCGCGCGGTGACGGCTCTTGTGGTTTTGGTAATTTGGCATTTTCACATCGGGCACGTGGGTAAAAATTGTCTGCGCACTCTATTAGGAATGTATCTTAGAGATTCTTTACGTGCATTCTCCATGTCTCTTAGTATTGTCGCGCATATATCACCAGGATTATAATATCTTGTTACCTTAGACGGTTATCTTGCAAAATCTTATTCGCTATGAAATATATCAAAATCATAACATTCTCTTTTCTGTGTTCGGAGGCTCTTCGCTAAGCTAAAGACTAAATTGATTTTTTTTTAGGAAAATGACACAAATGGTCCATGAATTTTAGCCTAATGTGTAATGCGGTCCATGAACTTTTAATTTGTTGAATGTTGTTCGCGAGCTTTAACTCAATATGCAATGTGATCCATAAACTTTCAATTTGTTCAATATGACCTCTAAACTTTTGGTACATGTTCAATGTGGTTCATAAAATTTCAACTTTTGAACATTTTCATATAATCCAGGGACTAAATTGAACATGTATAAATAAATTAAAGTTCATGGTCGATATTGCATATTACACTGAAATTCAGGTCAAATTAAAAATTTATGGATCTTATTACATATTTGGTCAAAATTTAAAGATCATGTGTATCATTATTTTTTTTTTCAAAACTTTTTTTGATGATAAGGAAAGCATGTAGAAACTGACTTCTGGAATGATTTGATGACATGGTTAGTGGTCCGAAAACGGCCACCCGTCCACTAAACAGGGGGGACTTCCGGGAGTTGCTCGGCCACTACGATGATTTTTTTTGTTTTTGGTCAAAGCCACCACGATGATTGCTGAGGAATTTGTGGAAGTTTTTGACATAGTGGAGCGAGCGCATTGATAACTAGATAATGCGGTTGGGGAGTTGTCGCCTCCTTATGGAAAACATCCTTAAACGTGTCGTCCATCCAAAGTTAATCACAATATGTTCAAGTGTTCTCATAAAAAAATAATGAATTTTTGCATACAGTAATTGACTAGAGTGGATCGAAAATTCGAGAATATCATGCTTGAAAAGCATGTAATTAGCAGTCCAGTCATAGTTTTCAATCACGCAAGGCATTGTTTGAGTTGATATGATATTGTTGTTTTTGTAGTTTCTATATGTTCTCGAGTTTATTAACAAGATCATCGGCTTGGGGAAAAACTTTCGAGCCACATAGAGAACCCAATAATTAAACTAAGAATTTTGTCTAGGGTCTTTAACGAGGATATATTTTTGTTAAAGGGCAACGGTTATGCATGTCATAAGGGCAGCTAGTGCATTGGAAGCTGTACATTAAACACTCGTTAAACATGTTTAAGGAGTGTCCATGAAGCACTTGTTAAATAAATATAAAGGGAACTCTATAGTAGGGCATTAAAAATAAACTTGTCAAAATGGGTCATATATGCATTTTTAACCCATATTTAGTGTGCTGGATTATTGTAGGAATGGATCGTAGATGGGTTTAAAATAGTATAACCTAAAATAATATGGATGTTAAATGGGTTTACAAATTACTTAGACTCAACCTATCTTTATGACTCTCTCTTCACTATCTCTCACCCTCGCTAAATCTCGCGCTCGCTCACTCCTTGCTCTCACCTCAGTTTGAGTATAAGATTTCCTAAATTAGGTAAAATTATGAAAGTATTTTAACAATATGAGTCGAGTCGGGTATGTGTTGGGTCAGGTATATGTTACGGGATTTGTATTACATGGAAATAGATCAAAATGGGTTAAATAGATCAATTTGGGTTAAATCATTTTTGACCTGACCCACCCGTTTGACGAGTCTAATTAAAAGAGAGAAGCATATTCTTACCAAGTGTGGTTAATAAAGTGTGCATGCATGCAATTCGTATTGGGAAACAGTTCCGGTGAGAAATGATTTTTTTATTCCGTCTGGGCGATTCGAGCATTTGAAGGCGTTTGGTAACAGCCCAAAATTTCTATTCTTGAAATAGTAAAAGAACATAAATGCGTTTGGTAACGGCATAAAATTTCTTTTTATTAATAATATTTTAATAACATTTTAAATATTTTAATATTTCTTTCTTTTCTTTTTTTCTTCTCCTCCTTCGTGGCCATGGCTGGTAAAATATTTTTTAATTAATAATACTTTTATCAAAAATAATTTTTTTATTTTTTTTGGCCATGGCCGGTAAAAAATTTTCTTATAAAATTTTTTTTTATTAATAACTTTTTTTAAAAATATTTTTATTGAAAATATTTTTTTCTTTTTTTTCGCCATGGTCTGGTCGCTGGCCATGGCCGGTAAAATTTTTTTTATTAATAATATTTTTTTATTTTTTTTCGCCATGGCTTGGTCGCTGGCCATGGCCGGTAAATTTTTTTTTTATTAATAATATTTTTTTTATTTTTTTCGCCATGGCCTGGTCGCTGGCCATGGCCGGTAAAATTTTTTTATTAAAATATTTTAATCTCGCGGATACGGCGAGGTGGCCCTCTCGCTGGACATTAGAAGCTATATTAAAAGCCAAGAAAAAGAAGAAGAAAAAAAAAAACTGATTGTCATTTTTGTTACCAGAATCAAAAAGCTACTTTTTTTTTAATTCTTGATTCTGCTCCAAAGCGATTTTGGGAACAAATTTGCAAGAATTTGTGCCCGAATAAAAATTAAACAAACGATTTCTATTCCCAAGCGATTACGGGAACAAAAGAACATAATCAAATACTATTTGGCAAGTTGCCATGCGCAGCCTAAGTGCTATAATCTATGTGCAACAGATAAAGTATTCATTCGGCTCGTGGACATTAGATCATTCGAACATTAACATCTTAAACTTTTTAGGTAAGCCGATCACACAAATCTACAACGAGGCTACCTAATGGTTCAAAAGACGGGGTTATGTGTATGCAATGGGAGCATGATATATGATTGATCACATCGACAAGTCCAACTGCATTATAAAGTTTGGAGTACTTACTCAAATTTCAAACTCACCTCTTATCTGATTCAAAAGTTCTTTATAATATTTAAATGAGCGTACATCGCGTAATTTTTTGCGTAAGGTGATTTTTCTGTCCATTAAAAAAAGTTGCAAGGCACCTTGCCACTTTTCTACATCCTCAACCAGTTCTCAAGCTTTGTGACAGCTGAAATTTGACTTTCGGATGATGCATATCCGAGAAGACTTTGTTCTTTCCCTCCTAAGCAAGAAATAAGCAAACCCCTTTCTGGGAAACTGTCTTCATTCTGTGTAGAGGCCTTATCCTTCTCCACCAAAAAAAATGTTAGTCAAACTTACTTTTTGCTAAATATGGTTTGGAACACAATATCTGTCGGTTACGCTGTCGCTTCCATTTTTCGCGAGCTAGTTGATTTTGCTTCCTCAGAGTTTGATTACAGCTGATATGTATGGCTTCTAGACTTCATTAAGGTACACAAAATATCAATACATGCTTCGTCTTAACATAGATGTGTACTCATTTCGGCCGTATATAGACGAACGATCCAGACCGAACCTTCCGCTACATTCTTCCGAGCTACTCGGCGATACCCGAAACCTCTTTGTTTTTCCCCTTTCCCGCTGCCTAAATGTTGACATTCATCTCCTAGAAACAAGGCAAACGAAATTGGGCAAGCCTCATCGGTGGGTTGCTTTCCAATACCAACCCCCCCAAGAATTGCTGAATCTTGTTACATGGACAAGCACTATGCGTGCCCTGCATGTGAGGGTAATAAGCTGACCTCCTGTTCGTAGTCAGCTTTGCTCGAAGATATATTAATATAGGCAATCTTTTATTAATTTTACCTATTTATTTTACTTATTATAATGTAACTTGAAAAAGGGGGTGAGCTGGGCGACGGTGTCGGTTACTTTGCCACGCTGAAATGCAGCTCATCATTCAATGCTTTTCCTCTGTCAACCTATCATGGTTTCAGACCACATTCTCCTTGATCTCGTTGTCTACTTTATTCATTTATTCTAAAGTTGTCTACACTAAGAGTCAAAGCTTAATGAATTGCTCGGAAGCCAGCACCGATGAAATACGAATCGCCCTCCCACCAAGAAATTATTCCGTCGGCTGATCTGTTCGTTCCCGTACTCCTTCAAAGTACAACTAGCAAAAGAGGTGTGTTGATTTCCAGTTTCGAAGCTGTGATCGAATCATATCCCCATCTAACTGCTCTGATCAATGGACTTAATTATATGCGAAGAATGTCTCCGATATTATGCATGACAAAGTAGACGAGTATTTTGTGTATGATCGGGCAATGTATTGACATGAACCGAGCTCTTGGGGGAGCTCGATCCAGAAGCTACTCGTGCCTCGCGGTGCGTTTCGAGATACTCATATTCAATTCTATTCGGCGTAGGATGATGTGATGATTTTCGCCTAATAAGGAGTTTATGCTTCCATATGGCTAGGCAGGCTTTATACACAAGCAAGATTACTGACGTTAACAATACCAATGACACTGAGCTATCCCGACAAGTATTCCCCGAGCACCTTCGACACTCAACTCATCGAATGTCGAGTTCAACTTCTCAAGAGCTTCGCCGGAAGACTACACAGCATTACACATATTCGACTTCTCAGATATGCTCCAAGGCCAACAGTTTCAAGTAATATGACTCGCATCAATTCTCCAATTCCCACACAAAGTTCGCACTTCAGCTGGAAGAGTTCTTTTTCCATTCTGAAGCAAAGTTTCAAGTGCAACTTTAGCAGCAAATCGAATTTCAGCCACAGCTCGTGTAGGACGAGGAGAAATCTTGTCACGGACAGCTCTTATATTTCGATGTCCAAATGTCATATGTGGAAGCTTTCCATGCTAACTTCATCAATTTAACTTCGATGCGAGAGTCCTCCATGGTCTGAAGAGCCCAAGAGAACTCTCGATGCCAATCTGCAGCAGGTCGATGACGGTCTGGAAAACCCAGAAAGTTGTTTGGGTGTGGTGGCGTCAACTCCCCCATGCCAATGGCTAGATCACCTTGTGCGCAAAAGATGTCTTGAGAAGGAATACACAGAAGCTTTTCAGGAACGTGCAGGGTTGATAAGAATATGTAAATTCAGACACGCACGCACACTCTCTCGCCTATCAAGGACCTCTTTCGCAATGAATGAAGATTGGAGTTGCAGTTAGAGGATGCTTATTTACCAATAATAGGATAAACTTAGGAAGGAGATACTATATGATTCGTTGCACCATGCGAGCCCGGCCCAATATATTTGCTAATGAACCCATCAGACTTTAGATGTTTAAGGGCCCTTAGATGTGAGTCTCCATCACCTATTGACCTTTTTGGTTCTCTACTGGCTTTCGCTAGGTGTTAAGAGTCGAGAGTTCTAACCAGAATAGCCAAAAAACGAAAAAAAATCCTAAATGGGAGTTGTTCGCTCAGGAGTCTGATAGCGATGGGGAGACGGTTGTAGAAACAATGCTAAAAAATACAAGGTTATCGAATTAAACACAACAACATACGAATCCCACATATATTCGGTTGGTTCAATTATTATTCGAGGCAAGCTCTTGCCATCAAGTCCTAGGAAGTTAATCCTCACAAATCCCATAGTCCAGTCCAGAAGCCGATAGTATGCTTTTGACCGGTCGAGAGAGGTAAAAATTGTCTCATTGTGCGAAAGCTAGCTTAAAACATCGCTCAGATCGTACTACCAGGAGTGAACAATCTCTTCGGTGTTGGTTTCAATGCCATATGCAATTGATAATCAGATCAGTATCCTTTGTCTTTTGTACTAGGATCAGAATGGACTTTGTGTGTCACTGCAATGCAAAGTCTCATCGATGCTCTTGAGTCAAGCAGACAGAAACAAAGAACCAGGAGCTACAACTTAAGTAAAGCTGGAACTTTGGGATGCTTCCTGAGATCATGCAGACAAAACATCACATTGTTTTGCTTGCGCACTTACTGATTATTTTGGAGCCTTCCATTTGAACTAGCTCTCCCTTTTGTGGCCATGAGAGACCTTCACTTCATCGATCATGTCATGCTCATGCACTTGATCTACCCTAAGTTTTATCTTTTTCCTCTAGGATCTAATGTTGACGGTCTACTGAAATCAGACATATGCGGTCCGGCTGACCTGACAATCTGCTCCCATTTATACAAACTCCAGAAGTCATTTTCTGTGCCTTCATTGACAGAAATTGAGGCAATTCGTGCACAGACACATCCACAGCAAGATGGCCAGTGTAAAGAGTAACCTCAGTGTCGAGTCCTTCCCCATGAATGGTGGCGACGGCATCTACAGTTACTCTCACAATTCGTTCATGCAGGTAAGTTCGACTAGACCCACTTTATACGATGCCTTGGTTGACATATTTGGCCTAACCTCTATGTTCTGTTTCCTTCATAATTAATCTAAGTTGAATGTTTTGTTTGCAGAGAAGAGGCATAGATGTTGCCATGAAAATGAGTGACAAGGCGATCACTGAGAATCTCAATGTGGAAGAGTTACTCTCATCTTCATCAATATTTAGGATCGCAGACTTAGGATGTTCTGTTGGTCCAAACACATACTTCGTCGTGGAAAGAGTCATAGAATCTATCAGGCTCAAGTGCCAATCCCAGGGCCTTGATTTGAAGAACCTCGAGTTCCAACCATTCCTCAATGACCAAGTCGCCAACGATTTCAACAAGCTATTCAAGTCCCTCCCCATGGAAAAAGCTTACCATGTTTCTGCTGTGCCGGGCTCTTTTCATGGTCGCTTATTCCCGTGGGCTTCTCTTCTATTCATCCATTCATCTTATGCACTCCAATGGCTATCGAGAGTGCCACTGCAAGTAACAGAAGAAGGATCTTCAACTTGGAACAAGGGGAGGATTCACACAGCAAACGCGCCACAAGACGTCGTGGAGGCTTTCCGCGAGCAATTCGTGATTGACATGGAGATTTTCTTGAATGCTATCTCTGGAGGACTGATGGCCGTTCTCATTCCAAGCACACCGACTTGTTCGAAATACACTTTTGACACGCTAGTGCAGCTTATGGAATCTGCTCTCATGGATCTTGTGAGCTCGGTAAGAGTCTATGCAACACGGCCATTTACTTCTTATGCGTCCACAACATAATTTGGGGCTGTTAAGATAAAATTCACAAACATGGTCATTTTACTACATAAAGCTATAAATTTTTTTGCACAAATTAAATCCAGTCATGCTTGCATTGCTGCATCGATTCATCTGATGTTAGGATGCTTATAACTGACAAGTATCCTGGCCCAAAAGGTGAGAGCTTATAGGGTCATAAAATGTTTAAAACGCATGGCGATTTTAACAGTTAATAGAGAAAATTTGCAATCAAATGTAAAAGAAACTATCAAAAGGTCAGCTATTTCCTTGATTTGGTGCTTTAATCCTTAAGAAACTGCTCTGTGAAGAGAAAATCAACTCGTTCAACTTGCCCCTTTACCTTCCGACTTTGGCGGAGATGGAGGCCCTGGTGAAGCGAAATGGGCATTTCAGCATCGAGAGGATGGATCCGTTGGTTCGTCCGCATCGTGCAGAGGCATCCGAAGTGATGGCCAATATGACCATGATGCACTTCAGAGCCGGCTGGGAGGGGCTCATCAAGGCGCATTTCGGGAGTGAAATGGTCGACCCCGTGTTTGAACACTTCCAGGAGAAGGTCATGGAATCGTCCGTATTCGCGAACCCTTCTTGTAATCAGAAGGCCGAGACTTTCATCCTCCTGAAGCGCTTGTGATCGGATATAATAACAAGTCGGAGACGAGCTCAATGCTGGCGTATCAGGACTCGGGAGCAGCAAAGAATTACATTGTTGTTAATTTTAAACAGAGCACGCTCTCTCTTCGTTCGACCAGCATAATCGACGTGTTTCGTACTTAACGAAAGATAATCAATCTTAGATTTGATGCATCAGGATTCATACAATAAATGAAAAGAATTTCCTCACTTGATCCAAATACAGCAGGCAAGGAAGTTTTGCCCCGAGAGCGAAGTGTAGAAAAGCAAAAAGGTTGTAACTATCACTTCCACTCGGCATCTAATCTGTTCTTTCTATGTACATTTCAATTCAAATGAACGCCCGACAATGTCCCGACGGCCACTTCGACCGCCCTCGACAGGATCACCGCCGACGCAACCGGGATGCTCACCATCACGAAAGCCAGCATCCCCAGAGCCACGCTCGGCCTGGTGCTCATCAAATGAGACTGCAACACCCCGACGAACCTGCACACGTACTCGTCGTAGCAGGTGTAGTATCTCTTCTCCCACTCCATCCAATCCTTCGGGGGCTCGTAGTTGCGCTCGACCATCTTCATCTCATGAATCCGCTTCCTCAGGATTATCATGCCCTCGTCGGCGAGCCGCCCGCTGCAGCCCCCCTCGTAGCCGTCACGCTTGGCGGCCGAAACCGCGGCGCCGTGCTTCCTCCTTCATGACACGAACGGACCAACGCTCGGGTGACGGGGTCGACGGGCAGCGAGGTTCAACGGAAGGAATGCCGAAGAAGAATGGAGAGAAGTCGATTCCATTGTAAGATCTCGAGTCGAGTCAAGTTTTGTGAGGATGTGTTTGATGGATGAAACAGAGGTTTTGGTTCTTTATTTATAGCCTGCGGTGATTTATAAATGGGACTTTTCCTAAGATTGGGACGTCGGACCAGGAAGTTAGGGACCGGTTTCCGTTCCGGACACGTGTCGTTTCCGCGTTGGCGTCAGCGCTGGAACGGATGCAGTTCCGAAACTGTTGAATGTCAGCCGTCCACTTGTCGATAAGATACAGCGAACGGGGGGCTTTGGGAATCTGAACGACGGCAATGGTCGGCGATTTTAAGTATTTTTTGAACTAATGGTGGGGCCATGTCTTTAGTTTCTTCCCCCCACGAAATCCAAAGAGTTTTATATTTTCTTTTCAAATCATCCATAGGGTTTTTTTTTTTTGGTCAGAAAAATCATCCATAGGGTTGACTATAACAAAATAAATAAAAACTGCAGATTCCTCCGGAAGATGATTTCAAGGCATCAGCAATGACTTTACTTATTATATATGTTAAGTACAATGTTGTCCGTCTCCTAGCGACTTAAGCTTTAAAAAATATGGTATATTTGACGGCATAACAAAGCACGGACCAATAATTCAAACATTCCGTTTGATTGTGATTGCGCGATAAGGCGATATCATTCCGGTTCTAAGTGCATCTCGGTCGTTGAAGTATTGAGACTGTAATGTATCGAACGCCTAGTTCATTAAGTTTAAGTGGTTGAAGTGCATGTACTGGGTGGGGTGAGTAGTTCATTGGAATCATTCGGTTCTTTCGAAATGATTATGATTCCTGTGGTAGATGTGATTAATATGTTAGATGATGTGTACTCTATAAAGCAATGATCGTGATTGTGCCTACATAATGAAGCGACTTAAGATACCTTATTATGCAGAGGACTTCATCATTTGACTGATATTTATTTCTATCTTCTTATAAAATGCCGAATTAGTTCAGCATTATTGAGTACTTTAGTTCAGCAGCTCATTGAGTTACTTCGTTAAATCGTCGACTAGATACCGGTCTTTCGACCTATGCTGTGAAACTTATCGCAATTTGATTAATTGACGATCCTGGTCGAACATTGTGGTCCTTGCACTTCGTATTGACAGGCGATTGTACGTCAGAATGGGAACAAGAACTTGATTGGCTATTAAAACTGATGGAATGAATTCACGGATGACAGCACAAATCTTTCTGAAAGAACAAGAGCAAGTACATGATTGACCAAAGGAAATAAACAACTGGAATCATCAGAAATAAATTACTGGGAAATGGCCGGAAATAAGTTGCAAACGAAATGAAGTGCATTGACAGAAGTAAATCTCGCTCTTCAAATGTTTGTGCGTGAAATTTCCACTTCAGATGTGCTCCTTTTATAGTTTATGGATGACTGGCCTCTCCAACTAACCATTCCGGCTCATTGAAATCAAATTCCGGCGCCATATATGATGGTATAGCTTTTCCCGCCTCAGGAGTTCAACTATAACCACAGATTGACTCAGCCGTGATCACTACTTGACTGCAACTGTCAGTTGACACCTTCGGAAACTGTTCCTACCTAAGAGTTAAACTGCAATAACTGTTCTTGCTAGTTTCATCCTTGCAGGCGATTTGATTCCAGTCAAACTTCGTGAATGGATGTTAATTTTTCTCCGACTCAACTGACGTGAATTGACTGACATTGATTTGGGTATTAGTCAATAGATGAAAACTGTTCCCGCCTTGTTGACTAAATTCTATTGGCTTCCACAGTCAATGATTGGGTTTTACTGTTAGACCGTGTTCACGGTTAATATCAGATCACATGTGCTGACCGACATGTTGTTTACTTTTTTCTGTTGACACCCAACATGTTCTATTAATTAGCATCAAAGTTGGCTTTATTGGGGTGCCAACAGTTGCTAAACAGGATTTCATTTTGTTACGAAAGATGGACCTAAAAGAACTTCCTTCATATATACTCGTCTGCAGTCGAATTCTGTCTACAGTAGAAATTATGGTGGTTACGTACTAAAAGACTAATTTTTACTGATGAGACAAAATACAAAAGAACCGGCAAAGAAGGACGAGACAATTGACATGAATCAGTAATGAAATATATACTGTTTTGCTGCAGAATATGCATCAAGATGGCAGCTTGTGCTGAATGAATATTCTCTCACTAAACAAGATCTGATGAGACTTCCTCAAGGATGAATGATTGAGTGAGTGGTCCCAAGAGAACCGAAGAACTAATTGTTTTGACATCGATCAGTATTAGAGTTACAGCTAAAGTAAGACACGCAAATGATTTTACCATCAAAATGTACATTCAATCCCAACTAACTAAAAAGGGGATTTGGCTTTACGTGCATATCCAAGGAGAATCAATTGAACAAAAGATATGAAAGAGCTGTACTAGTCATCATATGAGGCATGAGGAGCAGCGGTGCACCCAGGGTCGAAGGGATCTTCAGACCCACAGCAGTGCCAATATTGAGAAATTTTGCCTGAGTTTGGAGTATCCATGGTGCCTCCACTGTACACACTCTCAAACTTCCTCTTTGTTTCCCCTGAAGAAATGAACAATGCAAAATATCACACGTTGGATCACCACTCGCGTGAAAAAGCACATGAGATAAATGACAACATAAACAGATAAACTGGCTCAAATTGTTCAATAAACAGAGTCTCGGTGATTATACGGAATACGCGTCTTATTCTCCATAACCAGACTTCTAGAGTTGGGCATGAGCTGAAAACTAGAATGATATTCTGGCTTCATACATGTGATTAACTGAGATTATCAGGCAACTGTTTAGCACAATGCATGGTTTATTGAATCTCAGATCATAATCATCCAACTTGAGCGACAAAATCATGGGCTTCAGTGCAATCCGATGCACGTATCTCCATTTTGTCTCACAGACAGCATCTAATTGGCAGGAATTTCCAGTAATGGGAAATACTTGATAGTACTTGAGTTAATAATACAAAAGAGTTTCTACTGAACTTTCTGCTAGTAAGGAAATCTTCGTTGAATTGACCACCACTTCCAGCAATTTCCAGACTGATATGTATCCAAAAGCCTACAATGCTTATAAGTGTTTCATTGGCCATGCTTAGAAAGCTTGTTAACAGAGAAAATAACCGATAAAGCAGGACCAGATACAGAAGATGCTTAAAATATCAACATTGTAGATCTGCTAAAGCAAAATGAAATACAGGAAGTTCATATTAATAATTTGTGTCAAAATGGTTTCACTTTCTCATTCACCTTCCGCAGAAAATTGAGAAAGTGCACCTCGGACATAATTTACAGTTTGCATTGTCCATTTGATAAGGCCCGGGCAGCGTATTTTCATCCTGAAAGCTGATCGAACATTTAAGCTAGTAGAAATCAGAAGCTCTTAATCCAAAATGTATAAGTGCGCCGAAGTGCGAAAGTACCTTGACCCAAGTGAGATGGACCATCAAGCTATAAGCTTGGCGAACATTTATCAATTTTCTCTAACTTGGAACAAACAGCTGGGTATCGTGGCATCAGAATCATTTTCAAGTCCTCACTTGGTTAACAACCGATCATGCCCTGTTCGGTAGTTCCGTAGCAGGTTTTTTCGATTTTGTTCACTCTATCCATGTAACTGTAATTCGCCATCAAATTCATTTCTAGAGCTCAGCTGATGCTAAAAGGATCGGCTAATACATATCATCTAATTGGATGTGCATTCTAGCCGCATAAACTTCTTGAATTAACCTCTGGCCTAGCACAAGCAACTAACCTAGATCATGCCCACAAGAAGGGCTTGGGCCATTTTACCACCATACCGCTAGCTACAGATTAATCCCTCACTCGAGCATTTCCTCCACCATAATTCCCAAAAGAATCAAATTCCTCAACCCGTCCATTTCACGAAAATTACCAAAATTCTTCCGACCAAGTATCTTGGAAGTCGGACATGGACGATAACGAAGCCTCAAGAGTCTACCGAAACAAGAAAAGAGCGCGAGAAACGGGAGCAAGCAATCGACCTCCGAAGTGGGCAGTGTGAAAGCGACAGGCACGAGGGTGGTTGAGGGAAGGGTCGAACTGGGTCTTGCAATTCCTGCACGTCCGAAGGTCGTTCTTGCCGGAACCCGGCGAAGAGCAACATCGGACGGCGAAGGGCCTTGCGGCAGCAGCACCGGTCCGCGTTTCGAGCCGTCCGCGAAGCTGAACCGATGGTGCCGAGCTCTGTAGCGGCGGCAGCGATGGCCAGCGGCTGAATGGGTGGGAGAAAGCGAGAGCCATCTTCTTTCGTCCGTCCGTCGACAGAGAAAGGCTCAGATTACTCGGTGGTTCAACGTTGACCGTTTGGCTTACGATGTAAATACATGATTACGGAAACATTTGAGGTAATCAAGAGGGGGAAATTGTCAAAAACTTATAAATCTACTGTACTTTTACTAATTCAGTTAATTACATTTTAAATCTTTTGATAATTTGTAATTAAGTCCATCAGATCAATTTTGACAAGAAATTATTGACGTGGATGCTACCAGTGATGTAGATATTTTTAAATAACATTCTAATAATTTTTTAAAATTTTTGTAGCTTTTTATATTTTTTTTCCTTTTCTTTGTTTTTTTTTTTTGGTTTGGAATTAGGGTCAGCGACCCTCGCCAGATCAGGTGACGGCTGGCTGACCCTCGCTGGCTTTGGGCGAGGGTGCCGCGGCCCTCGCTAGCTCAGCCCTCGCTTGGGCAAATTTGACAAGGGCATTGCGGCCTTCGCCAGATCTGGGTGACGGCTGCGATGCCCTCGTCAGCCAAAGCGAGGACGCGCGAGCCCACCCTTATCGGCCCTAACTCCAAAAACGAAAAAAAAAAAAATGGAAAAAAAATCATAAAAAATTCAAAAAATTATTAAAAATGTCCACGTCAGCAATTTTGGATGGATTCAATTGGAAAATTGTCAAAAGGTTTATGATTCAATTGATGATATTAAAATATTTAAAATTAACTTAGCAAAAGTGTAATAGATTTTGGACTTTTTTTTTTTTTGGACAAATTTCCCCGGTCAAGGGCTAATCATGATTTTCAAGCTCATTCTAGAGTGGGCCTCGCCGTCTCGTTTCTACGGCCCAGTCAAGCCCAGGCAGTTATTACCGTTGGCCTACCCGTCAAGGGAGTGGCGGCGGGAAGGACGATAATACCCCTGTGTGCCCTCTCCTTCGAGGTTCCAATTAACTTCCAGCGCCCAACAAGAACCCTGGAATTTGGGGCTTTCCGATCCCGTGCTGCGACCATGGCGAAGAACGTCGCCGGCATGAGCAAAGAGGACGAACCCAGCATCGCTCCGGCGCCGGACAGATGGTACGACATCAGCCTCGGCCCTTCCTTCGGACACCACCACCCCTCCTCCAAGTTCTGCACTTTACGATGTACGTTTGCTTCGAATTCTCCGAATGTCTCCCTCGTCCTCTTCTGTGGCTTCTCGTGTTTCCGTTGGGAAGAAAAGCGATTGCGGGGTCTGTTTTTCGCTCCCGGGTATGTCTGTTCTGGTCGCGTAGCCCATTGAAATAGTTGGAAATAGTAAAAAGACGCTTACTTTATGTGAATATCGAGGGGAAGAGGAACCGGCCGAACTTCCCAACTGATAATTCGGTTGCGGAAAACGAGTTTGACCGCTCTCTTCTATAGAGACGCTGAACTAGTGGTGGGGAAGACCTTACTTGTATCTCCTTTCCAAAGTAAAACTAGCTGTTAACTGTGAGGCCGTTGAAGTTGTTAGATCCTCTACCTCCCAAGTGTTGTTTGGATGCGGGGACCGTGCAATAGTAATGTTGTTAGCTTGATTCTTTGTTTGACTTGGATAGTACTTGCTGTGCAGATGAATTTAAGCCGGCTTCTGTCGATAAGAACCAACCCGGATTGCTTCGCAAGAAGAAGGACAACCGGGTCTCTGTGGAGTTTCAGAACAACCAACCTGGAAAGCCTAAGGTGGTCTTCGATGGAGTGGGCGAGGATTACAAGGACAACGATGCGGTTCTGTTTTTTGACGGTGAGACGTTCCGTCTGGAGCGGTTGCATCGGGCAGTGAAGCGGTTGAGGCACATGCGGGTGCCCGGTGAATCTGCGGCTGCGGTGGCAGTTGGTCCGGCTGTTGAATCTAGTTCTCCACCAGATGGTAAAGCAGCAAACATTCAGAATTTCAACAAGGACGAGGCTCAAGACATGCCGGTGAGTGTTTTTTTTTTTTTTTTGAGTTTTTCGAGGCAATAAAATACGGCTTTGTAACTCATACGAGACGCAGGAGGTGTGTTTTTCGTTAGAACAGTGAAGTTTTGTTTAATCATACTTCCATATAAAGGAAAGATCATTCTTTGTTGGATATTAGCTCATTCCAATAGATTCCTTTTTTATGGGTACTGTTGGGAACTCTGTGAAATGCTTTGTTCAAATAAGTGGGAACTTTCTATGTGGGCTTAGGCTGCATAAAGTATTACTAGCATCTTCTGTTAGTCTGTTGTATACCTTCTCATTAGTGTAAAAGTGGTACTAGTATTTTTCGAATACCACATGATGGCATCACGTGTTGACGTTCTGAACTCTTTCGTATTCCAACAGGTTGAAGTGGAGAGAATCGACATGGGAAATTCGGAGGCAGTGGGTATGTTTAAATTGCTATGCTCATGAATGATCACAACATCTTGATAATGGTTGATGATTTATAGTTTGTCTGACCGTGTTCGTGGCACTACTCAGCATAAATGTATAGCTGTGTGAACTGGTGCAATTGGTTGGTCTTAGGTGCAATAATAGCTTTCTCAGTAGCTTTCTTATTTGAATACTCAGGATTAAGTTGATTGGTCGATTAAGTGATAGGTTTGTGGACTAGGATAAGCAAAAACTGGTAATTTTGAAAATCCGAATTGAGACACTATCGCATCATACAATCACGGCAGAGTCTGTTCACTTAGCCAATACTTCTTTATATTTGGCATATGAGGTAACTCCGTACGTATTTCTGCTTATCAGGTTTGAAATCTGAGGATGAAAATACTGCTTATAAGCTACCTCCAAGTTCTAGCACCCCGAAGGGATTAACTGACCTGACTAATGATGAACTAGAGGAACATCTTGATATCGTCGATAGTGAAGATGGCCATGAAGCAGCAAAGGCTGGAAATCTTTCCAGAAGAGAAATTCACAGTGGCATCGACATCAATGTACCACATCAGGATGAAGATGACGATGAGATTGCCAATGTAGATGTTAGTGACGATGAAGGCAATCTGGGTTATAATGCGGCTGAAGCTCTCAGAGCCCAGGTTGCAGGCGAACGACGCGAGCAATCTTCAAATTCAAGCAGTAGCAGCGAGAGCGAGGGGAGTGAGAGCAGTAGTGAGAGTAGCAGTGACAGCGGGAGCAGGAGCGGAAGTGGCAGTAGTGGCAGTGACAGCGAGAGTAGTGATGGTGACTCAGTGACCTCAATTTAGTTCACTAGGAACTGCAGCTCGCCTGTGGCTCTTGTTGATATCCTAGTGGTTATGTCAAGTTGAGTGTGGTAATTTCTGTGAATTAACTAGTAAATATTAGGGGATGCTGACAGAATAGTGTGCTGTGCATAATTGTAGTGTTATCATTGATGTGTAAATTATGCAGATTCTGTTACGCTTGTCCTGCAGTAGCTTTGTAAACTGAATTCTGCATTTTCATGGTAAATAATGTGAAACAAGGGTTGCAAACGAGTACAGAGATTTCATCTTATGCCAATCCCAAAAGACTGGTCTGATCCGGTCGTTAATGCAGTCGCAAACCCTGTTTTTCATACAAATTTATGGAATAACCAATTTAACTTCAAAATATAAGACGAAACAGCTACTAAACTAAGCAGTGTAAATTTCTTAGTGATATTGTAAATCAGACCTGTCACGATCTAAACAATGATCTAAACAATGCCTGTACGATATAAAGAATTACCACGGTCTTGCGAATTGAAACTTAATAAGTACAGTTGGTACATGTAATGATTTGTTGAAACTAATAAGCATCATATAAGCTAATGAAAAAGCAAGCCATGCAAGGACTTTACAACAGTTTCCCAATAGCCTACAAACTCAAAATAGACAGACCATAAGAACTCCAAACGAGGCACTATTGCCTCTCATGATTTCTGGGCACAAACCTCGGGGGGCTTGTGGGCCTCTTTTTCTTTTTCAAATTTTGCTTTTGAACCTCACTCATCACACTTTAATTTTCAAAGCCCAGCTGGTTCATATGCACGCATAACCCCCTCCCTTTTCATATAGAACCAACATAGAGATACTAAATACTCTACCTATATAAACACCCATTTCTCAAAGCGTATAGGAATATGAGTTAGAGCTTCTCCTCTCTCTCTCTCTCTCTCAGTTTTTGGAGAAAGCTTTGTGGTAAAGGGAAAGAGGAGGAGGACGAAGATGGGGGCACTCGATTACCTATCAAACTTTTGCATTGTCACCAGCACCAGAAGCAAACGCAAACCAATGCAGGTCCTCTCCCTCTTTATTTTTTTTTGGAAACTTTCTCTTTTTTGGTGCTTCTTTTTCTCTCTCTCTTTCTCTGTGCTTTATTTCAACAAAAGAAAGTGAAGGCCTTTCGCTCTTTCAAACCTGCAAGACCCTCTCTCTCTCTCTCTCTCTCTCTCTCTCTCTCTCTCTCTCTCTCTCTCTCTCTCTCTCGACATGGATATTTTTTCAGCTCCTCAAGAAGTAGGAGTTTTTCATAAGCTGTTGACTTGTTTCAGACAGTGGAGATCAAGGTTAAAATGGACTGCGATGGCTGCGAGAGAAGAGTCAAGAATGCTGTTACCACCATGAGAGGTGCGTCTTCTCTCTCTCTCTCTCTCTCTCTCTCTCTCTCATCCTCTGAAACCTAAACAAAGAAACGAAGGGAAAAGATACATGTTCTATAACATGGACACTTATATATTATGCTAAGACCTGAGAAGCCAGTTAAAGTAGCTATATACCACAACAGAATGTATGTAACATAAGTACTAATCCCTCTTCTCGATTTTGCAATGAATCTATCTGATTTACTACTTGTCTTTGCAATGTCAGTGAACTTTGAGGAGAGAAAAAGAAAAGTAAACGGGGACAGATGTATAGATATTTGCTCTAGAGAGTAGTTCTTCACATACTGTTTCCTTTTTAGTAAGATTCTCGTGAAGCTTATCTCTGCTCTCACTTTGTTGAATAATAAAGTACTTAGTAGAGTGCCTTTTGTTTATTGTTTAGCAAAATGCTAGAAATAATATAGCAACAAGGTCGTTAAAAAAAGCCCATGTTTCCCCTCCAAATGAATTTATCAGTCAAATAAAGCGTTTTGCACAATTTCCAAATTGCTATGCTGCAACGCACTTTAATGTGCATATATAATGGACATTTTATTGGGTCGCCATAGGAACACATTCAAAACAAAAATCCAGATTTACATTAATATTTACATCTCTATAAAACCCTGCAGGCGTAAAATCCGTGGAGGTATACCGGAAACAAAGCCGAGTGAAAGTGAGCGGCTACGTCGACCCAAACAAGGTGTTGAAGAGGATCAAGAGAACTGGCAAAACAGCCGAGTTCTGGCCTTACATCCCGCAGCACCTGGTTTACTACCCTTACGCCGCACAGGTCTATGACAAGAGAGCACCAGCTGGGTACGTCCGCAACGTCGTGCAGGCCTTCGCGAGCAGCTCAAATGCCGTGCCAGAGGAGAGAATCATCTCCATGTTCAGCGACGACAATGTTAATGCATGCTCTATCATGTAATAATTGTCAGTTACGTACTACATGCGATTTTAATTATATTGCATGGTTTGGTTCATATATATGAGAACTAATGTTGTTGTGGGTGTGCGCGTGTGTATCACTGCGGCAAGATTAACAGGATGGAAATCACTGAGTTGGATTTAATGTATCAGATGTAATGTCAGCCATGGCTGATTTTTATAATGCTGTGCCTCGTCTTTTTATTATAAGAACTACTACACAGAAGATTAGACTAGCCTGAGATGGGTGTCCCTTCTCTCTAATGTTGTCACCAAGAGATTCAGATCACCATTTCGGTGTTTTAGCTACAAAGAAATGACATGAAATGCTACATCATCGAAATAGTAGAACTAGCAGAGGTAATTTCCATGATTTATGGATGGAAGTTTACGTGTATTTATCACATTGTTGCAATTACGGATGAATATTTAAGCAAACTGAGAAGCACATTGACTTAACATCGATTAATTACTTCCTTAATCTGCTCTACGTCTGCAAAAATTAATTTGAGCCGGTCATGTCGTGTGCCTGTTCGATACTGGCCAAGACGAACCCATTAGGCTTACTATATCCGCTTCTAACAATTGATCAGTCTTGATTTGGTTTTGAGGCCGATTGAAATGTTTGGTATGCTCGTTTGTTCAAAAGAAAAGGAGAAGTGGCCTTCAAAAGAGTTTGAATCGATGAGGACCTACTAGCTCTCGCGCTTCGTCTAAAACAAAGTTTTGGCAAATTTCTTGTCACGAAGTTAAAATAAAATAATGCCGCAATATCAGATCTACTAAAATCGGTTTACAAAATTTATTCACTAAATGATGCGATAGACTGTCAGTGGATATTTAAATAAGTGGGTCATATTCAACGCTTACTATAATAGTCTGTAACATGATCATTTACTAAAATCAAATTTGTAAATCAGTCTTAATACATTTCGCAGAAGTCTAATCGTTTCCCCTTGGCTCAACGTCGATATCAAGATTAGTCATCCATTTTTCTTAGGTTTCATTTTGTGTAATGAACCAAAAGAAAAGGTTGGTACTGCTAGTGTTGCTCATAAGTTGGCTCCCATCAAGAGATCAACTACCAGAGAGGCAAATTCCTAGCCCTTTCTCAAGGAATCACTTTTGGGGGGTGTGTCCATACTTTTTACAACATTCAGAAAGAAGGGGTTAAAAGTCTCAAGATCAAGGATTTGGTGAATAACGCAAGTATTACATAGACAAGAGTAGTGTTCAAGGGTCCTAATGAAGGAATTAGATTCTTGTTTTCCCAACCACTAAGAAAGAGTAAAGGCAAGGTCATAGGACATGTACAGGGGCTTCATTTTAGTGTCATAATAACGTATTGATAGATTGGTTTTACCAAGTCCTCCAAACCATCCACGTTTCGCATTTGATATTCGCTTCGACTGGCCGGTAATACCTATTCTCAAGAATGAAAGAAAGAAAGATAATGCTTTTATATCATGCATGATTTCGACAAAAAAAAAATATCATGCACGATCCATGAAAAGTTTAGTATATCTGAATTCAAACCCTAATGCTACCCTTAATTCAATAGAAGTTGATTCATATTCTGCACAGAAATGATCTTTATAGAGAGACTAGAGCAAAGTGACCTCACCCAAGAAATACTTCTCATGTGCACGCGAAAATGCCCTCCCCATCTACCCACCGCCCAAAATTTGCGGTAGCTGATACCTTTGACTGTTGCAAAGTCAGTCGGTGCAAATCAAGTTGATGCATTTTTCATGCTTCCGTTTCATTTTGAACGGTTGGTTCCCCTTTTCAGCTCATATTTATTCCTTCTTTTTCGAACGCTTTTTCTCAGGAAGCTGTTCTTTTGGAACACATCGTTTTTTTCTCGAGTTTGGTTTGAGAACACTTCCTTGGTAATCAACCAACATGCATTGATCTTGAACCCTCTATACATTTTCACCATATGCTTTGAGTTTATCTGCTATAGACATAATACAATGATTAGTCAGTGAGCTTATAGACCCCAGTCTAGCCGATTTTTCTGCATGTATGCTATTACTAATCAAGTTAGTATGGCTTTCGACCCTTTATTTCATGATTATTAGTCGACTTTACTAGCTGTAGACATGATGTATAGAGCCAGTTTATGACTTAACGAGTTCATCTCTACCTTCTCCGAACTGGAGAATTGGAACTGATTATTTGGACTGAATGTGTGTGATACCTATAGTGAATCCAGACAGTAATATCTTATCAATGCTCTTAGATTGCTGCTACTTACAGTGACAACAGCAATATCTTCACAACCTTCCATGCTGGTTCTATACGCCTCCACTGTCAACGACACAACCCTGAATTTTGGCTTTTGGAATGGAATGACGTAGTCCCAAAATATTATAATCCTCATTTAGTAGCCCTCATAATACACCACATACCCATTTATTATATGATCGTCCCTGGACTTTTGCCCTAACTTTCTTGCTTACCACTTACAAGAGACAACGGAATCTAGCCATCTTCACGATCGATCTTATCTCAATCACCGCCGCTCACACAAAAGGTTACATAAATCTCATCTTTAACCTTAACTTAGCTATCATCCTTTTCTTTTTGGTTCATTCTAAACTGTGGTCAGATGAGAACCAACTTTGATACATCTATCAAACCCATCTCTTGTTTTCAATCATATTCAGGCTAAGATAAGATGATATATGAGAAAATGACACAAAGAGTCCCTAAACTTTAGCCTATTGTATAATGTCATCCTTGAACAATTAGTCCGTCTAATGTGATCCTTTTGCTATTTTTAAATGTTTAATTTAGTTCCTAAACTTTCAGCGCGTTCAATCTAGTCCCTTAACTTTCCATAACAAAGTCAAATTAGTCATTCGGTATTATTCACAAGCTTTCATAATTACATTATTGCCCAAATTTTAGAATATATTTCATTTCATTCTACTTCCAAAATCAACAAAAAAACGTGCTATCTTTTTATTACATTTTTTGTCTTTAAAAATATTACTATATTATATTTTAACTTATCATCTCTGTTGAGTACAAATGTAACCTCGCTTAGAATAATGTCGGATTCATATTCCTTTCATTCTAAAATAATTAGTAATGATAGTAACTTATCTATAGATTTTCCGTACTTATATTAATCTAAATCTTATTCGTAATTTTTTTATACAGATAAATTTTTCAAATTTTTTTGTTTCGTGTTTTCTTGATCAAATTTCGTTAAATTTGTTTAAAATAGCAAGATTATCCACCCGATATAATTCTAAATGAGGTTCTTCTTTTGCTATTATAGAGATCATAAGCTAAAATATGCTTCAATGAAACTATCTTAATATTTATAAAAACCAAAAATAGTAAAATAGTAATAAAGATATAGCCAGGTTTTTTTTGTGTTGATTTAGGAAATGGGTTGAAATGAAAAGATATTTTGAGAACTGGGCAATAGTGTAATCATGAAAACTTTTTACCTTTTTATGAAAATGTGAGGGACTCGATTGAATAAAACAAAAGTTAATGGGCTAGATTGAACATTTAGAGATAGTTCATGGATTATATCGAATGAATTAAAAATTTGAAGAAAACATCGTAATATGGATCAAAATTTAGGAACTATTTGTGTCAATTTCTCGTGATATGATTTACAGAAGTGTCGTTTTAGCCCTAATCCCGAGAGATTAAGATGGGCAATAATCAAGCGTAATTATTACCTTTTGTCTTGATACTTTTCCCAGTGTCGCCGCTCCGCACGATGATATAATTAGACCAAGGGTCACTAATTGCATTAATAATTGGCATTATGATAGTGGATAAAGAAAGGGCGAATGATTATGGAGAGCGACCACCTTTGGTCGAGAATAAACCTTTTTCTCGATTAGAAAAAAGAAGAAGTTTCGAAAGATGATGGAGGGGTCACACCCCCCTTGAAGTGACATGACCAAAGACATGAAGAATGGATCCACACCATTGATCAACCACCCATTATTTTAATCTTAAAGCGCCACAAGCACATCCATTGAAGATGGGATTTTGCGCCTTGAGACTTTATAAATTAGTGAAGTAAAGTTCAGATTTTTTTAGGGTTGTTTAGTCGATCGAGAATGAGATGTGGTTGAAGCATCACCATCCGATCGGGTCCAATTTCGAATGGAGAATTTCGCTTGGGTTTGACCAGATGTTTGTGCGAGATGCCAACGGCAATGGGGGGGTTGCTTAATGTCTCGTCCGAAATTCTTGCGATGTCCTCTTATACTTCCTAGTGTCTATAGAAAGGTGACATTCGATGAGATGATGTTTTGCTTAAATTTTTGTTTTTGACTTTTTGCCGTTGTAGTTTGAGTCCAGAAGCCGTGTTACATTCTGAGCATGACTTAAAAAGATTTCATTCGGAGCTTCATTCGAATTTCAGAATTCCTTAGATGTAAAGCAGATAGAGAGTATTCTCTCCCTTCAAGAAAGACAAAAATACGTGGGATCAAAGTGTGCAAAGCATACAGGCACCGACCCATTAAAATAAGGAATGTATCCATAGAGCCCCATCAAACGAACCGGCCATGGAGGCCCTTGTTGGAGTTCTGCTCCTCTTCTGTGGCGAGGTTACTTCTTAACCTGATCACTAATGATCCACGGGAGTGGTTTTGGTCTTTTCCACAAGGTATTATGTGCAATCTGTTTAGGGAACACCATCAAGATTTTGGTGAAATTAGATTTACAGCTACACAATGTGCTCGCAACACTTGTGGTGACAATTGCTCCTCCCGTTGATCATGGGTTTAATTTAAAAGACATCATGTTCCCTTTCTTGTATTGAGCTTCCAAAGAGACCAAAGACAGGATCAGATACCCGATAATCGAATCAAGGTGTTTGTGATTAGGGTATAGTAACCCTCCTATGCGAATTAGTAAATTCTTGAGCTTCCTAGCAATTTCTCTATTAGCAAGGAAAAAGGGAATTACCATGGAAATTAGAAACGTTAATCATCTATTAAGGAGATTTATTATCAATTCGCACGCACTAATAAGGAAAGGAACTATTGAGATTGGATGAAACCAAGCTCAACCCCGCATTTTATTTTCTCAAATAGGGTCATATAGGTGCATGCAATCGTGTGCAAGGCAACATAGAAGTAGTAGATTATCGTAGCATGAAAATCAGCGTAGCCTTCCGACCAAAAATTAAAAATAAAAAAAATCAGCGTAGCACAAATCTGGAAGACTCTTATGAGGTCCTTTTTATCATGAACTTGGATCTCTTGCCCGTTCTCTTCAATGGATCTGTTCTTAGATTGAAGGCCACAAAGATCTATAAAATGCCTGAAAAACCATCATTCGTTCATCATTGTAAACCGATCTGAAAATCTTTAATTTGTGTTTCTACTGATTTTTTAGTATTCAGTTTCAAGAGAAAAAAAGGATCCTGATTTTCATAACCGAACTTAACGTGAATTATTGATTTTCTCACTGTGAGAGTGAATTGACAAATCATCTTACTTGCTCGGGTTATTTCCTCTTTGCTAGCTTAAAGGAGTCTGGATGGGTAGGAATCTACCTCGCCCGCTATAAAAATGTCTAGTTTAAGGCGCCAACGAAGCACTAATTACCTTAAGGACAAGCCCGTCACCACAGCCCCACTAGATGTGAGTGGGGAAGCCTAATGCCGGCGATATACCTAAGTACAGGCCCATCATTCGCAAACAAGTTGAGGTTTCCTAAAACCGAAGATAGATTAGGAAATCGAACTCGTGACTTCGCCTTGCAAATCAAGTCTTGGACCACTCGATCAACCACCCAGTTGGTTCCTTTGAGTTATCTTAACAAAAAAGAAAGCTGTCCGTAATTTTTATTTTGTCCCGTTTATGCCTTCAGAACTTATATCTCCCTGCCCCAAAATCCTTGTCCTCGGTGCAGTTTTTAGGTAAAGTTTAGTCATACCTGAATCACCGGTCACCAGACACAAAGAAGAGTAGTGATGAGAGTTATTCAAGGCCAATAAATTCACTGTTAGTGATTGGATCAAAATAAATTTGAACCTGCACACTAGTTTGATGCATTGTGGAAACAATAACCCAACTGGACAGACGTTTCAAACATTTCAAAGTATGGGCCGTGAATGGCTTGAATCTTTTCCAGGACTCAATTCCTTCCAATAGGCCTTTGTGCACAGCTAGCTAATCCAAGTACACTGTTGCACTAAAAAGCTCATTCTTTTCAGTTGGCACAATATGTTACTTATCGTACTTTCTATCACAATTATGAGAATCTTGCATGTAATCTCAGTAAACAGCACTGCGGTGTCTAACTATATCTTAACTTATAAGACCAATTCCCAGATTTCAGAAAATTAAACTAAGTAGTCAAACGCAACCTAGTGGTTTACAGACTGTTTCTCTATTTCAATCACCTATTGTAACGCATCTTACTTGTATAAATAATATGGTATAGACTATAGAACAACCGCACCAATTGATGGATTTATGGAATTACATTAAAGCACCTAGTAATCAGACATAGGTGGTTTAATAGTTGAAAGAAGCAGCTTACACAAGAAGTTTTGGCGTTAAAATTGAAAAGAAGCTACTCATCGCTTTTGTGCTTTCCTCCTCCTGGATTGCGCCTTCTGCCATTTCTTCCTTGTAACGAGCTTGCTCTTTGGTTTCAGCTTCAATTCAGGCGAGAACTTGTAATTCGGGTCCCTCATGCGTGCTTGGATATCTTTGAAGAACTGCATATTCAACCTCTTGGGCCCTCCCTGTCTGAGTTCCTCGTACTCAGGTCCAGAAACTATATTCTCAAAAGCTCCAATTAAAATGTCCAAGTCGCTCATGACTTCCCACACGTTAATATAGCGACCATCAGGTCCCTTTTTCAGTTTCTTCAAGGCATTCTCAACTGCTAATTTCCGGGCTTTCTTCCCGGGGGACAACTCTTCTGGTTCATTTTCAGCGTTCAGCAGCTCTGAGATCGTCCTGTATTTCGGTTTTTCCTCAAACTCGAATATCTTATCAATATACTTATCACTGGCTTCATTGGGGTATGCTTCAGTCGGAATGTCGTCGTCATCGTCGCACTCACTGCCGGTCCACAATGTCTTCTCCTCGTCACTATCAGACCATATACTATGTAGTTCATCACTATCGTCTGCATCGATCAGGTCGGAATTCTCTTTCGCCTTTTGCCTGACTTTACGAATCTTTCTTTCTAGACCGTTCCGACTCTTCTCATCACTGTCGCCTTCATCCTCACTTCCTGTCCACAGGGAAGTGTCTTCCTCCATCTCTTGCTTCCAGGATTTCCTAAATTCTTCATTTCCTGGCTTACCGCCACTAAACAGATCGTAATATCTGCGCTCATCACCAGCATACTTACGTGATGCTGCAGAGATAAGGTAACGGTCACGACCGAATATCAGCCAACAGACGGAAAAGAAATCGAGGGCATGTTGTAAACTCAGCATAATCAATTAAATAAAGGAAGAAAAGAAACTAGAGTCGCTCTCACACTTCGAACTGGCAAAAAGAGGCAAATCAGTCTAATCAACAGGGGTGCCAAAAAATTCATGTCCTTGAGGCAGAGTCAACAACAACAATAACGAAACATGAACTTGTCAAAATAGTTTCAAGCACAAATAAAGGGCAATTTGTATTATTGCAACTCAGTCATGTCCCATCCCCTAACATCCCCCACTCCTGTTTTTTGTTTTAAATAAATGACATGCAGCCGTCCTCACTCCTTCGAAATTTCAAATAGAAACAGCAAAAGACGACATTTTCGAGGGAAATAAGGACGCAGATACAGTCATGAATCTCATCCTACCGATCCTGAATATTGAAGATAACATCTAGCATGCCCCGTCCACGACTATTAGCTAAAGGCTTCATACAGGAAAATTCACAAGCATGTGATATGCACGTCAAAGCTCAATGGAAAGCCCTCCTCAATACCAGCTCGCTCTTCCGACTAACGAAACGGAATCCTCCAACCCGCACACTTAAAGGAAATTTACATGCAGAAGCACAACGCAAACCGCCCCAGATCACAAAATCCAATTTTTTTTTATAAAAAAAACCCGACCTTGAAAGCTGGGACAAGCCCCGCCAGGGAAGCGGCTCGTTCTTGAACTCAGACCCAGTTCTTGGCAGAGACATTGCGACCTGAAAACACGTTCAAGTTAGGAAGAGAAACGAAGGGCAATGTTCACGTGAGCCACGAACGACACGCGATCAAAAAAAAGTTTTGACCTTGGAAGAAGGGACGGAAACGGTGGGCGCGAGCTTGATGTTCTCCCGCAGAAAGAAGAGAGAAGCGAGCGGGAGGCTCGGGAAGAGAGTCGAAATGGGGTCATCCCAGAACTCTAGCACCTCCAAGACTGTCGATGCGACGAGGATACGATGTCCAAAATATGTTGATCTTTGCAGTGAATCCACACGAGATTCATAAGTATCTGAAAGTGTTCACATACTGAAGTTATTTACTTTGTACGGGAGCGATTTGTGCTTTTGTTCTTGGGAGTGCAACTGAAGCAGTGATTATGTGTGTGCCTCTGTGTAATTTATTGAGAAATGAAATCTAAGTTATTCATTTTGCACCAACCCTACTCTTGAATTCAGCCTGTGCCTATTCGAAATCGATCGGGGTTGACGTTTACCGGAAATTAGGAATGCCCTTCTTCATTCATATTTTCGATCGCCGTGACCTGATGTTTTCCATCCCTCTTAAGAACGTTTTTCTAATTATGAATTGGAGGTGTTAAACGGTCTCGAAATCAACCGACTTTGACACAAATAAAATTGAAGAGGCATCGATCACCAATTTGTCAAATAAAATTGAAGAGGCATCGATCACCAATCGTTCGATAGTGATATTACGTCCGTATGATTTGCGTTTGCGTTTCCAAATAACACTATCGCCTCCAATTACCCCGGTATATAACAATCTATGAAGCAATTTGCTTATACTCGCATTCACGTGAGTTGCAAAAGTTCATTGCCGAATCAACTGGGTACGGATTGTTTATCAAATCCGTAACAAAATGTCAGTGCTTTCGCTTCTTGGGCCATCGAAGAAGATACCGTGACCGTATTACCATAAAATGTAGCAGCTTGAACACATCATTTGGCTCAGTCTCGTACCCCTTGCAGTATGACTTCAGAACATATGTTTCCACTGGTCTGCATCAAATCTAGGGCAAACCATCTGATGAAAATATACATGACTTCCACAAAAAAATGTCTTCAGGATTTTCTGAGATGTCGCACAACGCTTTCCTCAATCATTACTGATTCGATCTGTCAAATTCGATCGCCAGTCACCACTTACAATAAGAGAGAGAACCAGGGGTTTAATCACATGCTTCTATTAACAGGGCAGAGGACTGATGGTAGAGTTTCAAGAGCATAACAGTATGTAAACTTGATTAGAGAGATGATTCTATTGCATGTTTGCCCCCGATGCAATGCCATGCTTCATTATAAAGTAGAGCAGAAGACGGATGCACGTGTTCACGCTGTCACAGCCGCACTACAGATTTTGGTCATCAATCATTTCAATGGTGGGAGCAAACTGCAAAGGCAAAAAGAGCAAGGAAATCTTAGTCACACAGAGAGAGAGACAGAGAGACAGAGAGAGTCTACAAGGCTTACTTCATCATCTTCATCGAAATACAATCCATCAACAGCACTATTTTGCTGGAACTCCCATCCAAGAGTATGCTCAAGTAGTTCCTTGAATTTCCTTGTCTACAAAGCCAAACAACCCCTCTAAGCAATTCCTTCATATCCATTTAGTTAAGGTTAAGTGACTAGCAAGTATGCAAATTGAAATCAACAGCTGCTAGATGGGATGCACAGAACTAGACAAGTTTCTTTCCACGAACTTCTCCCCAGAGCCACAGGAGAACACGGAATTACAGTCAGGGCAAACTTACAATTGTGTATAGCTGAAGCAAGTTCAATGGTTCAACGGTTCAACTCCCATGAGAAGCAGGAGAAGAAGCAATTAAGTTGGACATAATTGCAAAATTTTGATGTATGTTCTACTAGTCAACCCTATTCATGGTACACACGCTGTGCTCACGAGAGCTCAAAAGTAGATACAAAACTAGAATATTGGAAGTGGAACATATCATAAAGGTTTGTAAGGGCATCAGATTTGGTCCTCAATCGGATGCATATACTCTTAAGGACCCTGATTAACCTGAAAATTTATCACCAAGTGACTTCCACAGCAATCATATCATTTCATGCCATTTTAAAAAAGAAGGTGCAATTCTTATATATCATCATTAAAAGAGGAATGGCAACGCCAAGGCTCAAAAAACCAACCCAAGATAGAAGTTCTCCGTCAACAACTGGAGCACCTAGCACCAACGAAAAGAAATCCTGCAATTCAGAAAAGATATTAAGCGTCACAAGTTCTAAACTTGAATTTGGATTAACGGATGGTACTCAGTTTAGTCAGAAGACAACCAGTAAAACAGTTCAGTCTCATGAACCCATAAAATGTCAACATGAGTTTACAGACTCAATACAATTGTAGGGATATGAAGTATAAATCCAACATGGAAAAGCAGCTAAAACTACAGAATGATTATCATTTAATCCCATTACCTTGCAAAGTCGGTGCAAAAAGCTATCGGTAGAAAACCACGAATCATCCAATAGCGCGGATGTTCCCTGCTCTGTATTCCTGTTGTCTGCAGAGTCCTTTTGAAGTCCATACTTGAGCTGATAGTAGATCACCCTAACAAACTGAAAGAAAATTTATTCCATTTGTCAATACTGGAGGTTTCCTGACTGAGCTCGACCAGTACAGGGAGCACAGCCAATGGGCACCACAACTTAGAAATATAATCCAGTGTGCAGTTAAGAAACAGCGATTTAAGAGTCAAAGACTTGTACCTTTGTGAACAGCTGCGTTCTCGTATGGAAAGGCTGCTCAAGTATTACAGAGAAAGCAGTAAGGATTATGTCAGATGCTATAAAACTACTAATGTTGGGGATGAATTACTACGTTCTAACAGTAGTCCCATAAGCCAGCTAAGTTTATAAATTAACGGGTATTCACTTCCTAGTCTCGCGGCACCTTCCTAGCATGTGCTACTGCCAGTGGCCTTCTCATAAAGCATGATCTTAACAGATCCAAATATAATATGGCTATTTTATAAACAAAAATCAAACTGTAGGACATTATTGCATTGAGTTAAAAAGGAGACTGAGTACCAGCAACTTGAGAATTAGCCATATGGGCTTTTGAGAAACTATGTCCCGATTTAGTGGAGCATTTGCTAAAGAAGCAGAAGTATGTGAAAACTGAAATAACTTAAAGTAGCTTTGCAAGAAGCAACCTAGAGATGCTTTTGTAGATTTATTTTGTTCTGACTGTCATATTTAAACGTTTCTTCAATATAAACATTTCTTATGACTCCCATATAGTATGGATACCCACAAAACAAGCTGTACAATATAAACACTTGGCCCATGTCTAATACCCCACTGCTAAACATATCAGGGGAAAGCGCTGCATATTTTCAAAACCAAGATTATACACAGAACAGTGTGACGAATGTAAAAACTAGCAAGTTGGAAGCAGTCAGTGGTAAAAGACTTCCCACAGGCAGACTGGGAGAGAGACAGCGAGGTTCTTAGACCCAAAAACATAGGCATTTATATACTAACATCAACAACTAATATAACATTTAAAATGTGATGGAATATATGAAACTGTCCAAGCAAACACTTACGGCTTCAGTGCAACCAAGCAAAAGGCCAACCAAAGCTTTCCACTGCAAAAATGCTTCCAGTGATTGCCCCATCTGAAAAATCTACAGTGTCAGACATAGAGCAACTCATTTACCCCATCAAATGGAAAAAAAAAAAAAAAAGGTCATTACCAGAAATGCAATAAAGGAAAATTGGAATTCCCCGAGGAGTAAGTCTTCAGAGCCTCCAAATTCTGTTGCAACTATGGTCTCGAGCAATTGTGTCTGGACCACACAGAGAAAAAAATACAGAATGATCAGCAACTACCGCATCAATCAATATCACAGAGCTACAATCCACTATGAAAAGCACACATATCAAATTATTTTTTCTAACATAAAATATTCACATCTGGCCCGCAGTTTCATGTTTCGCAAGAAGAGTACCTTGTCAAGATTTAAAGAAGTAAGTTCATGGCCTTCAATTCCTCGGCGCTTGACAACACGGGGAATAAATGTGTAATAGCATCCCCTACCGTGAGACATGTCCACAGTTGCTGAAACCTTTCTTGTTTTCAGTTTTTCATCTAAAGCTTTCTCCATTGCTGTTTTTTGGGTGTTCTTTAAGATCTCTGACTCACATACAACAGTGATATCTCCTCCAATGGGTTCTGAAAACAAATGAATCATCCATGATAATATTTCTTGATTCGACATTGCATGGAAACTGGAAAGTAGATGTATCATTGAGTGAAGAGATAAAGGACATATGAATATTCATGCAAAACAAGCATCAATAAACACGATAGGTGCTCCATCACCAAGCGAGAAGACACCTCGGCGACAGACAAGATCTGCAAAAATTAACAAGCGGTCTCAGGGCAGTAAATGGCATACCAAGTCTTTGAATAGTATCCTTAGTTATGTAATTGGATAAACGCTTCCAATCTCCATATCGATTTAGATCATAAGGACCCAGTTGTCTATCGAACTCCATACTTCTTACAGCTTGACAATACCTCTCTGCCTTGACAAAGTCAACAGGAGATAATGTTATGTCAGGGGTCATTCCGTGAGTGTCCAAAAAGGATATGTCATTCTGCCAAAATTCAAAATGTTAAGTAGAAAAGTTTAATTCTAATCGCCCCTTAATCTTAGATGCATCATTGTCCACCTCCTATAATGAGATCAGATGGCCCACCCACTTCCCACAAGTAGAATATCATAAACTCGCATCATGCTTCTGTCACTTCGAGTATCATGTAATTCAACAGAAGCCGAAGTTTTATGAATAGTAGAATTGTGCTTTAAAGTATGAAAGGGGAAGCATCAGCACCCAACTCCATATTTGCAGGCAAATGTCATCCACATAGAGGAAAAAGTTGATCAAGCTTTCAGCAACAGACCTCTTCTTCAGACACGCTAACTAATCGCTCTTCTTCAGTATTCCACCTTCGAATGATAACCTGGTCAAACATCATCACCACGAAAGCTAGTCGTGACAAAAACATACAGCGTTAACTTCTGATATAATGACCTATCTAGGTGGTAACCAATGGAAGACTCCATCAAATTCCATACCTCAGACAGACCAGCATCAACAAAAAATCCTACAATTGGCGAGAACTCTTTGCCATCTCTGCACACCAACGATTTAAGACATTCCAAGCACATGAAGTTTCAAATTAATATAAGATGATTGACAATTAAGCAGTTGCCAATCTGCTATGACTAAAGCATTCAAGACCAATTCACCAATGGAGAAATGGCAGCTTTCCAGAAGGTACATGAACTTGTAAAGACAAATGATCTCCATAAAGAGAAGCACAGAGTACGAATAGAACGGAAAGATAGCACGGCAAACTACAAGGCGGAGAGAGAGCGCAGCGCAGAGTACCGGACCCATGAAACAAGAACATATAACGCAAACTTTAAACAGAAAAAAAAATGACATTTTGATGCACCTCCGGAGTGATTCAGGATCGCCTTCTACTTCAACCCATCAAATCAGCTCAACCGATTTATCCGGCTGCATCGATTATTTCGAACTCATCACACAGTACTAACAGGATGACATTGCTCTATAAAGCAAACGAAACGAAATCAACAGGACACCACCATGACTGCTGATCCAACATAACGGACTATCGAGAGTAAAGTGCGCATAAACCGACCTGCTCGAGGAGCTGTAGTAGACGAAATGAACACCGGGAGGAATCATCTTAAGCCCCTTGAAAGCAGGCCCAACAGAAAACATCTGCAAATTTCACAGAATCAACAGAAATTAGCCGTGCTAACTGCCGATACGTGGAAAACCCAGCAAATTGCAGCCATTTCTACCGCATACGACCATCGCGAGATCTCTGAACCAAATGGAAATGCGATGGGCGCGTTACGATATGGAATCCAATCGGTGCGCGAGCGAGCGATACGCGACCTGGGTGTCGATGCCGACGAGCGTGTGCTCAGGAACGTCGAGGAGGAGCAGCGTGACGCCCCGCCTCACCAGCTCCAGAGCCGTGTCCGCGTCCATCGTCGCGACGCCGAAGACGAAGTCGAGTCTTCTTCGCTGCTTCCTCTTCCTTTCTCTTCTTCTTCTTCCTTCCTCCCTCCAGAGGCTTCCTGTTGTACGTGCCTTCCCCTTGCGGCGGCGGCTATGATTCGGTTCGAACTTTGTGAGCCGAATTGAACCGGACCCAATTGGAGGGAAATTGATTCGTATTTTACATTTGTCACCTCTTTTTCAGCTTTCACAATTCAATTTTTTTTTTCAAGACAAGGAGTACTTATATTTCTTTCTTTTTTTTGAAATGTATGATGAAATTTACAGCATTCATGCCCGATTTCAAATTTATTTAAGAAAAGGTAGAAAAAAGTAAAAATATATATACACACACACATATGTTTTTAAGTATAACTCCGATGTATTTAGTATACAAAAACTGTGTATCAGATTGGAATGGAATGAAATGACTTGAAAATAATGAGAATACACATTCCTCTGTTTAGTCTTGCGTGAATTGAAGCTTGAATTTCGATCATTTGCTTGCTTTCATCGTCGTAACAATTATAATAAATTGTTTAGATGTAAGCACGCACTTCCCATTTTCGTATTTTCATTTAATAAACCGTTAATCACGGCCGAAACAATTATAATAATTGCACTTGCTTCTTGTGATGTTCAAGGCTATTTTCTTCCAAGCACCCCAGTTGCTTTCATTAGCTTTTCTTCTTTTTTTTCCTTCCTTTTTTAGAAGAGCTCCCCAAGATGAAACTAATTAAATTCTTAATTTTAAGTTTGAGAAGCTAAACACTCTAATCCCTCATCTGTTCCAATGGGAACAACGAGGATCTTGGACAAACAGAACAAATTCACTCAGAAAGACTACCTCTTTAAGGAAAAAGAAGGCATTGCCTGGAAATAAAATGTTCTTTTTCCAATGGTTAAAGGAGGGAATCACAGTTCCCTAGGAATAATTGATTAAATAACTAATTATTCGCTAAGTTGGATATTCGATTTGCGCCAATTTCAATCAGCCATGAAGTTCGATTTCTGTTTCTTATGGGTCTTGAGTCTACTTTCAGTTATTAACTTTTTTAAATATGCTATTTTGACTTCTCTTTTTTTATAATCAAATCCTCTAACTTGCTAACAAGGCGAAACGTTCGTATCCATCGCTCAAAGGATACCAATTACGATGACCCTCCCCGCTGAACATTCCACGCATATTACGTGAGCATTATGAAATTGATCTCAATTCTCAATCTGGCCTCTGAAGGAAGCCATATTTGTCGAGGTGAGCATCGAGTGCACAAGCAATAAAGAAGAACACTAACCTTTCCCGCCTCTTATTGTTGACACAAAACCAAATAAAAAGTTCGAAGCACAGCCAGGGCATAAAAAATCAGTCTTATAACTGATACTATGATGAATGGAATAAGACAGCGAATAAGTGTTTAGTCGAATCTTTCCGCTTTGAAATTGACCCGTGGGTTCCGTATGTCGTCTTGACTTTGAATCAATCGGATCTCCAAGCTGCTCGATTGCGGATCGAACTCGGCACTTCTGTAGCCGTCCACTGTTCTCTGAAGTACTGCCTGCAAATCATGGTAGAAGCCCCACAGTCAATCATGTTTATACCTCGAAATGATGCAAACAAGAGTCAATTTATTTGATCCTAGTGGTGAGCAAAGCAAAAATAGGATGTGGCCAATCTATTCACTTTCGCCTAGTGACCTAAGTGTGTGAATGAATGTGGATGGAAGAAAATGGCCAGTGAATGTTGGCCTCCATTGGCTAGATAAGAACAGATAAACATGGTCAACATCTGACTCTATATTTAGTGAGTCTCCAAGCTGAGGATAGGAGTAGGATACGACGAAGTTTATAAGATTTCTTCTCCTATCCTAACCCATTACTATAATTTTACCAGGAAGACCAAACAAAACCTAAAATAGAATAAGATCCATAAGCACCTGTAAGCTTGACACCGCAAGCTCTGCTGCCTTATCAAGGTTGTCAGGATGTTTCTGGAAAAACCAAGAATTGTTGGGTTCAGGAAGAGTAAATTACTGCAAGAATTACTACAAGTTAGGAAAAATCAAAATTCTAAAAGCAGGCAATACATTGCTCCATCCAAGAAGAAGTGCAGTCATGAGATCTCCTGTTCCCTACAATCGCATCAAAGTATTTGTAATGTATCAGCATAAGAGATTGCAGAAATGTTAGGCTGCTAGTGAAAAAGAAACGAGGAATCACCCCCAGAAATCCTGTGGGTCAATTCCAACAATGTATTAATTCAGAATTATTTATTCATCAGATGCTTGCTCCAATGTATTTCAACCAGCACATCAAGAAATAAAAGGTGCAGTGAGTCTAGTGTGTGTCAACAAAATGTTACACGGCCCAAAGTGACGGTCCAATGTTTTATCCGTTTGTCAGTAACTAAGCATAAGTTACACAACTACTTAAAGAGAGTTCGTAAAGGAAAAAATACCGTGAAATAAGCAGGAATTTTTGGAATCAAGATCTTGAATTGCTCAGGAACCTGACCCTAAAAAATACAAGGGAGTCAATGCACTTTACCACCAAAGGATGAGTAGCACTTTCTATTGATGTAAACAAGGTAAAGTAAGGGAGGCAAGATCACGAAATGCTCAAGATTCTTGAAAATGGCAAATATCATTACTTCAAGTTCAGATAACTGGTGCATACTTTTGTGTTTCAGCAAAGAGAAGAATAAGTCAACAATGTCCTTACAATTAGGGAGATATCCAAATACCAGAATGGAATCATATCATGAAAGAGAGCTACTGCACATGATTAAGCATCAATAAAGAGAGTCATGAAAATCCACCAAGAGATGATGCTGCATTTTTATGGTAAAATGTCCAAACCCTTATTTAGACTTGTATTACCTACAAATGTCAGCATTTAACCAAAACTGCTCATTTTATCAGTACAGAAATCATAGATACCGTAAAAACTCACCTTCTCCTTTTGATGACTGCCTATGAGGAGCAGGTTCCCATTTACATTTATACTTGTAATCACAACCTGAGATTAATTAGAAAACGATCAACCTTCAAGTGAGATGGAAAAGTAAGATTCAGAAATGATCCTTCATAGCAGGAAACCTTGTCGAAAGACTAAAGAGCTAATACTGAGCTACCGACAAGCATGTCACTGAAAAAAAATCACACACAGAGCCGAAGGAACAGGGTAATCCTGCACTAGGGAGCTACAATTTCTTTACCAACCTTAGAAAATCATCCAGAAAATAGCAGGAGCAATGAAGGCTATACCCGGTAAAAAACAATTATGCAGCTTTAATAAGAGAGCAAAGTTTGGCAGGAAGGTAGACATCATTTTGAAGTTACACCTGTTATACTTGAAGGATAAGTGCTCAAGCACAGCCACACATAAATCCATAGTAAATGTAATGACTGCAACAAAGTCTCTGAATTTCAAGCAACTTTAACAATGTTCTTATTCTTTGCTCTTATTTGGGGATACAACTTTTCCATCATGCTTCATAATTACATCATTACGTCATTCTATGTAGCTGGTGCAATTGGCAAGCAAGACACATTAGAACTTCTCTATAAACATCAAGAAGAGAGAGAGAGAGAGAGAGAGAGAGAGAGAGAGATTTCTGGAAAGAACACAAAAGGCGAGGGGTGATAAGGGCATAGTAAATGTTGTTTCATACTACCGTAACTTTACGGGTAGGCTTTTTCCGGCCAAAACTTTACAATTAGGTTGAGCCAAGCTGCTGTCATACTACATGTTTTCCAGTGCATAAAACACAAACTAACATTGCTAAGAAGATTATCACTATGCATAGGTAATGCAACATTATATCATTCAAGCCAACTCTACTAAAGTTCACGACATTCAGAATATTATCAGTGATTCACATTAAGAGAAGTTAGAAATTAAAATTACAATGATACCTTTGAAGGTCCAGCATCATGAAGCTTATTACAAACTTCCCTACCATCACTTTCAGACACTATCCTGAGACAAAAAATAAACAAAGAACTCAAGCGAAGGCATAAGATCTGCACTCCTAAAAGCAGAACAAGATCAAATAATCACATCCAAATATTACACTCTGCAAGAAAAAATGCAGACAACCGTTTCTTCTAATAAAGTAACCAATACGAGATATGACTGTAAATGTTTAAAGCATGAAAAAGAGAAACATTAGATGCATAGTATCTCCTAACAAACTAATCAGATTACACTAGATTGTGCATGCTTTTTAGTTTGTGCAACATGTACCCACATGGTAAGTGCCAATGTGCATATGTGCAAGCGTTTCTCAGTTTTGCCAGCCAAGGTAGATAATAGAAACTAGTCAAACGTCATCCCCTGGGAACTGATGCCATTTTATTTAGTTTGGAAGGCAAAAAACCGGTGTGAATATTAAGATACCCATAAATCTAAAAATGCTTTGTTATTTTGTCAATATGATCTAGCTTTGTGTATATGGGTAAGATTTTCTATTCAGCACAAATAGAATGATGAGGACATCAAACTTCGTATTTAACTGAACAGTGGAACCAAGAATTGCACCCAAACCTTTCCTGGAGTAATCAAAAAAGTTGATTTGGCATAAGAACAGGAGGATACCTATACCCAGTCAAAAGTTCTGCTTCAAATTGATTAGGAGTCAACATTGAGGCCACTGGAACAACCTATACAAAAGAAGTATCAATGTATCAAAAAACAGACTGAACCATTAATTTGGAGAACTTCCGAACAATCATCCAAATTCAATTTCTATGACATGAGCAAAAATGTCATCCAGCACATGCATCAACAGGTGCTCTTCTCACCTTCTCCCGGTAGACTGTTACCAGCTCCTGAGGAATATAGAGCTTCCCTTCATCACCCATCACGGGATCGCAAACTAGACAAGAATGGCAGTTTTTACAAGACACAGCCAGTGCCTTGGTCATTTCTTTGTGCAAATAGATTAGGAAAGATATGTTCACGCCATTATCCAGCAGAACAAAAAAATCGCACTAATTGTCAGACAAAATTTTATAAGCTCCAAATAAGACGTAGTCAACTTCCTGACATCACATTAAACAGAATTGCCTCAATATACCCTAAAATGTGTATGGTGACCAGTGAACATGATGTTTATATGCTTTATAGTACTATCTGATTAAGAAATTATTGACAATTAACACAAGCAGAAGGATAGGAAATATCTGAAAGCACCATGATATATGTTATGCTTTTCTTGGACAAGAGAAGATTATCTGAAAAGAGAAATAGATTTAGGAGCAAACTCATAATACAAGGGCCTTCACTAAAAAAACCATTTTTTTTTGTAGCTATTGGGGCAAAAACATGTGCTCGTGACACTAATCTTTAAAGCTAGGGGCCTCTACTTATTATGACAAATTTACTCACCATATGTCAATTTTGGGTTTATAGACCGCAGCTTTTTTACTACTTGCAACACAGTATTCAAGAATGAAACCGAACCGATATAACCTGCAAAGAATAAAAAGTACGATCAAGCTCACAAAGCAATCATTAGATGAAAAGTTTTCCCTATACTAGATGGTAACTTCAACTGCCCAGGGAACAGAATCCCAATAAGAGCCAAAAGAGTACCCAAAAATCGTTTTTGATTTGCCACAAGAACATGTCAAAAGAGGCTAATGCATTCCTCAGACTTCCATACAAGAGATAGTATTCCTTGTGAAACTATTGGTCAGGATAATGATTTCTCTCTAAGTTTTCTAATAGCTTTTCTCGCATAATTTTCTACTAATTTCTTATTTGCCGTGAGATTCTGCTTGGAAAGTCATACTAAAAATAAAAAAAAATTGACAGAAAAAGATGCAAGAGCAATCAGTTACACTATCTCGAAGTCTTCCTCAATGAAACTTCTTTCCAAAAAAGAAATAATGGGAGAGGTGTTCTGATAACTTTTTTCACACAATTTTACTACATAGATTGACTGGATAAAGTATGTGAAGATGCTGGCAAAGAAAGCATATTATTGGCATTTTCACCAAGTGAGATACTCCGGTAAATCACTCAACCGTGAGCCAATATGACCGACCCTACTCCTACCAAGACATTTGTAATTCAGAAGCTCCGACATTGACCGTACTATCAAGAAATTTAGCTACTAAAGTTAGTAGCTCTCTCTCTCTCACAGGGAGCTTCAAATTAAGCGCTTCCACAGGGCAAACATCCCCTGTAAATAGTCTTATTTCAAGCGCCACCATCTTCCAAGAGACAAAAACCACAGCATTTCCCTCCCCCCCTCCCTCCCCCCCTCTCCACATATGCATGCATGTGTGTGCATTCAAGTCTAAAAGCAAAAGGAACGAAAATAATCTATCTATTCAAGAGATGTAGCAACTAGCAATTATATGATCCCAAATACCCATTAATGTGAAAAAGAGCAACCAGCCAGAAGACAAACCTGCAGAACCCCAAAAGTTAATATAAAAAATGAAGTCATATACCTGTCAGTAAGTGTGTATAATAGAGTAGATCATTCGCTTGAAGGCCTTCAATTAGTTCCCACAATTGTTGTCCATTCAAGACTTGACCCTTAAAAGTCGGGTAACCTGAAATAAAATTAAGCTAATTATGCCGTGCTCCAAACTCCACTAAAAGCCTGAAGTCACCCAAGCTTAAAAGCAACACCAAATCAATCCCAGAGTATAGGGCCTTGCAGTAGCTAACCTGTGTGGTTCGAGAACTGTACTGAATTGATGGGATCAACATCGTAACCCAACAGTTGCAGAGGAAAGACGGCTGATTTGTTGCCAACATACCCCTAAGGAAATAGACAATGTGACTCATGTTAGATTACAAACTGAAAACTAGCCAAACAGACAAAAACTACTATTTCTACAAAATATAAGCAATCCCCATGGTACACAAGTAGCCTGTTACAAATGAGAAATCATATCATAGAAAATGTGTAAGTTGATTCCGTGCATATTATCTTGGGTTTCCTATTTTATAGCACACAAACATAGCACAAATACATGTGTGCGGTCTCAATGACACAAGTTTTTTCTCTTCAATCCTTTCTCTTATTGTCACATGATATCCAAGCCAGATTTCACCCTAAATTTATTATGTGTATGAGGTTGCCCATTTGTCAATTCCACGTGCCATTGTTAGTTCAATCGGCACGTGAGAGGGAGTGTTAAAGTATCTCCGCAACGCTTGTCTATGAAATTCGTCTCTTTACCACCTAGTAAGACTACAGTAGGGTGTCGTAAGATGTACATTGTGAAAATGACACCTAATGGCTGTGTTAATCAACTAAAGGCCAGGCTAATGGCAAAAGGATGAATTATGGTGACACTTTTTCTCTGGTTGCAAAAATAACGTTTGGTCATTTCTGACTCTTGTAACCATTTATCACCGCCTTTGCATCAGCAGAACTTTAAAAATGTTTTCCTGCATACATGACAGCCCACTACCTCTTACAACAGTCCAAGGCGTGACTTGAGCATTAGCATTTTAATTGTAAAGGGAGGTATTGGTATGAAGTGGGGACCAGGAGAAAGAAGTAAAAGTAGAAGATAACTGATTTATTCGCACATTAGACTCCTCTGACGGCTTATAATGATCTCTTATACAGAAAAAAGAACAAGACCATCCTCCAAGCAGCATTATCAGACTGTGCGGGTTCATGATGCTCTAATTGCACCACCATCCACAAAATTCTGTTTTTCTTCACCAGTTTGAAACCGTAGCTCTAATGGTCTTAGGAAGACATGTGCAAGTTGCCCTGCAAGTTGTTGTGAAAGTTCCCCATAAAAACTAATTTACCCCCATGCATTATCACATACCGGATTGTCAATGATAGAATCACGAAATTATTCTATTGCGTCTTTTCCCTCATCCTCTGTCAAATTGATAGAGGAGGCCAAAGAGGAGGAGCCTTCATTTGCAAAGTTTTCATATTTTGTGACACAACACTTCACAATAAGAGCACAATGAGATACACAATATGGTGCACCTTTCTTTTTCCTTTGCTCTTTTGGGGTGTATGGGGAGCCAAGAAAATCAGTGTCCACTCACTTAGTCCATTGTCGATACAAACATGAATGCAACTACAAACAGCCACATTGTGTATGAAACATCTTACAGAGATGGCCTTCAAGAATTTATCATCAGCATCGAAGGCAGCTATCTCTTGAGGATTATCAATCCCATTGTAAACTTGATCATATAAAGAATAATGGTGCAAGGCTTGGAAAAATATTATGCCCAACAGAATTCATGGATTATGTATCGTATTCCTTTCAGCTCTTTCGAAGCAAAAGTTAATGCCAGTTTACTAAGCATTTATCAAGAGGAGAAGGTTATCGCATAAGCCAGATAGATAAGCTGGCAGGCAGATGAATCGCTGTGACCACAAGCTTTACAGACCGCAAAATTGTTGGGAGTGTGTCATAGAAGCCAATACCTTCACATTGGGAGATTTCCAAGAGCACCAACATATTTAGTTGGGCCACCTTCACTCAAAAACTTAAGCCAATAAGTTATGGGCAACTAGATATATTAATTTTTCCACACCATACCAATTCTTTGATGTGAGACTTTTTAACACAACACAAACATGCATCTCAATAATTTACCCCTCACATGTGAGCTCAATATTAGGTTTGCTCTCCCTTATTTCAGGGATCCTTCTGCATCGACGGGTCTCAACTTGAATCTCCACTTTGTTGCCTTGTGAGGACCGCAAACAACACCCACCATCATCCAATCCATGGAGGTTGTCATTAAGACCGCAATGCTACACCACAACGCCCACCTTCACCCTAGGTCTCTTTCCCCCAAATGAACCATAAAGGTTGCCCATAAACCATGTTAGTCACAAGATTCTTTCCTTTAGGCATTCATTAAACATCAATAGCATCAAGATTGGACCACCAATCAATCATCGGCTCTGATACCAATTGTTTAGAGCATGCAGCAGAAGCCCGATACCTTCACCCGAGGTAATTGCCAAAAGAGAGCTCAAATCCGAGCCCGTCAACATATCCGGTTAAACTCGCTTTACTCAAAAGTTTAAGCCTGAGTTATGGGCAATTAGGATAAATATACTACCCCACACCACACAAATTCTTTACTATGGGACTATTCTAACATAACTCGCTCACATGTGCATCTCAACAATAACAACTGTTGAGATGAATAGGTGATGGTTCCCTCTCATCAGAGTGAACAAGAGAGACAGAAATGCAGGATAAAGAGGAATACTTGCAACATAATTTCGCATAAAAGTGAGAGATCCTCAATTGTCTTGAGCAAAGAGGGAACACGTAAGCTTCCAATTTCAAAAGACCGTACGAAGAGCTGCGCTCGTCAAACTCAATCCGTACCAGCTACGACAGAGTCACCAACAAAGCTTGAAAACCAAGATAATTACGATGAAACGCTTATAGGACTTAGAAAAAAGCATTTTCTGTCTTGACCCCCATTCAAACCAGTTCATCCGTATAACGTTATTAACAGAAAGCCGAGGACAAACACCAGGGCCCCCAAAAACATCACCAATTTACTACAGGCCAATGACTGCAACTACATATTCCGTTCTCACAGACACGAGCACGAGCACAATAGTCGGCTCCATCCGGACATCTGGATCAATCTCATTTTCCCATCGGGAAGCACAACAGACAAAGAAATCTCGCCCACACTCCCCAAGTCAAGCGCTTCCCCAGTCACTCTCGTTTCTAAACGGCAACACGAAATACGGAACAAGCGACAAGAAGCACCAACCTGAACGGTGTGCGATTGGATGCTGAGGACTCGGCCGGTCTCCGACGGCAATGCCAGCGAGAGGATCGGCGGCACCGTTCCCGACATCCCTCGGACCTTCCCCGCGGTGCTCGGCGTCAAGCCGGAACCGGTCGATATGCGGCCGACGAAGGAGCTCCGATTCCCGCACAAAGTCAGAAGCGCATGCGGAAATTTTCCCGAGAAACTTCGTCCAACGGGAAAACTGCGAGCGGAAGAACTTCGACGTTGAAGAGCGTGGAGATTGCTTGTGGCGATTTATTATACCGAGAGAGACCAGTCTCGGGCGGGCGCCGTCTGGGAAATTACCGTCTTGCCCCGGGAGGTTCCACCGCGAGCGGCGAGGCGGGAGGGGCAATAAAGGGATTTCGCTGGTAATGAAATCTGATCGGTTAGGTTTGTTCGTGAATTCTTTTATTACCAATATTCAAAGTTGAAAATTATTTAGGATTTCTTTTTTGACTTTAATTATGAGAAATAATATAAAAAAATTTATGACGAATCTTGGGGAGACGATTTTTTTCTACGACCAATGCCAGATCGATCCTTTCATCCTCCACGTTAGGTCATTGCTGACGTCACCGATTTTTTTTATTTTAAATCTTCCTTTTTTCCACGACAAATAATATAATTGTCCATTTAAAAAGTCAATAGATGACGATGACAAGTTGCAAAATTATTGATATATGTTGGGAAAATCGAAGACTGCTTGACCGGTTATTTGTCGATAAATTACCAACTTTACATCTGTGATTTATCGTTGTCTGATTAATAAGATGCTAGCATGCATATGAATGCTACAAATGATTATAGGAAAAAAAAATATATGGTTGAAGGACCATTTTATAGCCACTTGTTCGCGGAAGGACTAAGTCAAATGAGAAATATATAATTTAAGGTCTCAATTACTAATAAAAGAAAAAAATAAGGGATTTGATTGAATATTTTGTAATCGTTTGGAGACCTCGGATATCTTTATCCTACGAAACTATATATAACTTAAAAGTTATCAACTCGTCACATCTATTTGATCAACGAACAACAACTTATAGTTGAATTTTACTAGTGATTATGAAAGTTTACTAGTATTTGATATAGAGATATGATAAATGTGATAAATATTAATTCATTACATTTGAATTTATAAATATTTCTTTAGTTATCAATTTAAATATGCACGTGATTAATCACTATAATGGCTCAAAGCATTTGCTCAAAACAAATAGTGTGTTTTGATACATTTTCGTACATCAACTTTGAAGTAAAAAGAACAAAAGAGGGCAAGGTTTATTGGATCCGGTGAATGTCGACCAGAGCTAGCAAGTGTCATGGCATGGGAACTGGAGAGGCAAGATGAGGTGACAACTAAAGATGAGGCAACGACTAGAGATGACTAGAGGCGAGGGGCAAAACCCCAAGCAACCAAAGGTGAGCATCAACCTCGAGTGATCAGAGACGAAGTGCCCCTAGGCGACGAGGCACCAAGGTTGCGCGACCCCAGATGAAGCTTAGCAACCTCGACCCAAGGTGAGATAGATCTTGCCCGATGACCCTCGGCTGGCAAGCTCGATATGGAGCAAGGAGAAATTGAGTGTATGAGAGAAATGATGGACAGTGTTCGGAGCGAGGGCAAGACGGGAATATGAAGATATTGACGAGGGTAAGATTACGAGGAAAAAACCTCATTAGACCCACAAATAGCATTTTCGAAATGTTGAAAGTCAGAGCTCTGTACTGAACGGTCACCAAATACCAAAAGGGCTTTTGGAGGCCCAAAGGATTTTGGAAATGCTCTCCCAAATACACCTTCATGCCAATTAGAGCTAATTGACTTGGGGCATGAAATAGCTTCTATTTAGTGCATGATGATAGATCAATGGGTTTTTGGTCCACCTTTTGGACAATACCCTTAAATTTTTCCAACTAGTGGAAGTGGGCGATGGAGTAGAATCAGCAATCTTCGATAGAATGATAGTCGCGGGGAATTGAATTGATCACGTAGACTATGTTCGATATTTTTCCTTTATAAGATGCATAACAAAGGTGATATAATCATAGTAAATATAAACAAAAGAGGAAAAAGAATCAAAGCATATCGATTTTTCTACTAATAAACAGCAAATTTTCATTAATATTTTCGACCATTGTTTTTATATTTATTTTGATTTTTTGGACCAACATTCAATTTTTTTTCTGATTTCATCCTCCCGATATTGCTGTCCCCTGTAGCTGCTCCCATCTCACCTCGTTCAGACAACTCGCGGAGCCCTCTCTATCTCTGTGTCTCCATGAAGCGCAAGAAATGGTCGGAGCTCGAAGAGCAGACCCTCCTCTCCAAGTACTCGGAGCTGTCGAGCTCCGGCGCCCTGGCCAAGCTCAAGACCCGGGAGAAGAAGTTCAAGCCCATCGCGGAGCACGTGAACGCCGCCCACCACCTCCGGGACCCGGCTCGGTTCCCGTTCCGGTGGTCGTGGCGGGACGTGTCGATCAAGGTCCAGAACATGCGCCACCAGTACCTGGGCGTGAAGCAGAAGATCAGGGCCCCCGGCGGCGGCTTCAATTGGGACGACGGCGAGGACCACTGGGCGAACTTCTTGAGGTACAAGGAAGTGTTCGGCGACGTCGAGCTCGAGATCAAGGGCAAGAAGCTGAACGGGGTCGATTTCTTGGGGGATGCCGGGTTCGGGAGCTCCGGCGATCTGGGTTTAGGGTTTGATTTGGAGGACGACGATGAAGAAGAAGAAGAAGAAGAAGAAGAAGAAGAAGAGGAAGAACAAGATATAGAAGAAGGAGAAGAAGCAGCAGCGGCAAGTTCTGATTTTGAAAATGCTGATGCTGATGATGATGTGAGCGGCAATGATATCGAGTGTGATAATGTCGATATTGGTCAATTCAATGATGCGGAGGAGGTTAGGAACGGGAGAGAAAATGGGGGATCGGGGGTTGTTAAGTCGAAGAGATTCCAAAGTGGGCTCGTGCTAGGACCGAACAAGAAATTGCGGGTTTTGGGTGCGCAAATGATTGACTTGAGGGACGCGATAGTGAGGAGAGAAGAGGGGAGAAGAGAGAGAGAGTTTTATAGGGAGAAGAGCTTGATTGACAAGGCAGAAGATCGGAGGGAGCTGGAGTTTGTGAAGGGGATGCAACAGAGCGAGAGGGAGGAGAGGTTGGAGAACCGGGAATTGGAGTTGGACAAACGGGAATTGATCTGGGCGAGGAGGGAAATTGGACGGAGGACGAGGTTAGAAAGGGAGCTCAATGAGGAGCGGCGGAGGAGGAGGAGGATGGAGGAGAAGAGGGAGGAGGAGGAGATGGAGTGGAGGGAGAGGATGATTGAGTTGCAGATGGAGCATGAGAAGGCGATAATGCAGATGCAAGCCGATGCTTGCCAGAACCAAATGCAGATCCTGGGGGTCATGGCCCGGATGGTTTGTCAGTTCTTTGGTTCGGCGAGCGATGCTTTGAGTGGCTTGCCCCCGCAAGTTTTGCAGAACTTGCAGCATCCCGCGGGTTTGGACGATAGTGCCAAGCCCGAGACGAATTCGCCTTCAGAATTCATATGAACTGTTTGTTCTGAGTTCCTGCGTGGCTCCTGTTTTCTGTCTTGTCAATTCGAATATTCCTTGACACATGACAGTGTAAAGAAAAAGTCTCAGCAGTGGCTTGTTTTGGAATGAGAGTCTCAATAGCAACTCTTTTGCACCGTTGAAGCCCTAGGAACTTACTGATTTTTGACTGGAGAATCGTGTGTCTAAGTCAGTAAGGGTCGACTGGTTAGAGACTTGGTATTTGCAATGCTTATTGCGAATTAGTTTGAGAGTTCTTTGGAGCTCTGGCAGTATTGGTTCTTGTAGAAATCCAAGATGAAGCTTGCGACATCTTACCATTGTTTAAACCTAATGATTCATGTACATAAACATAGGCTATACTCATATGGTAATATCTGCTTGGAGCTTGTTTGTTTAGAATTTGTTTAAGCAGTGCTTTCTTTCCTCGAGATTATTTTTGGTACCCTTATTTACTACTAGACGGTGTCTTCGATTACTTCATGCCCGAGTGATCGGATTGCCTTTCTATTTATATAAGGATCCTAGAAAGGAACAGAATATCGGCATGAGATTGCACAAGTCAAATTTGTTTGGTGAAGTAGATAATGGTGTCCGATTATGAGCAGTTGCAGGTATTTGTTCTGCAACCAACAAGGTTGGAATAAACGAGGGAGACTTCATGGAATATCATGAGCGTGTACTTACTACTTGGTGAAGGAAGAAGAAATAGATAATGAAGAAAATCTCAAGCTTCTGAGGGAGCTGATCACTTTCTGTCGTAACTACGAAAGAGTTACCTTTGTGGAGTGAATAATATGATCTCTTGCGGAGGCATATGTAGAGGAAGAAGATAGATCTTTCTGAATTTGTTTCGAAACAGAGACTGATCTGTAGGCTTCTGAGGGGTTGATCAATTCCTGTTATGAATACATGAGAGTTGCATTTGTGGAGTGCTGCATAGTGTAATCTCTTTCCGAGGCATATGTTAGAGGAAGAAGATTGATCTTTCCGAATTGGTATATGGCACCTCAAAAGCAGAATGTTAGATTAGAGAACTCGATCTACTCACGATGACCAAGAATAATGCAACCATTCTTGTTTTTTGAAGATTGAATATGGCTTGCTGGTTTACGGCATTATATTATCTCTTTAGATCTTTTCCACCCCCATTTTGCGGCTGCCTCTAGTTCCTCTTGTCTCTGTCTGCGTATGCTCTGGAACAGAGTCGAAATGTTGAATGCAGGAAGGTAATCAGATAGCACTCAAAGCTGAAACAGATGTAGATTTAAATGTCTGTACTATTGTCCGTCCACTTCTGATGACCTTGATATATGCATGTATTTGTGCATCGTTATGCCTTTCCAAGAAGCTCCTTGTCTACAACCGATGTGGGAGTGACATAGCACGCTCGTTCTGCTCGAGAGCTTTGAAAGCCGTGGTGGGACTTTAGAGATAGCTACTGATTCCATTGTATGTATTTGGAGGGAGTATGGTGTGAATGGTGATTTTGGGGGAAAAGTGTCAAAAAAAAGTCTTAAATTTATTGTATTAGTATCAATTTAGGCTCTGTTCGTTTCATGAAAAATAACTTCCGGAAAAATATTTTCCGGTCTTCGTTTCACAGAAAATGAACTAACCATGAAAAGCATTTTCCCTCAATGGACAAAATACCTTTAAAAGTGTGGAAAATGTTTTCCTCTTGAAACCTCCTCCTTCTTTCACCATTCCTTTTAATTATTTTAATTTTCTTTTTATAAAAATTCTAATTTTTAATTACTCTTTCTTTTTCTTTTTTATCTTATCTTTTTTATTTTTATTATTTCTTTTTCTTTTTCTCTTTTTTTTTTTGACCTTCTTCTTCGGCCGGTCGCTAGCCATGCCGAAGGTTGGCCACCGGCCACAGGCACCGCTCGAGCGTCGCTGGTGAGGCTCGAACTCGCCAGATCGGCGTCGCTCGAGCGTCTCCTAAAGGCGGCTAGGCTCGAGCCCACCAGATCGGCATCGCTCGAGGGTCGCCTGAGGGTGGCGAGGCTTGTGCCTTGCTAGATTGGCGACGCTCGAGCGTTGCCAAAGGCAAGCGAGCTCGCTGTAGCCTTGCAAGTCTGGTGAGCTCAAGGCGGTGGCAAGCTCGCTCGCCGACCTCTAGCGATGATCGAGCCTCGCTGCCCTCAGACGACGCTCGAGCTTCCCTGTGGCTGGTCATCGGCCTTCGCAGTAGTCGGCAACCGGCCGGAGAAGAAGATAAAAAGAAAGTAAAAAGAAAAAAAAAGTTAATTAAAAATCGATTTTAAAAAAATAAAAAATTTATTAAAAGTAGTGCAAGGAGGATTTGATTTTCCAAACCGAACAACGGAAAATATTTTCCGAGACTTTTCATATTTTAGCCGAACACCAGAAAATTGTTCCATTTTTCAGGAAAATGGTTTCCTGGAAAACAATTTAGAGAATCGTAACATTTTCCGCAAAATAAATGAAGCCTTAGTTATAAACATTTTTTTTTGGGTCAATTTAGTCATTTGGACTAATTTTGATCGGATATTGTTAACGTGGATACCGGCCGACACTGACATAGACAATTTTAATAATATTTTAATATTTTTTGAATTATTTCTTTACTTATTTTTTTCCTTCCTTCAGCTCGTTGCCGAGTCCGGCAACTAATCAAAGGCTAGGGCCAGCGAGGTTGACTTCGTCGGCCACTGGCGAGTCTCACCCTCACCCTGGCTGGCAAAGCACGACTTTGCCGGATATGGCGAGGTAGGGCCTCACCCATGGTCGGCGAGGCTCAAGCCTCGCCTGATCCAGTGAGGGCGAGCCTCACCAGTCCAGTGCGAGGCCGCCCTTGCTGCCATCTAACGAGGTCCTTTGGCGAGGGCTCAAGCCTCGCCATTAGCTAGGCGAGGCTCACCCTCGCCGAATCTGGTGAGGGTTGAGCCTCGCCAGCCTTGGGTGAAGCCCGACCTCGCTAGATTCGGCGAGGTCGTGCCTTGCCCAGCTGCTAGCAAAGGTCGAGCCTTGTCGACCATGAGTGAGGCTCGACCTCGCCTGATTCAGCAAGGTCATGCCTTACTCAGCCTCTAGCGAGGGCTTGAGCCTCACTAATGACTAGGCGAGGTTCGCGTTCATCGTCACTGGCAAGGGCGAGCCTTGCGGGCCTTGGCTTTTGGCTAGTCGCCGGTTCGGCGACTGACTGGAGGAAGATGAAAGGGAAGGAAAAAGAAAAAGAAAAAGAAATAAATAATTCAAAAATATTAAAATATTATTATAAGTTATCCATGTCAGCGTCGGCTATGCCACGTAAGTTGGTTGGAGTCCACGTCAGCAATATTAGGTCAAAATTAGTCGAAATAATCGAATTGGCACAAAAACAAAAAGGTTTAAAACTGAATTGGCTCCAAAAATAGGTTGAGAACTAAATTAACACAAATGTAATAGGTTTATGACTTTTCTGACACTTTTCCGTTGGTTTTGGTTTGTCTTTGATAATCCCGTTGATTGTTTGTTTTTAAAATAAACAAAAAGGTGTATTATCCCACAATGAAAATATATGAGTGTGTGGATCAATATATATAAGTGGAAGGCTTCTAGCTTTATAATTGAAGATCATGGGCTAAGTGGACTAGACCTACAGTACTCGCGTGTGGGTGCACACATAATTGTGAGATTTTGGTGCACTTAGAACACTTGCGCGCTCGTGGACTAGAATTGACTCTAATCAATGGTTATTTTTTTAATATTTGAATTTGTAGTGACACAAACAGTCCCTAAATTTGGCCAAATGTACAATGTAATCCGTGAACTTTTAATTTATTTAATATAGTTCTTAAACTTTAGCCTAATATTCAACGTAATCCATGGACTTTTAATTTGTTTAATGTAATGCCTGGACTTTTAGTACATGTTTAATGTAGTCCCTGAATTATGAGAAAATATTCAATGTAGTCCCTAAACTTATTTTAATGGAAGGACTACATTGAACATTTTGATATAGCTTAGCGACTAAATTGAACACGTACCAAAAGTTCAAGGATGACATTAAATATATTATAAGTTCATAGACCACATTGCACATTGAGCTAAAATTCAAGGACTGTTTGTGTCATTTTCCTTTTTTTTAAAAACATGAATAGTTGAATCTTTTTGAAATAGTACGTCTATTCACAATTTTCAAACAATAGTTGTGCAAACATAATTTTTCATTGTTATAAATTCAACGTTTCCGGTTCAATAATTTTCAATTTTCAATTTCCCTTTCTTTATTAAAATAGCATTTATTCTCCAATTGTTTCCTTACGAGAGTTCTTGGAGTCAGAATTGCTATATGGTATTCTCATTTTGAGACTTCATGAAATTTTAAGATTTTTGTCAGTAACCATTAGAAACCTTGTGGGGTCAAATAATTTCTTAGAAAACAGTGTAGTCACGTCTCAAAATCCGATTCTATGCTTCCCAATTAATTTTTCAAACAAATCCAACACAGCCAAAATCGTATCAGCTTCGTCCTCTTTGTAGGTTAAGCTCGAGATAATTGCCCCTCACGCAATTACCTTATTCATTAGGCTGTTCTTATGTCGCGTTCTCATCATCTCTTGTCATTGCCATGACAATAAACAAGAACAGAAGGGATTCTTATGCTATAAAATTATTAAGATGCAGCATTATAATAATTGAAGAAAATCTGCGACATGTATAATCTAATCATCCTACATTCACAGCACCATATAGCTAGAGGCATACGCCGTTATGTATTCAACTTTGCACAGCCACCTTGTGCATTTTGGCTCGTATTGATGCTCGTGAATCGCGATCTTTCTCTTTCTCTGGGAAAATGATTATACGATAAGATAATCGACAAATTGGTCGAATTCGACAGCCCGGGTTGTGTGGTGCGTAATTCACGGTCGCGAGCAGATGCACACAATTATATTCTAGTCCGAATTGCAAATTTTATACTCTTGTTCACAGTCACTGCGTCCCCTCCTTCCGCAAAACTCATCTTTTTCCCCAGAAAAAAAGAAATGCGAAAAGCTGTCCACTCCATTGAGTACAAAAGGCAGGAATTATGGAAGCATCTGCCTGGCATGGCCCTTCGTCCAAAGCATTAAAAAACTTGTCTTCGTTTATTGTTCATTGCAATCTCATCAACTGACGTTTACGTCCCTCCTGTCACGATCTGTTCAGCATTGGAGAGAGAGAGAGAGAGAGAGAGAGAGAGAGAGAGAGAGAGAGAGATGGGGAACAGCGTAGGATTAGGAAGGAGTAGGAGAGCAAAGGTGATGAAGATCGACGGCGAGACCGTGAAGCTGCGGACCCCGGTCCGGGCTTGCCAAGTGGTGGATGACCACCCGGGCTACGTGCTGCTCGACTCTGAGTCGGTCAAGCGCTTCGGCGTCCGAGCACGGCCGTTGGAGCCGGACCACGAGCTCAAGCCCAAGAAAATCTACTTCCTCGTCGAGCTGCCCACGTTCCCCGACGAGCACGAGAAAGCTCCTAGGCGGGTTGGATCAGGTAACGTACAAGATATCCCCGTGTACCTAAACTCGATAGGATGATGAAAGTCTAATTTCCCGGTGCGCGTAGTGTTTAAATTGACGGAATGAACGCACGAATCATATCTTATGCCATCAGAGTATAGAATGACGGACAAAATATTTGCCTGGATGCATCTGACTATAGGTATACAGATGGGCGCTAAGGATCGGCTGGAGTGCCTGATGCTGTCGCGGAGAGCCACGTCAGACATCGTTAGGCCGATGCAGGCAAGTTTCCGGCAAGACAGTGCGGAGCCGGTGCAGTTGAAGATGCGGATTCCGAGGGCGCAGCTGAAAAAATTGATGGAGGAAAGTATGGACGAGGCAGAGGTTGCTCGGCGAATTGTCGATCTTTACATGGGAAAAGTTCAAATTTTCGGAGAGACTAAGCATTTGGGGAGTGATCAGAAATTGTTGATTCACCAGCATCAGGAGGGTCACCGGAAGCCGGCACTTGGTGGCATTAGGGACGGCTTCAAGGCCCGGGAGGTTTGTTTCTTTTCTCCGTAGACACCATTAAATTCGAAAAATTATTACCTAAATTCTGTTCTACTAGGACATGTCGATCATGCGCTAAGAAACATTAACATACGGACATCGCATCAAAACGAAAAATTGGTATTAAGTATATCTTAGAACTGGATTACTTAACCCAATAGAACTGAGATCATGTGGATGTGCTAGATGTTGAACGTGAGGACATCGAATGGAGTGCATTTTCAGACAATAAAAGATGTAAAAAACGATGAGAACTTGTCTCGAAAGTCTTGGGAGGAATTGGCAGTGAGAAGACAGAGGAGCACAGCACAGCATGTGCTTCACTCAATGCATGCCCATGTGATCACCCCATGTTTGCACGCACTCTTGTCCCTCTTGAGATCTCCAGCACATGATGCACCCTATTTCTTCTCCTATGCACGTTCATGGAATGATCTGTATATATTAATCAAAGCCATTAACTTGACTAGCTTGAGATCTACATTAGCAATTTTTCGCGACAAGAAGCATTGCATAGCATGCATAGTTTCATCATCTGTCTCCGGGTCGGCATGATCCTGAAAAGGGGTGCTTGCTGCCTGTGGAGAGATACTAGGGGCCAAAATTGCAGGTTCATCAATGGAATTCCCCAAAAGAGTAGTCTTTTCAATTAAAAAGTCAAGAGTTGGTACAGATTTTCTGATTAATTTACGATGGTCAGAGGTCTAGTTTGTTTCAGATCACCGGATTTAGTTGGAGCAACAACTCCTAAGACATATTCTATTATGTAAAACAAAGAAAACAAATCAAAAATTGTGTTGAGTAGTCAGATTTAGTGAAATTGACTTGGAAGCAAGTCAAGACTCGCCAAACCTGCCACATTCTACCTGAATCTCGATTGTTAGCACTTGCCCATCAATTCTATATCGATGGAACTAATTTGTGGCCGTGTTTGGTGGGGGCCAGTTTCTCTTTCTTCTCTGTAATTTGTGGGGCCAAAGTGGCAGGCTCGGCATTACATCAGACAGGATAAGTGCAAGCGCACACAAGCATATATATAACATTAGGATAAGCATTGTGAGTTGTGGGTGTGAAATCATTCAAGCCTTTTTGAAGACATAGTTGCCATCATGGATAAGAATAGGAATAAGAAAACAAGGACGATGGCATGGGTAGCGCCTAACTTCGTTTGCCTTAAAGTGGGTGTAACTTGTTAGGGACCCCTAGTTCATTAAGTGCCTTTGATGTTGGTTTGGTGCATTGGTAGGAGTGAAGTCTCTATCCAGCAAAATGCCGAATGCCTATGAAAGACTAACATCCTCCCGCCCCTCTTCACCACCACCGTTGACCCCTCTCCTCATTGCGAGATGCCGGATTTGGCTGACGGAGTCGTGAGCTCCGAGCTTAGCGACCATGGTTGCAAGCTCAAGAGCTTCGAGCTCCATCGGTCATGGCATCAAGCTCAGACCTGGCATGGCCATGGCTCACGAGACACTATGGCGATGCTTGTTCGAGATAGAGGAGGTTGTGGGAGTAGGTGTGGGCAGGCGAAGGGCAAGTGAAACTTTGAAAAGTGATATAGAAGAACTATAAGTAGGTGAGGAAAAATTATTAAAATAGTCCTAAACTCAGCCATGGCGAGGCTCGAACTTGTCGGCAACGGGCGAGATTGGCCTCAACCGCCCCTGGCTGGCAAGTTCGAGCCTCACCAGGGGTGGGCAAGGCTTGCCCTCGTCGGCGGCCGGCAGGACCGACCTCGCCAGCCCCCGCCTCTGGCCAATCACTGGAATTGGCAACCAGCTAGAGGTTGAAGATGAAGGGAGGAAAAAAAAAAGGGAAAGAAAAGAAAAGAAATAATAATAATAATAAATTTCGTAAAAAATAAAAAAAATTATTTTAGAAAATTGCCACATCATTTTTGGCCAGGCGGCTGGCGTCTACGTCAGCGTCGGCCGGACAAAATTGGCCGGATGGACTGAATTGACACAAAAAAAAGTTGAGGACTGAATTGGCACAATTGCAATTGGTTTATAACTGTTTTGGTAGTTTTGCCAAGTAGGTGATATTATGTTGACACGAGGCATGTAACTTGAATTTCTACAAAATAATTATGTTTTTTTTTTTGTCGTGAAATGGAGATTCGAACATTCTATGATTGACTGCTTAAACTTTTGAGTTCACCGTCGATCCATGCATATCTATTTGCTCGTGAATGTTTTTTTTTAACTTAAGCAAATCCGTCCACTGTTATGCTCTGCAATGTCGACTAATGTCTTCGTTTCCTGTCACGACATGAATCTGCAGAAGCGAGTGAGCTTCGATCCGACGGACGCGGGAGAAGTTCATATAGGCTTACACTCGCGACGATAGTCCCGAAGCTCGGTTTGATGTTAAATAGACCGGCTAATTGCTTCGAGATTGCTACTTGGGGGCACAAAATTCAGCGATGTTTCTCTTTGGCAAGGAGTGGTTTTGGTTCATGACTACGTTTAGCTTCTAATGTATGTAATTCTCTGAGCTGATAGCATGTTGTTCATATGTAAGATGCTGATATGTTATTAGTGTTCCTAACTGCCTTTTCTTCATAAGACAAATTGGCCCATCTGTAACATCTCAAACCTGGAAGTGTATTCTCTGGTTTGCTTCTGGTCGGTAATCTTATATATAATATTGGTAAAATCAAAATATTGATAAATCACGTAAGTGACGATTAGTTAACGGAAAAGTTGTCAATTACAAACAAGTAAATACATTTGTAAGTATATTAAATGAGAGCAGGTAACCCAAATTTAGTTGGTATCTTAATTAGATCAGAATCGGTAAATAACCCAAATTGAAGTTAGTAATTCGTAACGAGAGTTTATAAATTTGAAAAGTTGGTAAGGTACGCAAGTCGCAATTGGTAATTTTTTGGAAAAGTTGATAATTTCAAAACAAACAAATAATCTCTGGTGAGTTCTTATAAAAGAAGATAACTTAATCAGTTGGTAGCCTAAAAATTAAGTTGATGACTTAATCGGAGACAGTTTGGTGAATAACTTACATAGAGGTTTGTAATTTCGTATAAGAGTTGATAAAATTTAAAACGACTGTAAGTTTTTTTTTTTGGTCAAAAGAAATGTCCATTTATTATCAAAATGATGCGTGAAAGGATTCATAGGAAATCTCAATAGTCATAATAACAAGCCAAGCTCATACAATTCCAAAACAAACCAAAAACCAGAAATCAAGGTATTTCATCATAGCATGATTGGCGAAGATAATCACACGCTCGTCCTTCAAGAACAGCTATGTGATTGCATTCAAGCGAAAGGATCGGCGGCCAATCATCAAATCATATGGCATCATCAATGATAAGCACACATCAGGATTTCCATCTATAGTTACAGCTTTGCCTTTTGGCAGTGTGTGCCTAGGTTCGACGCTCCCAACATCATAACCGTACAGAGACAACAAAAACATGTTGAATAAGCTTAGATTTGACATTTGTGGGAGTGAGCCCTTTAGCTAGTGCAGGGTACGAAAGTTTTTAACGAAAGCACATTGGACGAGTACAGATTTGACACTAAAACTGCTGTAAATACCATTGAAATTAGAGGTGGAGTACATAGTACTTGTTTATTAAAACTCCAAAATCTAGAATTAGATCAAATAGGAAAGCTCATAAATATAAGATCGGGAGAGCAAAGCTCCTAGATCTAAAATTAGATCAAGAGAATAAGGAAAAAACAAAATGAAATTAAAGGAAGAATAACTAGAAGGGGAGAGAGAGATTTAGGTCAAATCCCTCTCCTTTGGAAGTAGAAGAGACAAAAAGAGAGGGGGAAGGAGAGAGGGGGTTGGGAGAGGAAAGGTCTAGATAGGGGTGTCAAAACCAAACACGAGCCCAACCTAAACAATAATTAAAACCCTCGACCACTTCAAATGCACTTCGTCCACCTCGACCGCCTCCTCCTTGCCCCTGACTCCCCCGTCCCCAGACCGCAACAATGGCCTCTCTCTCTATCTCTATCTCTATCTCTGAATTCATTGTTTCCGACCCATTGACACCCCTAGGTCTAGATCCCCTTAAAACGTTGGTAGGTTAACCAAATAAAAATTGGAAAGATTGGTAATTTCCGAACAAACAAATTAATATTGGTTATTCAAAAAATTAAGAGTTGATAACTTAAAATTAGTTGATTTTGATTGGAGAAAAGTTTGTTAGTAATAACTCAAATTAAGATTGATAATTTCTTATGAGAGTTTATGGACTTAAAACATAAATATTGATAATTTATTGGACAAATTGATAATTTTCAAACAAAAAGATTAATGCCGTAATTTCTCATAAGATTTGATAACTTATGATCGGTCCCTTTTAAATCTGCCAATTGCATTCGAAATTTATCAGCATCTATGGAGATTTACCAACACGAAAAGATTTGAACACTAGAACCGTTCTTTTTCATAATTTAACTATGCACATTTATTTTTCAATGATAAGTTATCACATGAATAATCCTTGCGCAAAAACTTGTGTTATTTGGCTTGAATGGTTCTCGGCGAAAAATCCCGAGGAAACTGTTCTCGTCGCTTCATTTATAAGAGACATACACAACCTGTTCATTTCAAACAAACATGTCCGGAATAATTGTTTAAAAAGTCCTAAACTTATTATACGGCAGCCAATTTAGTCCTAAACCTTTTAATTTTGTTAATTTAGTCATAAATTATTTTACGATTTGCTAATTTAGTTCTAAAGCTTTCAATTGTCAATTATTGATAAATCGTCAAAAGGTTTAGGACTAAATTGATAAATATTCAAAATATTTAGGATTAAATTGGTATAATTGAAATATTTGAGACTGAATTAGCCTCCAGCTCAAACGTGTGATACAAGCTTGAAAAATATTATTCTGAAACTTTCCGAAAGAAAACGAGAAAGGACTATGCAGTTACGATGTTTCCTTCCGAGTCATACTCGATTTTCCCGGAGAAATCCAGGGGCCGGCACCGCTCTCCTGGTATGATCGTCTTCCTCCAGAGAGCCTCATCGCTGTCCTCGCCGTCATCTTCTTCTCCTCCCTCCGTCTTCCTCCACGATACCATCTTCGTCATCAGGAGCGCCTTGCTGCTGATGCTGCTGTTGAGCCTCGAGACGAGCCTCTTCTGGCTCGACCCGGGGACGGACACGCTGCGCTTTGTTGACTTCTTGGATTTGCCATGAGAACCGCAAAGAAACATCAAGATAGAGAGGACGGAGAGGGTGGAGATTAAGAGGAAGATGAAGGTTAGAGAGGCTGCAGAGAATGGAACGAGGGTTTTGATCGAGACCAAAGGTCTTGGCACCGGTCTTGCCATTGTGTGAGAGAATTAGTGAAAGAACGAGGTTGTTGGTGTCGGAGGCAGTAGACAAGACACGCAAGAAGAGGAGACATATGAAGGAGGTTGATGATGTCGCACGCCCTCCAGATTTTCTATGAGATGATTATCAGGTCACTTCAACACTGTCAACAAACATCAACATATAGCGCACAGGAAAATCTGCTGAAGAAACAAAGTTACTGCATCAGTCTTTGACGAAAGCCTATTTTGGCTTGCGATATATAGTCGCTTAAAGAATTCATCTTTTATAACAGGTATGGCTCTCGGCAATTGGCTCTTTGAAAAGCGGGGCTAAGCACGCCGTGTTTCACTCGGTTAGATTGACTCTGACTCCTTGACTGAGTTGACTTGAGCCGTCCACGACGGTTCAAGCATGCCAACTTTACATTCACCGCAACCGGCGGCGCAACGCAAAAGGCTATTGGTCATTCTTGGCCCAACTAGACAAGAGACAGACAAAACAAGACATTAGGATCATCTTTCGTTTCAGATTCACTGTTAAATCTCACCAGGAGTATGATCTGAATCTGATCATGAAGGTTGATCGAAAGTGTTCGATAGTTTATGTCTTGTTTTACGGGGGTTCGCAGTGCTTGATTTGACTTGGAAGGAAGAAAGGATCTTGAGAGGCTTCTAAGCAAAGGCCAGAATCCAACTGAAGCCTATATAAATACATACTTTCCAAGTTCTTTATACGTTGCGGTAGGCAGTGAGTATTATCTCCATGTCTCATGATCAATTCAATCTGTGGAGGTATCTTGGTAGTGCATTTTGGTATAAGCTTAGAAAGCTTTAGCAAGTCTGAAGCCAGTAGATGACAAGCCGTCTGATGCATCAGTACAACGTTCACGTCCAAGCGTGAAGGAAATCACTTGAAGGGCAAGCTTGTGACGTGCGATTAGGGGGCCACTTCCTGCTTCAGGGTGCTGAATCTGTGGACACTTGGACTAATTTGAAAGAGAAAAAGAAGAGACCATTACCATTGTCCGACGCGTGATGCCCTTTCCAATCGTCCGCCAGGATTTCTTCCAATCACCACTGTTACTTTTCTAGCCAGTTTAGGGGGACAACCACAAGTCATTCCAACATCGTATGATTCACGAAAAATGAGCTTTGCTGGAAAATGACATTTACCTACGTTTTAGCTCTTTCTTTCCTACTAATAATAATAATTCAGAGTTTGATTATAAAATTAATAAATGCACATTCGAGAAAAAGTCTCGAGTACAATTTAGGTCCTCAGGTTTAGACCCGAACCAGCAGGGCTTGGGGCACCGAGGCTCGTCTTGGGGGACCAGGGCCTTATCATCGAGGTCTCAGGCACGGAGCCAAGTACCTAGGTGTGACCGTTGAGGACACGAGCACAGCCGCCGAGGGAACTTGGAGTCTCGGGCCCTAGTTTGATCATACTTTCAAAAAATGTCCGATGTGAATTGAAATATAATTTTTGCATTTATTATGAAAAAAAATCCCGTCGCCGCAATCCAAACGTTAGAAAAAATATTGGTCCAAATGTTTTCGCGAAACAAACGGAAGTAGGTGATCTCTCATCTGTTGTCGTCGTGGACCTAAAGTCCCGCGAGTTTCAATTTGAAGGCGTCCATGGTCATCGACGTGTCAGAGAGAGAGAGAGAGACTCCGGGACAATCGTGCTTGGAGGCCAATGAAAAGTCGAGTGATCGCGTTAAAAAAGGTAGAGAGAGGTTTAGCAATCGAAATGATTATGGACAGAATAAAAAATTTATAGAGCTTAACGCTCACTAATCTAGAGATTAGAACAACTTGATATGCTCTAGCATCCACCCAAAATTTTATAATGGGAGAGAAAAGTCATCTCTCGATCACTTGAGAAGACTCGGTCATGGAAGCCCCACTCGAGAAGGGTTGCCATTGACCAACGTGAATTTTCCATTGAAAGAAAGCCCCAATGGCGGCCACCTCGAGCTCGGGCGAGAGGGGACCAAGATCAATTCATACCCTTCTGTCAAACCACGTCACAAAACGAGCTCCGAGAAAATATTAGGTAGTCCCGCTCCTCCACGTCACTGCGGTCCGCGCCATTCGGCGGTCGACACGTGGCGCGGATGGGTCCCACGGAAGAAGCCTCTCCCCCTCTTTCTCTCGGGAAAATTATCCAAAAAGTCATAAACCTATTGCACCTTTGCCAGTTCAGTTCTAAATATTTCAATTTTGTCAATTGAGTCCTAAAAATTTTCACCTTTTACCAATTGAGTCAATCCGGTTGATTTTAGCTGGAAATTGCTGATGTGGCATCGCTAACACTGACACGAATAATTTTTTTAACAATAATTTATTAAATTTTCAATTTTTTTTTATTAATTTTTTCATAATTTATTTTTCCTTTTTTGTTTTCTTTTCTTTTCAATTCTTCGTTTTTGTTCTCATCATCTTCTTCCTCCTATTGCCGACCTTCATTGCTTGAAAGCAATAGGTTCATGACTTTTGGGACAATTCTCCCCTTTCTCTCTCCCCGCTGTTCATCTTTCTCAATACACAACTTTTTGTCATAGTAAAACACAAATAAGATATGGAAAAAAGGAAGGAAACTAAACTGGAAATAAGGGACATAATTCCAATAGCAATTTGTGTACACCTTTACTTTAAGCATCACACCCTTCCTCCCTGAGTAAGAGGTTAAATTGCTTCGTCTGACCTCATTATCTCTCGAACGTTCAACACATGGAGGGTATTCCCTCCTTCTACAGAGGAAAAAAGAAACAGGAGGAAATTAGGGAGGCTGGTTGCGCGGGCATCGGCACTTTAAAACTAGGAACGCAGTCCTGACAACCAGCCGGGTGTATTAGGAGGGCTGGGTGTGCGTGTACCGGCACGTTAAAATAAGAAACGTAGTTTTGTCAGCATGCTAGGTGTGTCCAGGCGGGGCGGCCTCAATCAGAGATTCAATGCTCTTGCTCTTTGGTGAGGATTCTCTTAAACCACGACACATGAATTCCGACATCCATGTCAACAACCTTACGATCCGCGGCACGTTGAAAAGTATAGAAACAGTTACTTTGGAGGGAAAAAGGCATCAGGGACTCGTATAACGAACTTCATTATCAAAGGCAAAACGTAACTAAATGTATCAGCCAGCGAGAAGCAAATCAAAGAAATGGTATTGAAGATAACTTTCTACTTTTCCAAATCCAGAAATAGCTTAACAACAATAAAAGCTGAAAACACGCGAATTCAGTGTCCTGCACATCGTCCCGCTCAGATGGGAATTGCCTTGATGACGGAGGGATAAACCACGGTCGCGGGGTGCGCCATGATCCGGCGGCCCTTGCCGTGGCGGAAGCAGTAGACGAGGGCCCCGACGGGCCACTCGACAACGGCCGCGGCCGCGAAGGCCAGGAAGCCCACGGTCGGCCCCACCACCTTGCACCGGCACGGGTTGCTCGCCGTCCCGCATTGCACGCATATCGGGATTCCGATGCCGAGGGCCATGTTACAGGGCGATTCGGAGTAATGAGCGGAGGTTTTACGAGCGAACGGGAATTCGTGAAAGATGATAGATTTGGAGAGGAAACGCAAAGGTTTGGTGTAGGACGATGAAGTCGGAGGAATGGCCCGATCGAACGTATCTATAGGGCCCCATCCTCCGGGACAGCTGCCACGTGGCGTTCGCAGGAGCGTTTGGGGCTTGGGGGCACGAGGTGAGGTGTCACGGACACGTAGGTGACACGTGTGTGGGATCGCTCTGATTTGCCCATTTCTAATTTGTTGGAATTAAATTATTGTTAGGATGATGTGGGCATGTGCACAAGTTCTGTGCGAAAGAAAAGAGAGGATCAGGAGAAATTGGAATAGGGCGGTGTTTGATAGAATGGACGATGGAAAGCCTTAGATGCTAGGAAATAGCTTAATTTGGATGAATGCTTTATAGATTTCATTAACAAAATTAAGAAATGAAACAACATATGCTATTTTGAATTAATGGTAGGGATAAGATAAATAATATACGCGTATCTATTGGATCGAGTAAAGTTTGAGCTTGATGACCCGCGAACAATAATCGATGCGGGAATAAAATCGACCGACATTCTAGACGATAGGCGGTAGCTTATATGAGGCTACGGATCCTTCTGACATGGTTGTATCGACCCGATTTAAGCCTCGTGCGGAAACGGAGGATGATTAAATTAATCTATTGTGATTTTGCAGCCTTAATTGTGTTGGCATTAGTTACCATGTGATCGTCACATCTCCATGTTATGAGGTATGTAAGCAATTTCCTCACAATAAGCATATACTGAAATTGGGCTTTTCCTACCTAACTCGGTCTTCCAGATTTTCACACACGGTCAACATTAATGGGGGTCATTTTCCTAAGGAGAACAATCAATCACGAACGAGAGAAATTATCCTAAGTTTCATTTCGGGAAAAACTTCATGATAACGAAAAATACTTTTCGAGAAAATATTTTTCAAGAAAATGATTACTTTTTCTTTATTTGATGTTATGTGACCGAAAACGTTATCTGGTATTTGGATCTCATTAGAAAAACGATTTCAATCCCGTGACTTTATTTTAGGCAAAAAAACAATCGAATTTTTATATAATTTATTTTATTTTCTTTTTTCTTTTCCTTCTTCCTCCTCCGCCAGGCAGGCCTTGGCGATGGCCGTGATTGGTCATTGGCGAGGGCTGGCCTCGGGCAAGGTTGAGCTCGCTAGGATATGGCAAGGCTCAAGCTCGCTGGATTCAGGCGAGCTTGAACCTTGCCAGCCTCGCCGCGGCAAGGTCAAGCTCTCCTGAGGCCGACCCCTACCTGTGGCTAGTCGCCAAGGCCCAGCGACCGCCGGAGGAGGAAGAAGAAAAAGAAAGAAAACGAAAAAAGAAAAAAAAAAGATAAATAAAATATTCAAGAGGAGCAATTTTGGAAAATGTTTTCACAATATTAAATTTATGAATTCACTTTTTTTAATTTTATACATGATCAGAAAATATTTACGATTGCATTTTCGATGAATCAACGGATAGAAATTCAGAAAATTAATTTCTCTCGTACGTTCGAAACTATAACTCCATCGTTTGTGTACGGCTTGAAGGACATCTGACAGAAAGGTTTCAGTGTCCGAAAGAAGAAGGAACTCTAAATATCACAGAGACAAGATCCAGAGAACAATGTCAGAGTACCAACATTAACATGGGATCAAAATAAACCATAAATGAATGAAGCACCCACCTATATGTACCTACCCTCCTCAGCCAACGCCATTATTTACCTTCTTCTTGTTTCTCTGAATCAGTCTCACATCTGTACTAACATCACAACCACCATGTTGCTACCACGACACCCCAAATGCCAAATCCAATCAAAAGCACCAACCCGCTGTTGTAACCCACGACATGATTCCGAGAAGCACCTGCGTAAAAGTAGTGCCAGTCGTCGTTGGTGTCGGATGAGTACAAGTTCCCCGGCAAGCCCGTCACGTAGATGAACCTCGGCGGCGGAGGCGGCAGCGGAGAACAATACGTGGTCTTCGGTGGCGGCGGTGGAGGGGGAGGAGGAGGAGGTGGCGGCAGGCTCAGCTGCTGGCCGCACGGGTCCGAGCAGGTGCACGTTGAGCACTTGATCCCACTCTTCGTCGCATGGAAAGTCGCCGTCTTCTTGTCCGGCTCCGTCTTCCCTGGGTCTGTGCTATCGCCATCCGAAAGGGCAATGGCGAGAAAGAGAACTAGGACGACGAGGAGCCGCCGGAGGCTCGAGTACGCCATGCCTTTTCCGCGTCCGCGACGGCAGTGCACGATCAAATGGGGAGGTTTCGAGAGAGAGAGGGAGAGGGTCTCTTGAATAACTTGGACTTTGCTTTTGGCTTTATGGTTACGTTGAAGAAGGGCGAAGTAGATTGTGGCACGAATGCAAGAGAGAGGGAGAGAAATAATGGAGCGATGTGTTAGGTGGTGGATCAGTTAATTCGGAGGAATGCACAGTTGGGCAACGAAAGTGACTTTTTAGAGAGATGGTTTGATGATGAGTCGCTTGTCTTAGATATAGAGAGAGAGAGAGAGAGAGAGAGAGAGAGAGAGAGAGAGAGAGAGAGAGAGAGAGATGTGCATGTGGTGGGTTTAAATGACTTGGGAGTTAGGACCCTTTCAAAGCCATCCCATACTTAGCTTTTCCTCTCTCTTTTTTTAACTCTAATCTTTAAGCAGGTCGTATGCAAAAAAAACATAAATTTTATAGTTTTTACGGGTTGCTATACGTAGAAGTTATCATTTAGATCTCGACATTGCAAGTGAAAATTTTTTCTTTCACTGTCAATTATGAACTAAAGTAAGAACGGTTTCGTTGCAATTTTGGTTCGGATCGAACTCCTTTATCAAGCCATTTCCATTTTTACACTACAAATCTAGATGCTACGCTTTAGTTAAGGTCCAAGGATGTCATTATTGGTTATGAGTTTGTCAAAGGAATTTGTCTGTACTACGTTTCATATGGTACCAAATGTAGACTCCTAGATCTTGTATACGTTGTTTTTTATCTCGAGTTTTCTCCACATGTTGAAGAAGAGAGACAAGACAGTATCGTTTATGCCTTCCAATACTCATCACTTGCACCATGCCTCATCCAAGAACTCGTTGCAAAATTTTTTGCTTAGGGTTGTTTATTTGGCCGTATAGCTTATAAAGAATCGGAATGGGGTTTATGCCAGCAAACTTCCTTTGCTTCGCTTGATCATGAAGCCTCCACATATAGCTCAACGATCCAAGCACCATGCACAGATAAAGGCGCAGGAAGAATAAGTTCTCAGGCCCATGTTCGCCAGAGCTAGAGGGAATCTGTTCAAAAGATGAACTTCAAAAGATGAACTCGAATATATATATACGCAGAAACTGCAAGAATCTTCAGATTTATCGAGACCGACCTTTTCTTGATGTTCTGGGTCGCTTTTGAAGAACAAAAAAGAGAGATGGATCGTGGGTTATAATGTACGAGCAATGCCCCATTGGGAATAATGCACTTTTTCAATGGACGAATCATGAGGACTGGAGGGTCTTAAGCTGATGCTCGCGTCCTAGCTTTCTTTGCGGGGGTATATATCTTTTTTCCAACATGACAACGATCTTCGATTGTCCCACTTTCCCAAAAGTGTAGAGCTTTGCATCTTATTCTTCCATTCGATCATTGGGCCTTCAGCTAATACACTCGAGTCGATTAAACCCAAAATATATATATATATATATATACACTCGAGTCGCGTCTCTGCAAGGAATAAGGGGATGCTAGAGGTGCGTGAAGATTGAGTTGCACTGTGTTTGCGACAAATCATACGTGATTAGTTAAGCAAGTGGACTATCTTCAACTATCTAATCAGAGTCCTCTGCTGTTTTGCAGATCGACCTTGGGAATCGCCCTTTAGTTGATTAATAAACTGAGGGATAAGTGATCAATTTGTCTCGAGGAGTTGCACTGTGTTTGTGACAAATCATACGTGATTAATTAAGCAAGTTGACTATCTTCAACTATTTAATCAGAGTCCTCTGCTGTTTTGCAGATCGACCTTGGGAATCGCCCTTTAGTTGATTAATAAACCGAGGGATAAGTGATCAATTTGTCTCGAGTTTGAGCCTATGTAACCAAACCGGCCCAAAACCTCGATTGTGAGAAGCCCGATTACGTTGGAGAACAACTGCTGAGGTTTAAGGACTTGTGTAATCATCACAACCAACTTCGATTCCAAGTCCACATCACTCACGAACTCTACCCGTCTGATTCAATATTTTGTAGATCTAACTCTGTGATTCAATATTTTGTAGATCTAACTCTGTGAATCGACCGTCGACTTGTTCTTTTTTGTGCCTTGTTGCAGCAAAGCTTATGGCGTGCGTGCAGACTTCGTGTGCGACGTCCAAGGTACGGTTCAACGTTAATTATTCAAAGGTTTCCACGTAGTATTTTAGATTTTCTTGAGCAAATTTTCTTGTCGAAAATATGTAAGAGAGTATGAGTAAACACCACTGGAAATCACTTACGTGTAACTTAAGACTGAGAAATATAAGTACGATTGAGCTACTAATTATAACTCTGTAACTCCTTATTGACAGTTGATTCTCCTAGCTATTCTCATGGGCAGGTGCCCGCACCGTGATCAATTCACGTGAATGTATGTTGCTCTTTATGTTCCCCGTTGAGTTCTCCGATAATTTCTTCTTCTTGTGTAACATTAAGTTGCAAGCTCCGTTAGTTTTCGTGTGGTTTCCTAACGATGATCAATTTGACTCGTTTACTTTCAGGTCATGAATGTTCGGAATCCATAATATATTCTCGGAAGAGTATTTGCTGATGGTCATCCGCACGTACATCTTTAACGGGAAAATTACCAAAAAAGTCCTCAACCTATTGCATTTGTGCCAATTTAGTCCTAAACCTGTCAATTTGGCCAACTCAATTTTAAACCTTTTGCAAACCAGCCAATTCAGTCCTTTTAGCCGGCCGGCTGACGTGGCGCCGGCCGGGGTCCACGTGGCAATATTTTAATATTTTTTTATTATTCTTTTCGAATTTTTTTTTTCTTTTCCTTCTTGAAAATAATAAAAAAAATATTAAAATATTGCCACGTGGACGCCGGCCGGCGCCACGTCAGCGCCACGCGCCAGGCCAAAAGGACTGAATTGGCTAGTTTGCAAAAGGTTTAGGACTGAATTGGCAAAATCGAAAGGTTTAGGACTGAATTGGCACAAATGCTATAGGTTGAAGACTTTTTTGGTAATTTTCCCCATCTTTAACGAATTAATCAAATCTCACGTATATGCTTGCGTGCTTGTGGTGTGTGATATATTTGTTAATGCAATGGATACATGAGCTTGCTTACTAAATGATGTAACGGCATTTTACCTAGAGGTGTCAGAACCGAACCAAAACCGGAACCAAGCCAAACCATAATTTTGTGCATTTTCGGTTCAGTTTAGATATTGAAAAAATAACTGTTTTTTTTATTCTAGTTTGGATAGTTTCGGTTCAATTAAGCGAACCAAACTAAAAATTGTCCCTCTTCTTAATATTACAATTTACACAATGTTTCACCTTTTTCACTAAACCTCTTACTAATATTACAAAAAAGAAAACCGAAATACCGAACCAAAGCAAATTGAACCAAACGGTGTCTTTGGTTTGGGTAGCAGTTCGGTTCAAAGGTAATGCACGCCCAAACGGTTAGGTAAAGTCGTGTTGACAATTAGTGGAGCATGATGGGTAATGTTGTTTTGACGCTCTTAAGCCCAATGGGTTATGTATACCAGTAGCCCTTACTTATCAATACGTAACCCATCATGAGCATTTCAGGTGGATCTAAGATAATTTAAACCAGGAATTTAAGAAAATCACGCGTGCATACTCAATAACTTTCCTAGGATCACATCACTACTAGTACTGAACCCAAGATTCATATAGAAAAGAGCTAGCTAAGTACAGAACATTTCACATGATCAAGAAGCCCAAAGAGGAAACATGTCCTATGCATTCCCACTGCCAGAAGATCCAACATTTCGCCGTGGCGGGATTTCGTGGCCAGGGCTTCCTGCGACGAAACCATCTCGTGGCCGAAGATCCTTGGCAATAGGTCTCAGTGATGAAATCGAATAATTTCATAGCTGAAAGTATAGTTTTCGCTGGGAAAATCTTTTGTAGTTTTAGCCACGAAGTTTTCCGTGGGTCTAGAGCATCGTGGCAAAGATAAGTATATCTGTTTTGGTGACAGTAGGAATCGTGGGTGAAAAGTCATGGCAAAAAACATTGTACTTTTAGCGGTAAAATATTTCGCGAGGGCAAGGGGGCAACGGTCGAGCCACGGTGAACATGTGGCCACGATAAAGCTTTGTGTGACCTAAGATCATTTCGTGGCTAAATATGAGATATACCGGCACGAAACGCTTGCCACGAACATAGTTTTTATGGCTAAAAAGGCAGATCATATCATTGACGTTCAGGAGTCACTTCTCTGTTATCATAAGTAGTTTTGAGATTATGACTTCCTAGAGACGTACCTTCCTGAGTTCTTGACACTTGCAAAGAAAATCCGAATGAGGTGGTGGCACAAAAAGCAACAAAGTGAGCTCTTTATTGAGCTTTAGCAATGAATTTCGAGTCATGACCCTTAGAAGATACGCATGCACGTAGCGAGTTTGCTTTCCGTGTTTCCAACCACACCCTCAATAATTTCCACTTTTGAAGCTTTCTCAACCAACGTTTTGATGCGTCGCTCCACACATTCCCCACTCCTCTCTCTCCCCTCCCTCTCCCTCTCCCACTCTCTCTGTCTCTCCTCTCTCAATCTGGAATGGCCAAGGTTAACAACAGTCATGGAAGCACTAGGAACGCCTTATTCATTATGGTGGTGCACTTGACTTTGCAATTTTCGTTGCTGGCGCAGCCTGCGCTGGCTGAACAGACTCCGTTATACTCGAATGAGTGTTCTTATCCTTGTCTTCCGCCGCCAAGTGCAGTCACGAACTGTCCACCGCCACCTTTTCCGCCATCACAACCGTCAACGCCATTGCCACCGGCTGCTGATCAACCACCGCCGGCCTTCCTCTTTCCGCCGCCGAATGCTGGGTACATGCCCTATGCTTTCCCTCCACCTAATTATTACATGAACTCCATCCCTCCTCCCCCTCCCGATCCGATATTGCCGTACTTCCCATGGTACTACAAGCATCCTCGTTTCCAGTCGCAATCGCCGGAAGTGATTCATTCACAATCAAGGGTCGCCATTGTGGTGGCGCTATGCTTTCTCTACATCGTTCTTCTAATGGTTGAGTGATAGAGCAGCGCGTTATGTTTCCTTTTCCCCGTCTTTTGTATTACAGTGAAGGGACAAAGATATTTTGCCACCAGCTGAAGATCAATAGGTCAACCAATTTTGGCATTTGAAGCATGAATTGAGAGATTCGTGTTCTTTGTATTCCTTTTTGGAGTATACAGATGTTTAGAAACTTTTTGACTGGGTAATCGTTCAGGCGCTGCAATGTCACTCATCTTGCACATTCTTACCAGACCATATGATCTCTGTATATATAATATATCCACAGATTTCGATCATTAAATCAAGACTAGGTCCGTGATCCTTGACATGCTTGGAACGCATCAATGAGTGCTTGATCGATAGGCTAAAAACATGAAATACAAGCGTGCCTCGGTCCAGTACAGCATAAGGAGGTACAGTATAAAAAAGCAAGACCTTTTCCATTCTGGATCACTGAAGTTTCAAGCAACATATAGAAGTCCAATACAAACGATTTGGCTCGGAATTGCCTCTATTCCCGCCTTATAGATGTTCAAGCAACATTAGGGTATGTTTGTTTTGACAAAAACTTCACCGTAAAAATTATATATATTACGAAAAATCATTTTCCAAAAAAATGTTTCCCCCTTTTCAAGTTAGAAAAATGTTCAACAATGCATATTTTCTAGCTGTTAATGATTTACCGTTGACAGATCATATTCAGCAAACCAAATGTGTAAAAGTTTAAAAGACTAATTCACGAAAAAGTCTTACACTCAAACAAACACACCCTAAAATACCTAACCAAATTCAATTTGAGTAGTACCTTTCATGCATTTTGGAACTGTCTGCTGCTATCTAACCTATTTTTCAGTATCAATTCATTGGATAGAAATACTAGCCGTCCGTGAACACAATACAAACAGAAAAACTGACATATTTGCAAACTTATCCAGCGAAAAGCAGAAAGAATTAACTGTCAACACGACTCGATCCACGCAAATGCATATAAAAGGTTCTACAACTATTGCACTACATTTTTTTTTTTCATTTCATTCGATTCAATGACTTGAGCGTACTTCGCATGTATTAATTTCCTCCCTCTACTCAATCTAAGGAAACTTCGGTTATTGCCTTACAAGTACTCCACCTGCATTGCAACTAACTGCATCAACTTTGTACCTGATTCTCATGCCTACATGATGCATAGTGGCCAATGATTAGGATGACTGCACTGCATTAGTGAATACAATCGGAATTGATGATGAATCAAATTTACACGGTCTAGGTCGGCTGCCTCCATGCATGTGCCGCTTCTTTTCGGCCATTCCTCTCCCAAAACTATGTAAGAACTGCACGAAATCACACTAATGCTTTGACTATTTGGCGACGCCACACTGCAGTATCTGGGTCAAACCTCAGCTCCCATGTAGACCAATAGTGCAAATCTTGCTTCAACGTTAGCACTCGCGGCTTCCCATTCAAGTGTACTGTTCTTACACGAACAAACTCCCCATGCTCTAACTCCTGCAATATTATTCATCCCGGTGTCACTAGTGCAAGTGAATCATCGATTACTGCAAGCAGACAAATCTAATCATGTATATCTATCTCTCCCAGTGTGGTAGGAACAATTTACACACAGAGGCTTGCTTAAAAGCAATAATGCCGGGAAGCAATGACGAGAATGTGAAGATTGACATATATCTATCAGGGCGATTTACAAAATTTTATAACAGCTCAACGCTTCATTAACCAAGCACATCAAGGGCTGGGAGAATGCACAATATTTTGGATTTTCATGGTACACAATCAGAATTTAAAAAACCATAAATAACATTGAAAAACAAATGACAGTTGGTGCAGCACGTATACATTTTCATGATGACCGCAATTCTCAGTACCCAAGAATGATTGATAACCAAAATAAATTTTCTAGTACTTCTTTTTTCCAATCATCATTCCTATATATGCTGGTTAAAAAAAAAAACATTATTCCTGCAATAGAACATGTAGTGGGGTAGAATATATGGGAGCTTAAGGAATTGACAGAGGACCTACCCTACTTAAATGCCTGTCAAAATTACACTGAACCACTGCCCACCATTGTATCGTGTCTTAGTTGTAACTTAGAAATTGCTATCCTATATAAAGTTCAAACTTGACAACCCCACAATTATTCTGTCGCATGAAGTGATTCTACTGAAAAAAGACCTAAAAAACAGAAATTAACTTCACACCCTTGCGCTCACTGTGTCAATCCAATCATATCTACAGTGTTGACATGTGCCAATACAGCCCAATCAAAGAAGAGATCTTACTTCCCAAATGCTATGGACAAAGCACTGACCTCGGGGAGAGTAGCATGGAAGAAATAACATGATAATGCTGTTTTAGTTGACATTTTTAAGAAGAAATGAGGATTCTCCGTCCACTATATGGCAGAATGATAATTGTAACTCTTCCACAGCACACAGTAAAAATACCTTTGTCACACTAATAAATGCATCTAAGTCATGAGTCGGCTTCCCATTAATTTCGACAATCCATTGAAGAGCATATAGACCATATCTATGCACAGGACTTCCGTGACACCACCTGGCAGATACCAACACAAGAAAAAGATGAGATTCTTCACTTATCTATCCTAAGAGAAACTTATTTGAAGCACCAAATATATGGGGAAGTGAAACTAAAGCATAAAATCAGGACAAGTACCAGCTAAAAAGAATGCTTCAAAGAGACAATCTTACATATACAAAAAAGTATAACACATCAAGACAACTAGTAATTACTGCATAGCAGTTGACTGTACAGCAATGGCTGCTAACTGCCTGGTTCAGCTAAGGAAATAATAGATTAGTTGATGCTAAGGGCCACAAAGCTATCTTTCTTAGGGAATGCATTGTGGGAGTGCTCAATATGGAGCTCGATTTTATTTTAAATTCAATCAAGAAGCCTTCTCCCACCGGACACAAGACTTGGGGTATTCAAAACGTAAGAAGAGCTGAAAAAAAAAGCTGTAACTTCCTTGCGTAATCATCAAATACAAAAAAAGCGTGAAGCTGGAAAAGTTTACACTATCACTGTCAATTCAAGATGAGAAAGGCTATCGTCTTTAAAGATATTGTGAGACCTCACCTAGCAACATACACACCATGCCCTTCTTCAGGAAGGTATCCAAGAGCACGGACTGCTGAGTGTGGTTCTTGAACAATACATCCACTCCAATTAATCACGCGTGTAGTACCATTTCCATCCCTAACATCTGTCCCAACAAGAATATCAATTTCACGCCCCTGAAATACAAGAATGATTCAAACATGAAAAATCATCCCCTTCTCGAGCTTTTCTTAAAATTATAAGCACAGTTAACCTCAATCTTGGATAAAGCAGAACGACCTAGGCATGTAAAGAATGCTCAAAATAACAAGATATCGTATGGTTTCTTTTCTTTTTTTTGGGTCACAACGAGATATCTAACGGTTCACCTGCCGGAAAATGGTCACGTTAAGCTTCCCGTCAGTTTCATCAGAGTTGTCCAATGCTTGGCAAGCATTTTCTATGTCGCGGAAGCAAGTAACTGGCTCCTTATTTATTGCCAGGACCATATCACCTTGTTCCAATAAATTTTCAGCTTTTGAACCAGCCAAACAGCCCTTAACGCGTAAAACTTGTCGCCTAACTGGATCTCTTTTAACAAGAGCCTACAAAAATTGCCGCGGGTCAGAATCCTCTCCCTACAAATGCCAGGGTAATTGCTGCTTCATAATAATATTTTTAAGCATTTAATCATTTGAATTTATCATGTCCAGACAAACTATCATTTTTTGAAAATTAAAAGATTTTGCTGTTTCTGTCAATTCTAGTGCTTTGCAATTTCTCTCACGCAAAAATATATCCTTACTGTAAAAGTCTCAAAAGAATTACTTAATATACATTGCACTAGTTGTGCGGCAAAAAGCCTACTTGCTTTTTGGCCAAAGGGGGAGAAAAGGACCTACTTGAACCCATTGGTCACTCAGTCCAAAACTTCTGGCCTTGGAAAGCAGTGTGGGATAAAGCTCAACCTCCAACATCCTAACAAGCGGCATTGGCCTTTTGACACCATTTATGAGTAGAGGCCGCCCCTTGGCACCAGATACAATTTTGTTGACGACCTCACTTATACTATAAACTGGAATACCTCTAACAAATTGATGATCTTCTGAGGAACTGCAGCCAAATTTCAGCTGCAACTAGAAAATTAAGCATCAGAACATAGAAACAATCACTAATAGAAGCAAATGAATCTCAGCAAACCTGAGTCGAAAAGCTTCCCCATATAGCTTGAACTCTTCCACGCTCATCAGTTAGCACCCCAGAAAAAGTACTGCCAAAATCTGCAATCCACCACATTACAACCAAACCAACATTTGGGCTTCGTTTGTTTTACGGAAAATGTTACATTTTTGGAAAATGTTTTCCAGGAAAACAATACTTTCCGATGTTTGGTTGAAATCTGAAAAAGAACCGGAAAATATTGTCTGTTGCATGGAAATGAAAATATGATGTGATTTTTCTAAATACACATACACTACTCGGGCGCTAGTGACTTGTGCATGGGCAGCAAGGGAACTAAGCACGTGCACTAGGATCCCAAGTCCAGCCTCGATGGACCCCGACCCAAGCAAAGCCAAGGTCCCGAGCAAGAGGGCAGGCACCGATTTCGCATCCACAAAAGTTGAAACCAAGAACCCGGTGCTCGTGCATTACTTGGCGCCCCGGCCAAGGTCTACAGAGGTCGGACCTGAGGCCCTAGTGCCTGTGCTCGAATCCTCGACACCCAGGCCCGAGTCCACAAAGGTCCCTGGTGCTCGGGCTCGGGTCCCCAGTGCTTGGGCTCGGGTCCATCCATGCTGCCGAGGGATGCCGGTGCTCATGCCCGGTCCTCAATGACTAGGCCCAAGTCCTCAGCGATCGAGCTCAGCTCCATCAAGGTTGGGCTTGGGACCCTTGGTTGCTGAGACCCAAGCCCGGCATCAATAGACACGGGCCCA